GTGTCAAAAGCCATTGCTCTAAAAGATGTACGGCTGCAGCGCTCAAATAGCACCACGACCAACTCGAGTACAGTTTATGTAAGTCACAATGCACAAAGCAAAGACAACGAGCATGAAAGTCTCCATGAGAATGGCCATGAGATGGAAATGGACATTGAAATGGTGAAGGAGACAAAGAACGAGATGTAGATGGAGGTCATGTCCAGTGCACATGGGCCATCATAGCACAGTGGAGCCAAATATTAAAATGAATATATGCAAATCGTATCACTTTTACTAATTCATATTTTGAGATTAATTTACCATTTGCCAATTTACAATAAACATACTGAGTAAGATACTCAAAATACTATGAAACATTGGTTATTTTGAATATATAATAAAAGACATTTATATAATAAAGCACAATTACAAATTAACTCTACATTAAAAATCAAAACAAAATATAGATAAAAATATATATTTTATCTTTAACTAGTTTAATCGACTATTAGTTGAGCAATCAATTATAAATGTATACTAGCAGCTTAGGGGAAAACGTATAAAATAAATAAATAAAAAAAATAAACACAAAAAAACTTTTAAAAAAACACACACATTTTAATTTACATAGTTAAATTAATATTTGAAGAATAAATATAATTGATTATTACATTAAGTTTATTTTTGTTGAAAATCAGTGCTAAATAGTTCCCACAGAAATTTGATCCTCAAGCAGAGCATATTTCTTAAAAATATAAAATTTATAAATTATCTAAAATGGTTGTATATTTTTTTGATAATACCAGTTAATAAAATAAGCCAATTTTAGAATTGGAATTAAGAAAATAAAAACACTGGTCTCCGATAGACTTAACTATCTATTTTAAAATTCCTTTCTGAACAATAGGCTGATTCTTCAGTTGAGGTTTAATCTCCTCTCCCTCTTTCCCTGGTTATTTTTCTCATTCGATCTCATTCTTTCATTCTCCCAGTCTTAAATATATCTTTATGCAAATCGCTTTATCATGTCTTTCTATACAAATATTGCTCAAATTTATATACATCTTCGATGAAAATTTAATTGGTTTTCTATTAAAAATATGATATCTAATTTATGGTTTGTCTGCTTCTTTGCCATTTTAATGGAACCCATACAGATATAAATATTATGGTATAGAATATAAATATTTAGATGTTGCATTTGCTTGATACTCCCTCAAGCCCACTGTTGGCAACTGTAGATAGGCTGGGCGGACACATCAGTTGAGCTCGTAAATAAATCAATGAGCTGTTTTGTATTGCACCCTGAGCCTTCGAGTCACTGACAGGGACACCGTTTTTTTGCTTCTTCTTGTTTTTATGCTCGTCCTGACCAGCGCATAAATTTGTGCAGCTTGCCTTGGAGACGGACCCCGGATCCCAACTAGAGGTTGGGTTGAGTTTTGTATTCTTTGTCTCGGGCTGCTTCTCGTCACTGCTGACGTATGTTTGGCTTGAGTGGATTTTATTGTGACAGCGTCAGGATTTAGTATAGACAACAACTGGAGCTGGCAGCCAGTAATGAGGCCTCAGACCAACACCACCTCCCCTCCCCCACTCCATCCTACCCCCATCCCACTCACTTCTTTGCGTTGAGGGAATGGCATAGTTTAGTGTCTATGCATACATAGCTTTTGTTTGTTTTATGCACTGTTCTGTAATTAATTTGCACAATTTTAGCGATTTTGGACAAATTTATTGACTGCACTCAAACATTGCGCATACGACGCGTATCCCAAGGGCCTCACAAAGGGACAGCGAGACTGTCAAGCCCGCCAGAACAGGGAACGGAGGGACGGACGGGAGGACAACAAAATCAATGCTAAAATATGCAAATTTTTATTTGCGCGACAATTTCAATTTAACGACAATGAGGACGACGACAGCGCACCGTTTTCTATTAACATTGGGTTACTTTTTTCACCCGTCGCTTTGTTTCGGGTAGCGAATTACTCTCAGCAGTGCCGTTAACACCGCTGTGCAGCCACACCAATCCCCACCTACCCCCCACTACACAAACCCCATTCCTTATATCGAGCGCAGTGCTGTATAACGAACTGGAACAGGCGACGGAGTGTTGTTAGGCTGCGGAACGAGGCGACGCTGTGCGGGGCGGGGCAAATGGTTTTTCGAAAAATGGAAATCTGTAAGCAAAGTTTTGGGCGCTTTTTAAGGCCACAGTTACGCATTGAGCCATTCGGGGGATCATTATGCGTGCGCCCACGTTATGGCGCCTAAAAGTGTCGTTTTTGGTTGAATGGCAGACGGAGACGGTGGTGGAGACGGAGCAGGGGGTGGAGACGGAGGCGGAGGTTGGTGTAAAACGGCATGTTGCCAGGAAGGGTCCTCACTTGGTATATGCAGCGGTTAAGGATTTTCGTGGCAAGCCAATTGGGACACAGATGGTGGACCATGGAAGTGACGCGACTAGTGAAAGTGAAATTTAATTAACGACACATTACTCAGAAGAGTGTAGTGTAACGATTAATAATATTTTAAAATGTATTTTAATTAAAATCGATATAAATCGAACTGAAGGGAACGATCGAACTGAATGAGGTAATTGCGAAAATTCAAATAGTGTGCAAAGAAAAAAAAAAGATGAAAAATTGTCGCTAGTTCCTAAACACAAAATGAATTATGGGGTCAAACACTTTCCCTGTCTACTTAGCAATAATTTAATTATCTGCTGCGATTGGAAATACACTTAGCAGTTCTCAACTGTCCAGTTCGTGCTCGAGCGCAGAATTGTCGGATTAATTGCAATAGCTAAACATAAAATACCATAAATACTTATCATAAACGCAAAATGGCCGAAGAGCAAACACAATGCGCACAACTGAATTATTGGCAAGCTTTTTACAATTTACGTCTATGCCGGAATACGGAATACGCAATACGAACGAGTCGAGTTGTGTTGAGTCGAGTCGAGTTGAGTCGAGTCAGCTTAAGCTGCTTCAAACTCCACTCTTATCCACAAGGAGCAGAAGCAGCATTCCGTCTCCTTGAAGCTGTGGAGCAGTGGAGCAGCAGTGAAACTTGGCCGCTAAGATTTATAGCTCATGCTGCTGGTGGCGGCGAGAAGCGCTGCCAGAAGCGAAACTCATGCGAAAATAACTTTAGCGGAAAAGTGCCGACAAAATACAAGAAAATGCTTAACCAACAAGGCGGTCAGAGTCAGTGGCATAGACACACAAGTTACAGATATTTTTGGGTTCCGTGGGATCCGGGACCCGGCACCCGGGTGTCCTGGGTGTCCTGGCTGCCTTCGTTGCCTTGGGTTCCCTGGGACCCTAGCGCCGAAAATGGCAAACGCTTCGCTGCGCCGAGCCAAAAACTTCATGAATTTAATTACCGAATTTTTTCGCTGTAATTACGAAATTCTTTTGGCCAAAAGTGGAATTTTCATTTCATTTTCATTAAAATATTTTTGCTAGTAAGTGTTTACAAATATGCCAGACAAGCCAAGCCACGCCCCCTAACCCCCATTTGAAATGCTGCCACACCCACAAGCACATTCACATGCTCGCCCATATTTATTGTATGTACTTAGAGGCAACTTGGCCAGCAAACCCTCTTCTATTTATGGCCACATTTACGAGTTACGTTGACGCAATTATTCAGTTATTGGCCCACAAAAGCCACAAAACGTCAAAGAAGTGAGGTCCAACCTGCCACCTTGCAACGGATTTGTGCAGCGTCCTCATCTGCATCTGCATCGTCGTCTTCTTCTTCGGCTTCTGCTTCTGCTTCTGCTGCTGATTGTTGGATGTGCATTATTAACTCGACCACGATAGGCTCATAATGAGGTCAGATTATTACCCCTTGCCCCTTAGCACGAGTGGCATTCTGCATCTGTTTATCGTGGCAAAGCAAGCGGAAATGTATACTACATTTAGTTAACCACATCAGCATTGACTCCATTCCAATTACGTGAGAAAGAGAAACACCAATGGGCAAGGATGCAAGAATTCATGCTTTAATTTTAGCTTAGTTTGTCGAAAGTGGCTATCTACACATCAATCTAGTTTTGTAGTACCAAAAATTTATCAAATTACATAATGTGAGAATTCAAGTTCTTAAATGTACTATCGATCGAATAATTATAAATGTATGTATATCGATATTAATCGATGTTGCTATATTTGCAATTAAATTGCAACGATATTTTAATATTTTAGCTTAAAATTAATATAGAGATGAAAAACTAAATATTTACTTTAAGCGAAAAGATTTAAGGATTATAAGATTTATTCATCTCTTTTTAGTGTAATCCGCTTGAAATAGAAATAAGAAACATATTTAAATCACCTATAATAAATCGGGAACAGAATCCGGTCGATATTAGACGCAACCACCACCTACCGGCTATACTTAGTACTAACTTTTGTAAGCATCCTTCAATAATACCATCTACTGGCCAAATTTTGTACTACGTTATATGAACAGTTTTTGTCGGAAAATACCTACCGGCTGAAAATATATGTATAAGTTATGATAAATATCTTATCTTTGCACCATGCCACCTACTGGCTATATTTATTAAAAACCATAACTCCAATTTTCTTAGTGCCATCTAGCGGTCATATTGTTTTCATCTTTGAGCATTCAAAGCGCAAGTCTGAATATCTTAGTGGCTTAACGAATGATTGACAAAGTTTTATTCATTACAGATTTGCATTACTTATTTTATTTTCATAATTTCTTTCGTAAATGTCGTAATGCTTGACGCTTTAATTTCCCTTAAGGCGGCGCTAAGAAGCCTATATGTCTACATTACTTTTTACTTTTCTGTTAATTAGAAACCTTTCTTCATATTTCAACGCAAGAATTGCATTAGATCTTAATTGAAATATCTCAAATTAAGGCGCCAGCAATAATCGATAAATAAAAACCAAACAAATCAACCTACATCAAATAGTGAGTTATCGATATGTCAGAAAAAACCCACTATTTAACTTGTGACATAATTTCTAAACAAAAATCGGATTGTTTTGTATTAAAACTAAAATGAAACTGCGCTTGCAGCTGGTGAACGGTTGTCTGAGGCAGCAGTGGCGCAACCAGAGCAAGGCAGCCTCCTCCACTGCTGCTGCTGCTCATGCTGCAAACACTCGCTCTGCTGTCACCCAATCCACAACAACAACAAATAAACCAATTCAGGGTCCACGTGAAACTTTTGTGGAGCGCGTCGAACGAGGACCTGGTCTGAGAGATTTCTTCAGCGTAAAGCCAAGGCGAAGACTAAGCAAGGAGGAGGAAGAGGACTCGCAGGCAGTGGACAACAGCATACCATATTTGAGTGCCATAGACTACAATGGGCAGGGAAGGCGGGTGCACTTTGAGGTATATGGCTGCCAGATGAACACAAACGACACGGAGGTGGTGTGGAGCATTCTCCACGAGAATGGCTATCAGCGATGCGAGGATGTTGCCAGTGCCGATGTCGTTATGCTGGTGACGTGCGCCGTGCGCGACGGTGCCGAGCAAAAGATCTGGCATCGCTTGCGGCACCTGCGTGCGTTGAAGGAGCGACGCGGCACCAGGCGACATCCGTTGCAGTTGACGCTGCTGGGCTGCATGGCCGAGCGACTGAAGGAGCGCCTGCTCGAGCAGGAGCAGTGCGTCGATGTGATCGCGGGCCCAGACAGCTACAAGGATCTACCCCGGCTGCTGGCCGTTGCCCGGCACTACGGCAACTCGGCGATCAATGTGCTGCTCTCGCTGGACGAAACCTATGCGGATGTGATGCCCGTGCGCCTCAACTCCGACTCGCCCACAGCCTTCGTGTCCATCATGCGGGGCTGCGACAACATGTGCACCTACTGCATTGTGCCCTTCACACGGGGACGCGAACGTTCCCGTCCCCTCGACTCGATTGTGCGTGAGGTGCGCACACTGCAGCAGCAGGGTGTCAAGGAGGTGACCCTGCTCGGCCAGAATGTCAACTCGTACAGGGACAGAAGTGGCGAGAACAACCAAGCCACAACCGATGGCAACATGGCATCCGGATTCAGCACAGTGTACAAACCGAAAACGGGCGGATTACCATTCGCGGTGTTGCTGCAAAGTGTGGCGGAGGCTGTGCCGGAGATGCGTATACGGTTCACATCGCCGCATCCCAAAGACTTCTCCGACGAGGTGTTGCGCGTGATACGCGACTATCCCAATGTCTGCAAGCAGCTGCATCTGCCCGCCCAGTCGGGCAACACAGCAGTCCTCGCCCGCATGCGACGTGGCTACACTCGCGATGCCTACTTGCAGCTGGTGACGCACATCCGTCAGATGCTGCCCGAGGTGGGCCTTTCGAGTGACTTCATTTGCGGCTTCTGTGGCGAAACGGAGGCCGAGTTCGAGGATACTGTGACGCTCATCGAGAGCGTGCGTTATAATGTCGCCTTCCTGTTCGCCTACAGCATGCGCGAGAAGACCACCGCCCACAGACGCTATGTGGACGATGTGCCAACCGCAGTGAAGACTGCTCGACTGCAGCGCATGGTACAGGCTTTCCGGGCTGGTGCCACACATTTGCACAAACGTTTCGAGGGACAGCAGCAGCTCATCTTAATCGAGGGCAAAAGCAAACGATCCGATAGCCACTGGTTCGGACGCAATGATGCTAACATTAAGGTAATTGTGCCTGCCGCCTCCATACCCACCACAGCAGATGCAGGCGAGAGCAGTAGGAGGAACATTGGCGTGGGAGATTTCGTGGTTGCACGCATCGTGGAGTCCAATTCGCAGGTGCTGAAGGGTATACCGCTGCACATGAGCAGCATTAGTGATTACAGAACAAGTTGAATTGAATGTGGACACAATAAAGGCTGGAGGCTAGGTTTAATCAAACTTAAATTTAGGACCCATCACGTTTCCATGGGTAGATCCGTGCTGCTGCTGTCGTTCTCCGCACTCCTGCCATGATATTTGGCCAGATTACTGCGATAGAAGTCAAAGATTTGGGCACTCGCTGCTCGGCAGATGCATTCGATGTCATTGAACTGGGCGATCTTGAAGGCGCCCTTTGTTTGCACCAGAAGCAGATTGCCATCCACCGAGTCGAAGGCGAACGTAAAGCTGGCCTGCTGACGCAACGTCTCGTTCAGCTCCGGATCGAGCACAAATTCACCCTGCTCATTGATGATGCAGTGCACAGCGGCAAAACTATACTTTAGGGGCAGGCCACCGATGAGCAAGGCCAGGCAGGCTGAATTCAAGGCGCACGCGTCTGTCTGCAAAGCAATTCGTTTAGTTGGCAATTCAATGCATTTAAATTTCAAGTCTTACGCTTCCACGATCCTCAAGCTCCTGCACCTGCAGCGACATTTTTGATCGAGGATAGGCTTCACTGAGGAGCGCTAGTTCGAGGACATCTCGTATGGCTGCTTCGCGAATGCGCTCCTTTACCTGTGGCAAGCCGGCTTTGGGACGGTAGTTGCACTCCAAGTAGCTACCTTCGATGCTCAAGTTCTGGGTCTTCACCTCAATCGGGCCCAGCACGGCGGCAATCACAACTGTGGCGCCTGTAAAATGAGCACAATTTTAGCCGGCATTTCAAAACATGAGGAAACTCAGTACAAACCCTGGCTGTACATCACGGAACCATCGCTGCGGGAGAGTGGATTGAATTTGCATTGCATTTCGCGTAATTTGTCTTTGGCTGCATTTGTCGCTGCTTTTTTACTCATCTTTTAATTAAATTGATCAATCCAACAAAAAAAAACAACGTGCGAATGCTAACAAAAACCGAATTAGAGATGAGCGCTTTGTAGCCAACAGTTACTCATTACACATAAGCTATCGTACAAAATATCGAATCAACAGGTGGAGCCGATACGCTGATTATACATTGTAAATATCTTATTATAAATGATATGTAATTAAGCATGCAAGTAAATATGAGCTAAATACTACGAAATTATTTGGCTGTGTGTTGCAAGGAAAATAATACAATTTTCGATGTTAGTTGTATTTTGCTAGCAAATGTTTTGAGCTGCGTACCTATTTGTTTCGAGTACAAGTGTTTAGCATCGGCGACTCGTAACTGAAAAATACGCACACTACGGTAAATGACACCAAAAACTTGTTCATTCCACAAAGCAAACGCCCGCAGTTCAGGTTAAATTCTCAGTGAATACGAAAGCTTAACTATGTCTGGTAAGCGCAACTTGTTGCATTAAGCTCAATCTGTCTCTTGCATAATTACCGTAAGGAACAAAACCTTCAATTACAGGCGAAAATCCATTTGCACAGTTCGAGAAATCCTTCACCAAGGATGGCACGGTGTACAAATACTTCGATTTGGCTGCCATTAGCAGCAAATATGGTAAGTAATATTCAGCTAAGCTGACGTGTTAATGTGTCGATATCAAAAAATAGGCTGAGTTTTTTTTTAAAACACACCTGGTTAATACAAAGTGCGATGACTTGAAGTTTGAACCCGCTTTCCTCCAGCGGCGACCGCTGTAATTTGCAAGTCCAAACAGTGTCAGTGGACAGGTGAATAAATAAAATACTTAACTATATATGTCGGCATTGTTCGCAGCCTCTGCTTTCTAAAACGCGCCTTGCGCTTACCGGAAAGCGAAAGTCATAATCATGATGACACCGGGCGCGATTTGATTAGGTCCGACTTTTATTATACAATATAGTAATACTATATTATATTGCTAGATTGTGCGCCAATCAAGCTGTTTCAGCCGCTTATCAGCATGTACACGACACACACTCAAGTTGAGCTGATATCGGATGATTTCGTAGTCTGATGTTTCCGACACGCGACTGCCGAAATAGTTGTGATTTTTGTCGCTTGTGTCTCACCTCCGGTTACCCAATCACAAAGGTCAACTGCTGCTGCTGCTGCTGCGGTTGTTGTTGCTGCTGCTGCAGACATTCAACGTCAACGCAAAACTCACTCTCAACTTAACGAGTGATAAGAAATCGCTATCTGTTACTGTTCTATCAGCAATCTTTTTTATTTGAAAGATAAATAAATTTAAACGCATTCGCTTACAGCCCAACTGCCCTACTCGATTCGAGTGCTGTTCGAGTCTGGTGTGCGCAACTGCGACAACTTTCATATTCTGGAGAAGGATGTTGAGAGCATTCTGGGCTGGACACCAGACCTGAAGCAGGGCACCAATGATGTGGAGGTCTCGTTCAAGCCAGCGCGTGTCATTCTGCAGGTGCGTTGATTGCGGTCACCTGCAAATATATAAATATCATTCTATATCGGATTGCAATATCCTTAGGACTTCACTGGAGTTCCGGCAGTTGTGGATTTTGCTGCCATGCGCGATGCTGTCTTAGATTTGGGCGGCAATCCCGAAAAAATCAATCCCATTGTGCCCGCTGACTTGGTCATCGATCACTCTGTGCAGGTGGATTTTGCTCGCGTCCCAGATGCCTTGACCAAGAACCAAAACCTGGAATTTGAGCGCAACAAGGAGCGTTTCACCTTCCTGAAGGTGAATTTTGCATTACATAAACCCAAAACCAGCTTGTTTTATAATCTGAATCTACTTTCAGTGGGGCGCCCGGGCTTTTAACAACATGCTGATTGTGCCGCCCGGCTCGGGCATTGTGCATCAAGTGAACTTGGAGTACCTGGCACGTGTGGTCTTCGAAAACAATGCTGCCGATGGCAGCAAGATTCTGTATCCCGACAGCGTTGTCGGCACCGATTCGCACACCACCATGATTAACGGCCTAGGCGTGCTCGGCTGGGGTGTGGGCGGCATTGAGGCGGAGGCTGTGATGTTGGGCCAATCCATCTCTATGCTGCTGCCCGAGGTCATCGGCTATAAGCTCGAGGGCAAACTGAGTCCCCTGGCCACCTCCACGGATCTGGTCCTGACCATTACCAAACACTTGCGTCAATTGGGTGTTGTCGGCAAATTCGTGGAGTTCTATGGACCCGGCGTGGCAGAGCTCAGCATTGCCGATCGTGCGACCATCAGTAACATGTGTCCGGAGTACGGAGCCACCGTTGGCTACTTCCCCATAGATGAGAATACGCTGGGCTACATGATGAAAACAAGTGCGTACGCGACGACAATGCATAAAAAGTTGGACTCATTGAATTTGTATATTATGTTGTAGATCGCTCCGAGAAGAAGGTTGACATTATTCGCGAATATCTGCAGGCAACCCAGCAATTGCGCAATTACGCCGACGCGGCACAAGATCCAAAGTTCACTCAGGTTAGCAGCTAACAAGCTGAAAATTCAATTATTGCGCACATTCACACAAGAGCTTACGTTGCAGAGCATCAGTCTGGATCTGGCGACGGTAGTTACCTCTGTGTCGGGTCCCAAACGGCCGCATGATCGCGTCTCCGTTTCGAACATGCCCGAAGACTTCAAGTCGTGCCTGTCCAGTCCGGTAAGTTGAACTAATTTCGCTCTTATGAGATAAACAAAGCCCAGTGATGCTTGGACATCTGACAAAACTGAACTTGGTGTATCCCATAAATTGAAATCCGAAATCACAAACAGAGCCGAACTAAACTGAACGAGATGCCACGACGAACCGGCTGGGTGAGGAGTTAGGGTTTGTTGCTTACAAAAGAGCTATCTAAAAGAAACAGCAACTGTGATATGTAAGAGAGTTTCAAATGTAAAATCACGGCTACTATTTCCTTAGATAACTCGATATAAATGTAAATCATTGTCATCATCGATGCACTCGGTTCTTTTGCTCACAGCACAAATAGCAATTGCATTGATGTGTTGGCTTAATGCAGTTAATTGTGAAATGCCTAGCAAGACACCACCACGTAACACTCTGAACTGAAACCTGGTTCTTGGCCAGCTAGCTCTTATAAGCAGCGTTGCGTTCAACGGCCGCTGCCAGCGCATCAAGTTACCACCAAAGTCGACAGCAGCAGTTGGTTGGCTGATCGCATTTTGGTTATTACCAAAATTCGCTGAGAATGCGCTTTGGCTTTTCTGGCACGCTCGATATTTTTATGCCGAATTTCTAAAATTGTGAAGTGCTATTTTGATATTATTGCACTTCGTTGGACTTTAACGGGCTCTGAACCCGGGCCTGGCCTGCCCTGCCCTGGCTTGGACTGGCCTGGCCTGGCTTTGCATTTACAGATGGGGCCTCACGCGGCCGTTTCCGCAAGCAAACTGACCTACAAATACTAGTTCATTTACAGCGGGGTCATTGAACGCCCTGACAACCGAGCTGGCTTCCTAAATACACACAGTTCAATAATTAACAATACTCAATAATTTATATTGTTGGCACTTTTTTTTAGGTCGGCTTCAAGGGTTTTGCTATTGAGCCAGAGGCCCTGGCGGCTACCGGTGAGTTCCAGTGGGACGATGGCAAAACCTACAAGCTTCAACACGGCTCTGTGGTCATTGCGGCCATAACATCTTGCACAAACACCTCGAATCCCTCGGTCATGTTGGGTGCGGGTCTGCTGGCCAAGAATGCTGTCGAGAAGGGTCTCAACATTCTGCCCTATATCAAGACGTCACTCTCACCTGGATCTGGTGTGGTCACCTACTATTTGAAGGAGTCGGGCGTTATTCCCTATTTGGAGCAGCTTGGATTCAACATTGTCGGCTACGGTTGCATGACCTGCATTGGAAATTCGGGCCCACTGGAGGAGAACGTGGTGAACACCATTGAGAAGAATGGCTTGGTTTGTGCCGGCGTCTTATCGGGTAATCGCAACTTCGAGGGTCGTATTCACCCCAACACCCGCGCCAACTATCTGGCCAGCCCCTTGCTTGTTATTGCGTATGCGATTGCGGGTCGCGTTGATATTGACTTCGAGAAGGAGCCACTGGGCGTGGATGGTAATGGCAAGAACGTCTTCCTTAGGGATATCTGGCCAACGCGTGCCGAAATTCAAGAGGTGGAGAATAAGCACGTCATTCCCGCCATGTTCCAAGAGGTCTACAGTAAGTAATCGATTTAGTTAGTGTCCTAGACTAAAATTAATTCCCAATATCTGCCTATAGGTAAGATCGAATTGGGCTCAGAGGATTGGCAGACTCTGCAGGTGTCGGATGGCAAACTTTATCCGTGGAGCGCCGACTCCACCTACATCAAGCGTCCACCCTTCTTTGAGGGCATGACTCGAGAGCTGCCTCAGCTGAAGAGCATTCAAAACGCGCGCTGTCTGCTCTTCTTGGGTGATTCTGTGACCACAGATCACATCTCACCCGCTGGTTCTATAGCCAGAAACTCGCCGGCGGCACGCTTCCTCTCCGGTCGCAATTTGACTCCCCGGGACTTTAACTCGTATGGCTCGCGTCGTGGTAATGACGCCATCATGGCACGTGGCACATTCGCCAACATTCGTTTGGTGAACAAGCTGATAACAAAGACAGGGCCACGCACTCTGCACGTACCCAGCCAGGAAGAATTGGACATTTTTGATGCTGCTGAGCGCTATCGGGAGGAAGGCACTCCGCTGGTTCTGGTCGTTGGAAAGGATTACGGCAGCGGTAGTTCTCGCGATTGGGCCGCCAAGGGTCCCTTCCTGTTGGGTGTGAAAGCAGTCATTGCGGAATCATATGAGCGCATTCATCGCTCGAACTTGGTCGGCATGGGCATCATTCCCCTGCAGTTCTTACCGGGTCAGAACGCTGAGACTCTCAACCTGAACGGTCGGGAGGCCTACAACATTGCTTTGCCCCAAAGCGGCCTGAAGCCAGGACAGATAATTAAAGTTGAAGTATGTTATAGTCTTGATTTAGTCATTTGTCACATTAACTTAATTAAATTTACATTCGATTCCAGGCTGATGGCAATGTTTTTGAGACCACGCTGCGTTTCGACACCGAAGTGGATATCACCTATTACCAGAACGGCGGCATCCTGAATTACATGATTCGCAAAATACTCTCCTAAATTGTCCCTTTTTTTAATTGCATATATTCCACTTGCATTTCAAATACTGTACATCGTAGTGTCCTAAGTTTTTAATGTGTGCTGGTGCTTTCCTGAACAATGGTCAAACCAATAAAATTAAGCCTTCATTTCGTTAGCCGCATTTCCAAATTGCCTTTAAATAAGAGTGCGCTTCACAGTGCAAATACAATTTAATACAAATAGAAATAATACGAACCCCCCACGCAACACAGCAACTACATTAAATGGGATTGCGGATTTTTTCTTATCAGTGAATTAGTCACTGCAATTAAACAATATATTACGTAAATTAATGGAGGCTCGCTCGCCCTTTTACGCTTACCGACAGCACTAAAAATATTACCCAATTATCATTCATTCATATATAGGTGTGCAAGTTTCCAAACGTTAATAGTAGTTCTTATCAGCAGTGGGGACAGCAATTGGGACACTTTCATTAACTTGCAAAAGATGGCCACTTATACAACGACCTGGAGATCTAAGTCTACAACAAGTGTGACTTAACAAGGCCAAAGGATTTATGTTTAAGTGATAAACTCATATTACAAATTTCGTTTCATTAAAGGTTGCAATTCGATTAAGGTTAGGATAGCAACGGCTGATCCCGAGTATATTGTGTACATGAAATTTACAGTTCACAGTGCCAAAAATGTATAAATTCTTGGTTTGTACTTTATTACAATGCATGGCTAAGACTACATATCTTTCAAAGAACACATAAACATCCAATATTTGCCCTAATTGGGCGACCTGCTGTGATAAAAAGGACACAATTAGGTAAGTACTAGCGTTAGAATGTCCAGTTTGGATTTTATAAAAGTATTATTGTAACATTATTATCAACATCATCATCAATTACATACTTAAATTAATAATGTACAAGAGTGCTATTATGTAAGTGTGTGGTATATAATAATTTCCGCCTGTTATCTGTTTTTTCCTTTTGCCTCTTGAGGTATAATGTATAAAATTACAATAACAAAAAAATTTCACTTTAAGCTACAACACTTTGGATACTTTTAAGTTACGTTGCATTAATAATATATGTTAAACATTGCAGAGCATAACAAATTTGTTTGTAAACTAATTGCATGAAACATTAAAGCGCCCTAACAAAAATAATCATTTTAAGAATTTAGCTAATTAACCCCCGTGCCCTTTTCTATTCATCTCGTCAGCTATTTACAATTGTGTAGCACGCTGCCACAGTGCCAACAACAAATCTCTGGTGGTTCCTCAGTACGTTGCGTAAATGCAGTTACGATTTAATTTGGTTTTCTTTAAAGTTGTGCGGTCCGTTACCACCGTATTTGATGCTTGTATTGCTCGTCAATGGCAATGCGCTTGATCGTCTCATATCCTAGTATAATGCTGAATGAGAAGGCCGCCGACTGCACCAGGCGTGCGGACAGGCCCTTAAAGAAGCAATTCAGTTTCTCCTCATGCCACAATTCGCGGAACGCCATGCTCATTGAGTCCAGGCGATGCACCTGTGAATAAGCGAATTGATTTTTAATTCCGCAGTCCGTTTAACAGCTGACAAGAGCAGGACTCACCTGAAGGCGTGCTCGTACAATGTCTAATGGATTGGTTAGTATTGTCGTTGTGAAGCCACCTAAACTGCCGGCCACACATTGGATGAATAAATGAGAGACCCAACTAGGGCATATACGACAAAGTTCGTCTGCAAGGGGTTAAATTGGAAAGTAATTTGTATATCATTAATGAGTATATCATTAATGTGGACTAAACTCACCCTGATACAGATGATAGAATCCCCACCACATTGCCGAGTTGGGCACATATGCCATTAGGCTGGCAGTGTAGCCTCTGTAGAAGCCGCGGAACCCATCGCGTCGCATTATCTCATGCCCAATGTCCATTGATATATGCAGACGACTGCGGCCCGGCCATGACTTAATCCCCAAAGGATTTATGTCATTTTTGGCGCCGGCATGGGCCGACATGCCCAGCACCATTGCGTGTTGTGATATAACGTCGAAAGGAACTATGATGGTCTGACCCACCAGCGACGCACAGCCGCCGCCAACTAAAGCTTTCACACGGTGCCCAGTACCTAGATCCGTGAGTATATGTCGGACACCCTCGTAGGTGCTGATGTAAAAGACGCCGGATACGATTTGCACTGAAGAGATCCAGAAGCCGCGATACAGACCGGGCACACCCTCTGAACGGTAGATCTTCATGGCACAATCGACCATGCCCTTGTATATGTCGCTTTTGTGCTGCACCTGCAGCTGTGTTTTGATCACAGTCAGCGGGAATAGACAGCATCGCACCGAGAACGAGCTCAGCATGGACAGTGGAAAAAACTTGGTCTTGTTCATCATGTCCCATTCGATTGTGCGTATATAGACGCCTTCCCTGCCAGTGTTCCTGGCCGAGCCGTCAATCCCATCATCGGTCGCCACCATAGTCACGCCGGTGCTGTCCGACATTGTGTTAGCTATGTCTGAAACAGCTGCCGGAGACCGTGCGCTTGCCAGTCTGCGCCCTTTGCATGCGTTGCCACAAATCAGTTAATCCGTATCTGATTCTCGTATTAAAGCATCGTTCGCTGTCGTTGACAGTTTCCAACCAATTGGGCATTCATTAAGTATTCCTGTGTCTTCCTATGTGCAATTACGATCTTTCTGGAATGAGAAAATATAGAATGATATATCTATATACATATATATATATATATATATTTATATATCACACATATGTTTTTATGTATTGACGCAATTGAAAGGCGACTGCACGAAACGCATTGTGTTGCCAAGGTTAACATTCGGGCGCGTGCATATTCTATATCCAATGACTCTTATTGACTGTGTGGCCTTTGTTTTTTTGTTTGTTATTGTTCAGTTGGCGGCAAGGGCTTTCGCATCACAAAAACTCATATGTTTACAGATATATGTTTTTATAATTATATAATGACCAGACGAAACATCCAGCACTACCACCTGACTGAAGGAATGTGTTATCACTATGCTCTTATCATTTTAGAATTGCACAATCACTACACTTTTAATGAGATTTTTCTCAATGAATATATTGCTTACTTTCGCAGCAGTCCAATGTAAACTCTGGTTGGGAATATTAATATTTGTTGTTGATGAGGCACTCACAATACCATCCACCCTGTTTAATTATTATTGTTGATGTTAAATTGTATCGAACTATCGATATTACGATCGTTATATATAAACGATGTATCGGTAACACTTTTGAATATTAAAATCTGGAATTTATTTGTCGGTGAAATCAATTTAAATTGCACACCACAACATTTAAACTGCCGAGATGACAAATTCACAACAGTTTTCTAAGTACATGAAAAGAATAAATACACTGTGAATGTAATTAATCTAAACTTTTTTTCGTGACATCGATAGACTGCTTGACATGCAGTACGTAAATATTGCCAAGTGAATTTCAGAGTCTGGCAACACTTTTAGCTGTCGCTAATATGCAGACACTATTACAAAGCGGCACATTTGAATTGAATTATTAAAATTAGTTTATATAAATTTGACCAATTATAATGAATAATTTGGATGATTGTAGCTATATTTGGTATTTCAAATATATTTTTGACTATTAGCTGATTATTTGACAACATAAATTCATACTAGTTGAAGTCGTTTGATACTTCCACTATGCCAAATATAGCTATGAACGTGCAATTTAATTTCCCAATTGTGGCAAATCCTTTGGATTCTGATTGGTTGTCGCATATCCCATTTGCACACCAATCACACTCATGGTGGGCGTTTTGAGTCTGCGCAATATGTTACAGCATCCTAACCGCCAATCAACCCCCAAGCAGCAGCTAATAAATCATGTTGAACGTCGGCGGCATCTTTGGAATTTGTGCGGATAGACAACAGTTGCCACGGGTACTTCACAAACGTTGCACGGTGTTAACGGAATGCCTCGATCACTGACTGTGACAAGCGAATGCCATCCAGTGATTAATAATTTAAAATTATTGATGCACGCAAACAAAGTGAAATCGAATTAATACAATTTTTGCCAGAGAAAAACAACCAAATTCAAAACTGTGTGTAAAATTCAATAAAGTGCGAGTTCTAAAAACCAAAATCCCATGGATACAGCTAAATTGGTAAGACCATCCAAAATGCCCGCATGCAAAGCGAAAAGTGTCTTGATCTTATGTACTTAAAGCTTTAATTCATTCAGACATACATTTACTCGTATAATAAGTTGAGGCCCTGTCCTTAGCCCAGATCTCAGCCGTAGCTAAGCGTGTAGCCCATGTTCTCCATGAGCGTCTCCTTTATCGCCGGCTGCAGGGCTCGCTGCATATAGGTGGTAAGCAATCCTCGCACGCCCATGGAGAACAGCTTCTCCAGCTCATTGGACATGGCATCGCCCACAAGCTCTTCGTGATTGCCACCAGTAGCACTTGCGCCACTGAAAATATCTGCAAAGGCACGAGCATCTGGCTGGACAAGCTGCTGCAGTTGCTCATCCTCAAAATGCAATACATCATCATTGAAATGTACCTCATCCGAGAAGTAGTTGGGCGGAACATTACGACGCCGTCGGCGACGACTTTTGCCAAATTGTCGCCGGCGGTAAAAATTGTCGCCGTTTATATCAAAGAACTCATTCGAATCACTAAATCCCTCGTTGCTGCCAAAGTTTAGACTCTGATCTCGCTGAGTGGTGTGATCCAGGCGAATATCGTAGTCTGGCTTTTGGTACTTGCCGGCGGTGCCTAGGATCACATGTGGCTCCCCGAGTTCCACCTGAGGTGCCGTTCCTTCGCCGTAGCCAAATCGCCGTTTCGAGTTTTGGCGTAATCTGATGCCACTCGGGCCTTGGCAGCCGTGCGCAAACACCGAGATAAATCCCGGCTCGGCAAAGTGTGAATCCGTGCGCACCGAGGCGGTGCCCAATCTGCGGGACTGCTCATATGATTGGGCCGTGGATGAAGTTGGTCCCAGCGGCACCGTACGGAACTCAATTCCTGCATGCCTCATGCGCAATATCATGTTGCAACGTCCGCCTGTAGGCTGCAGGACGACCTTACCGCTGAGTGTCAGGTCTGGGAATATAAGCCGTGTGTCCAGCGTGGAGTTCTCCGTGCTGAACTTACACTTATCGATTTCCACCCAACGGGACGAGGACTTTGCCGGCGGCACACGCACCTTAAGATCCTCAACCTCAACTCGAGACACTGCCAATTTATGTGGCTGTCTGTGCTGGTATTGATGTTGCTGGTGTTGTTGCTGATGTGAGGAGAGTAGCTCCTCCAGCTCGAGAGCACTGCTGCCCACACCACTGGCACCGGTGTCTCCCTGCGGATATGGACGTCCCTTCCTTCTGATGAGCTTGGCATAATAGCCACGCCCGTAGCCTGTGCCGCCGCCCACATTATAGAAATCATCCTCTGGCTCACTGTGCTGGCCGTAGAAACTGTTGTACAACTGATACGGACTCTGCATCGGTTGCTCCCACATCGAACGGGATCGAGCTCGCGATGAGGAGCCCTTGGTCTGAGCACTGCGACGTCGCATTTGCTCCAGTGCGTTCTCCAACCGATTTGAGCAGCGATGTGGCGTCTGATAAGGTTGACTTACAACCGCTAAAGAGAAATCATTGCAATTAGGCAGTCAGCCAAAGATCAATTTGTGTCTTGGACTCACCTTGCAACAATGCGCTGAGCAAAACAAAACGCATCAGATTATTTGTTCGGTCTGATACTGATCCTGATCCTGGCATGACGTATAACTGACGCTGTTAGACAAGCTCGAACGAAGCACCAGCAGTCTGGTTCACGGCTCAAACGAAAATGCGCTGCCAGCTACGACAACAACGCATGCGAGACCCGAGAAAAACTCGCTTTGTCGCGCTTCCATACACACAGCCGCAGCAGCAGCAACAGCAGCAGCAGCACCCACAAGAAGTTCACGACAGCAACGCAGACGCAGACGTGACGCTGACGACGAAGTCGTGTCATTCGCAGTGAAAGTGTTTTCCACGACAAGCGGCAACGCACACGAGCGTGGAAATCAGCAGCGGCAGCGGCACACACACAGCTAAAAAGCTAAAAAGAAAAGCATTGTCTTCTGTCGCTGCTGCTGCAAAGTAGATCAGAGTAACTTGCAAACGCAAAGCAAACACGACGTCAACGCCAGCCTCGTCGGCGTTTCGTAATGTTAACTTAAATGCGGGCGCGCATGCGTCGTAATACGGACAAGCCACCCGCAACCGCCTACCCCCTCCCCCTCCCCCACACTCCACCTCCACCATGCAGCCACATTGTTTAAAAAAGTTCAGAGTTGATCAGTCAGTCAGTTTGTTTTGCTCAATTACCTTGAAAATTAATTGATGGAACCAGTACAATTCGCATATATATTTGTTGTAGTTTTGTTTTAAAACACAACCGTAAAAACAAAAGAGCAACAAATACCGATAGCGATAATTCTGTAGCTTGCACTTGTCTCGTGTCAGGTGGCAACGCTTGGCTGGCTAGCTGCCAGCCTACCTTTGACGGTTACGCTAAATGATGTCGGTAATTTGATTTGACAATTTGTTCGCATGCACTTATTAAATTCATACCAAAAGCTGTCACTGTCATTGCAGTGGCATATTTTGCAATTTCTAAATTGCTAACAGCGGCAAATGGCGGAAACATCTTGTATACTTAAGTGTTGCAAAATGTGATGCCACATTTCAAGTTTAATGTACCAAATTTACATAACCCTTAAGTCTATTTTCTGTGCAAATAGACGGGAGAAAGCTGCACTCTGCACGTTCTGTGACTTCTAGCTGCTGCGAAACTTGCCGCTTTCTGCGTTTCCGCATCAAATTGAAGTCGTTGCAGCTTGGCCAAGCAAAAAAGCCCACACGTATATGATTATATACAAATATATATATGTAATTAGGGGTAACTATGGCGCAAATGATTCTCAAATGCGCTGAGGCGCAACGCTTGAACGTGTGCCAGTTTCTAGGTGTCAAGAGTCAATAAACACACTGCCAAACTGGGCGGAAGATGCAACTTGCAACGGACACCAAAATTGATGGCGAAAACAAACAACATTAAATTGCTTGACCCCCAAAAAAATCACTTATCTGAAGCTAGCCGAATATTATATACTCTGCCCAGCAGCCTCCAACTACGCACATTTTTAATTACAATTGTTTCTTTTAGTGCTATGTGATATAGTAGAGCCACTAAGGATTTAATACGTATTATTATTGTATCTAGTAAGTATTCTATGTAGTTTGGTATCTTGGAAAACAAATCATCGTCGAGAATCAACTGTGTAACTCAATACACAAATTGTGTTTGCAATCACAGCTAAAATCTTGTAGAAAAAGTAAAACGTTGCCAACTGCCACAATCACAAATCTTAAAATCAAACAGCCAATATTTTAACTAGATATTCTATAAAGAGAAACTTTCTCATATAAACTGTCAGGTGGATATAGCGACTCAACCCCTGATGTGATCAAGTATATTATGTATACTTTTCAGTGTATAACTTGTCTCATTACACACACGACGACAAAATTAAAATGCCCTCCGCAAGACTACAAAAAAGTAGATCGGCTGACAGATCAACGGTATATACAACGGTATATTGGCCTGCATCATTAGATCTGCGTGACCTGCAAGAAAGTGAAATGCTGACCAGGTGATAATGAGCGAAGAGAGAGTGACAGATGATACCGCCCATAAACTGAACTCGGTTAGTTGACCTCAGTCCACGCAGCTCATTAAATGTAAAAGTGTCAATAAACCGCAGGTCACTATTGTCTTTGCCATACTTTGAAGTGTGTACAACATTTAGGTATATGATATGCCCCCACTGCCGTCTCAGTCCCCATCTAGCCTCATTACTTAATGGCAACAGTAACAATAGCCACAATTGACACCAGTGCATCGCACACACGAAGCCAAAGCCAGAGTGGAGAGCTAGAAGCTGTTAAGCTAATTGCCACAACTTCTTCACACTTGAGTATGTCAATGTGACGGACACTTTGTAGCTATTCTATTTGTACGGGGATCTGTAACCGTAACCTTAACCGGCTGTGTGCCTGACCAGCGCCACGGGTCGCCCCAGCAGGTGATATTAAAGCTACGACGGCTGGCACTTGAAGCCCGACGAAGCAACCCCAAAACAAATTACAAATTGGCAATTCATTTGCCAAAATCGAAGTAGACCCCAAAAAAACCAACTCTTAACAATTTCCTGCTGCGCCTTGGTTCATTTCCTTTCTCGAAATAGGCCGACTACAGCGAGGCCAAGACTCATCTTGAGCAGCTCCAGCAGACGCTGACGCACTTGGATCACCATCATCATCATCCCCATACGCATCCACATCCTCATGCCCTTCATCACCACGGACTATATCACACTGCGCCAAATACATCGACTATAACCACAGATTCGGTGGTTTCCTGTGTCACCTCAACATTGCCGGTTGTCGGCAAGGCCATATCCTCATCCTCATCTTCCTCCAGCTGCGACAATTCGGAGACAGAGCGCAAGAAATGCCATACCCACAGTCACAGTCATAGCGAAATGGATGTGAGCCACACGCTTATGGAAGCCATCTGCACGCTCCCGCTGCCCACGCATGGCCAAAGGTCGCCGCCCTGCTGCCTGGCCATGGCCGGAAATTCCACGCCTCCTGCAGGAGCTCTGATGAATGGCTTGGCGACCAATGCGAACGGAGGAGCCACCGCCCTATGCAATGGTGACTTAACTGATTACCAAGTGTAAGAATATGTTAACCATTATTATTGTTCAAGCAGATCTTGTACGCGAATCATCATGGTATGCGCATCACCACCATCACCATCACCACCATCAGTTGGCCGATGAGTTGGTCATGTACACAACGCCAGCGCCGACGGCGGCAGCCGCCATTGGTAAATTTGGACTGGACACATCCACGGAGGGTTACTTGAACGCAAGGTACAATGGTAAGCGTCCACGTCCGCCCGGATGCAGCTCCACGAGCAGTGCATCGCAGCGTCTTGTTGTTTGTTCTTGCTATTTACACTTGTGTTTATTAACTCCGATTATGAGTTTTCTAGAAAGCTGGGCATGTGGCAGGAGGACGGGTTTTGGTGTGCTTGCTTACGCTTCTTTCTGCCTCAAGGCTTTCATTTTTTTTTCCTCTTTTGTTTATTTTGTTGAGCTTAACTTTTTACTTTGCAGACGAACTTTATGAAGCAGATATTGCTTAAGCTGTTGATATTTTCAATTATTCAAGCATGAGCCAAAAATAATACATGATTCAAGTATTTTTGCATTTCACTTACATATATACATGTATATTTTGTGTACCCTGAATGAATTTGTGCTAAGACAGACGGCAGAAGAGAGCATCTTCGACCCCATAAAGTATATAAACAGCCGAGTCGATTATAAGATCCAGGGAATGTAATTTTTTTTTAATTATTTGCTTTACTTAGCGAATATCGATACAAATCGATATGCGATAGCAATACAAATAAATTTGTGTGGCATAGCCTTCCAATTGACAATTGATAATAAGAAAATAAAACTGATATAAAACTGGTAGATCATTTTTATTAATTAGCTGAGGTCAGAGTATCTTATATTAGAACTCAGTCGACTAAAGAAATTTTTATTTGTTTCAGTTTGGAATACTAATGTATTACCTCAATGCTTAACCTCAATTTTATAACATTTTATTTTATGATTTTCATAAGATTCTTAAGCCAACTGTGTCTTATAGATAAGTTTTGCTCAGTTTTTAACAGCACTTAAATCATATTTAATCTGAAATTGATTTTTCTGCACTACTCGCTGACATATGTAGTATTAGAATGAATGAATCTATCTAGGAGTACTTGCCATGTGCATGTGACAAGCTCGATTTGTGAACTCAAAGATATCCCGGCGTGAGCCGTAATGCAAAATATTATCTAACAAAAGTCAAGTTGCCTAACTGTTACTGCTGGAAATCACATTAAAAGCGATTTATTTTCTTGTGCCCCCCCACCTGCCCATCTGCCCACCTGCCCATCAATGCCGCTCTGGATTTGCAGTGAATGTCAAAGGCGTGCGCCATGAAAGAACATCAACTTTCTTCGACTTACCCGCTGTGACGCACCCGCATCCGCACCCACACCCGCACCCTCATCCGCATCCATATTGCTACAGGTATGTATGTTGTGGAAGTGGAACATGGCAGCCACAGTGTCTGGAAAGACAAGCCAGCAGAATAAAACCAAAAACGACGGAAAACTTTAAGTCAATCAACGTTTTTTTTTTTTTTTTTTGTGCATTTTCAATATCTAATTTTTTTTGCTAATGCTGCCTCAAGGTTTCCACCATCGCCACCCGCGGGCATTTTGAAAAAGAGCGACGAAGGTAAGCAAATGAATGACTGTGAAACTGAAAAGAAATTATTAAAGACATGCGTTCATCATTTATTTAAATTATGCGAGGCTAGAACGTGCAGCTCCGGGCAGTAGAAGGAGCTGGTGCTATCAGTTCAGCATGCCAATAACTCAATTTGTTTGCATGGGAAACTTGAGTTTTCTTTCGCATATTGCTTTTCCATACGCAAAATGCAAGAAATCGCGCACATAATTTACAATAACAGTATCCGCGGTGTTAGTAACCGCTAATCCAATTGGTGGCACGGGCTTGGAATTCAATTTGAGAGCAACACAGAAATGCGATGCTCTTAGTTTGCCTCCGGTTGCGACTGGTGGGGGAAAAACGGTGCTGGGGCGGTTGGGGTGGGCGTGGTTGCAGTCAAACAAGCAACTCAATCACAAGCCGCTGAGTGGTTGGAGTTGGGCGCACTCGCTTTGTAATCGAAGGGTGAGGGTTACACGGGGCACCACTGGGAAATACTTATTGTGCACTCCGCTTTTGGCAGCCAACAGGTTTTCATTCAGCGTTTGTTGTTATCGGCAATGATGTTTTTACTTGTCGACACTTTCTCATGGATTATGCAGAGGTATCTTCTGAATTTTTAATGCGCCCAGCGTCGAGTCACGCTGCCGGCTGATGTGATTTTGAGCGAGTGCCAAGGAGTGCCCAGGCACAGGCGACCACCTAATGAAAAGGGCAATAAGTGGTGGTAGGCGGGGCTGGGTTTGTTCTATTGTTTGCCCTTAAATTGCAGCATATTGAGCATTTACAAAGCTCGGAGAGTGGGCTGCTTAAATAATTAATTCGTGCTAAATACCTTGGCCATTTAGTGAAATAACAACAAAGCTCTTCCAGAGCACCTTTGAATACCCTTTCAGTCTAATTAGCCTTTAAGCTTACAATTTCGTTGGATGAAAAAAATAAAACAATTTTTTCGAAAATCTTTATTTATTATTTATTATTTATTCATTTTTATTTATTACTCTTTTTTTAAATACAGCTTTATATCAATGCAATAAATATTTTATTTTATATGTATTCAGTTGTATTTGAATATTGTTTTAAAATTGTAATTTATTTTCAAATTATGCATTATTCATTTTTCTTTGTTATATTTTTGTCCTTTATTTGATAAATACTGCGATAATGAAATAATTATTTTAAATTATATGGTTTATAAATCTTGATTTATTTATTAATTATCCTTTTTTAATTTATGATTATTTTCGTTTATTAGATAAATTTAGTGTAATTAATAATTAAATTAATAATAATAACAAAAATTTTAAGACTTATTGATAATTTGTTTAATAATTAAAAGTTTAAGGCTCCTTGATAATTTGTTTAATTCTAGATATATTTTCGATGAATGATTATGATTAGTATTATGGGCTCCGAATGGAATGTTTTTTATTTTTATGCCGAATAGAATTCACATTGTTGTCTTAAATAAAGTGCAAACAATTTCGTCATGTAAATCTTACTATGAATTTTCTACTGCTGATGACTTATGGAAGAACATAATGAGGAATCATTTTACTAACTATATTATCGAGAAGTAATTTCATATACACACATAATAAAAATGTAAAAACAAGACTTGAAAATACATTCGCACTGCAAACTAGAAAAACTATCCGATTTTTAGAAATACTTTCTAAATACAATTAGAGTAAATTTTAAAAAGAAATAAATACTTCTAAAATGTAAAAATGCAAACTTCAATTTTGATAAAAAAAAATCCAATCTGAAATGCAGAAAAGTTACCAAAACTCACGAACAAAGGGTTGAAGGTGATTTTAAGTATATTCAAAGCTTTCTGCTGTTTTAATTCTAGCATTGCATAATTGATGACAAATGTGTAGTGACCATTTTTTGTAGAGTATAAGTATACTGTGTAATTAGCGCCCACTCTCAGCTCGCTGCTTAAGCGTGCATGAAAGCGGCTTTCATTTAGCTCTTTCGACTCTCTGCCCATCTCTTTTAGAAACGGCCGCTGCTGCCGCCGCCGCTGCGGCAGCTGCTGCATATTGCAACGATGTAACGGTTGGTCAGAACTTCCATCAGCATAACACCAAGATTGAGCATGCCGACTCCACCACAACGGCCGCTGCAGCACAGCAGCACCATCAACAACAGCACCAGCAGCAGCAGCAACAACAGCAGCAGCAGCAGCAACAACAGCAGCAGCAGCAACAGCATCAGCAGCATCATGATGCACTGCATCCACATGCGCACAGTCACCAGCAGACGCAGCAGAGTGTACATCAGCAGTCACATACCCACCTGACTCCGGTGCAGGCTGCCTCCGCCTTCAAGTTTAGTCACACCGCCGTCATATCCAGTTCGGCTGTCTATGCCACGCCCACGCACTACTCGACCCACCTGCAGCAGCCGCAGTCACAGACACATAGCAGTGTCTACCGCGACATTTCACCCACTACTGGAACCGGCAGCGAGCAAGATCTGAAGTATGACAGTGGTCCTTATAATGCTACCATATCTTCCACCTATCCGCCGCCATTGCGTCCCAGTGTGGTGGACTCAACCACCTCCAGCGATGCGGAACTGCGCCTGGATCAATTCTATGCCAGCAATGCAATCTCCACCAGCAGCAACGGGCAGACCATTAGCCAGCGTCGTGGATCACTCCAGCTGTGGCAGTTTCTTGTGGCACTCTTAGATGAGCCCGCTACCAGGTAAGTGCAGAAAAGAAATTGATCAGTGCCAGCATTCGTTTTAATTCTAATTTCTTCTACTAGTTCCAGCTGCATTGCCTGGACAGGACGTGGCATGGAGTTTAAGCTCATCGAACCGGAGGAGGTGGCACGTCGTTGGGGCATACAGAAGAATAGGCCGGCTATGAACTATGACAAACTGTCGCGTAGCCTGCGCTATTACTACGAGAAGGGAATCATGCAGAAGGTGAACGGGGAGCGCTATGTCTATCGGTTTGTCTGTGATCCGGACGCACTGTTCAACATGGCATATGGGCACCTAACCAGCAAGCAAGCCGATCAGCAGCATCAGTTGACCTTGTCGCTGGCCAAGTCATCGCCGGAGTCGCAATCGCAATCGCTTCGCGTGCAAAAATCGACGGCAGCGGATTACTATGACAGTGACTTGCATAAGTATCAGTAGGCGGAGTGTGGGAACCTCGCTTTGTGGGTGTAACCACCTCTCATGTACATTGTGTAATTTATTTCGGTGTTCAGTATGTATGTGTGTGTGTGTGCGTGTGTGTGAGCGTGTGTTGAGAAAAAAAATACCACATTTCTAACGGACAAACTGGAAAATAAGTGTTGACTAGCGAGGAGTGCTATGAAGCGTGTATCGATGAATCGGCGTCTATCGCGAAGCGATCACAGTTCCACAACCGTTAGGCAGTCAAATTTAGACTGTACATTTACGGACAACGAAATGTGTACTGTGGACCGGATTTAAAATATATATATTAAATTTTCTTGTATTTGGTTATTAGATGGCTTTCGTTAGATGTCTAGCCCATCTTAGCGAGGCCTAAGCAGCATCGTTTACACACATAAATATAATTACATTCATATATATACAAAACCACTGAAATGTAATCGCGTTGAGGTTGAGTTGGCGTATTTAAATAAAGTATAAACCGTTTTCTGTTCGTTACACAAAGCTCTGCCGTGTTTCCGTGTACGCATGTGGTTTTTACGTTTCACTCCTCCTTCTTTTTCTTCTTAGGAACTGCTTTTTCCTCGGATCCGGAGCTACTGGTGGACTTATCATCGTCGCTGCTACTATCGCTTTCCAGTTTTCGCTTCTCCGGTGACTTCTTGGCCAACTTGTCCACATAGCTCTTCACCTTGTCCGGCTGCGGACTATATGCCCAGTGTATCAGCTCCAAGTGCAGTTCACTGGGCGCACCGGTCTCCACGTCAAACAGCTTGGCTCCCTCGCTCTTGATTTGCTCCAATAATTTGGCTATTTGACGATTGCGAACGATATCCCAACTCTTGCTGTCCTCCTCCTTTGGATACATTGTACGCAGGTGCTTGTAGTTGCCCTTGGCCTTGTCACCGCCATACGCAGCCAGGAATTCAGCAGCCAGCTCCTGTTTTGGCTCAGGCAACTTGGCCACCAATGCATGTGGCAGATATGCGCGGTTGTCCTTGATGCGATTCTCCGTTTCGAATTTTTCGAGAAAGTCCTCAAGCAGCTGTACACCCTCCTTGATGGATTGAATCTTGTCCTCGCTCTTGGTTCCGGAGAGCACTCGCTTCGAGCTGCCAATAAGACCCTTGATCGCGAGTCTTTGGTAATCCGGATCACGTTCCTCCAAAATGCTGCAAATTATATAGATCGTCAATATATTAATTTAAAGAATAAATAGCATGTGGGTTATGCATACATTATACGTTTAGAAATATAAATATTTGTATAGGCAAACTACGGAATGTTTTCTGCATGTGTCTGTCTCATTCGTTCGTATTCAGTGCCCACACACAGACACAGAGAGAAGGAAAGAGAGAGAGAGAGAGAGTGTGTGTGTGTGAAAGAGAGTCACAAAGTGTTAAAGAGATGGAAAGAGAGAGAGAGAGAGCGAGCAGCGGAGCAGCAGAGCGGAGCGCACTATCAAATTAGAGACTTATAAGACGAAATTGTGAGCGCTCATATTGAACACTAAAACTGTGACATGACATCATAGCCAAAGTGCCGAATGATGGCGACGACCTTCAGCCTTCTGGCAAAAGCTGTTTCAAACTATTCGCATTTACAGAGTCATTTTGGCACTTACCTCAGCGTTGCCTCCGCCGCTGCCTTGTCCTTAAAGCCCAGTCCGGGCACTGTCTCCACCTTATCATCGCCATCAGTCTTTGCATTCTTGCTGGACGCACCACCACCATTCTCCTCCAACCACTGTTCGAACACACCGATAGCATCGTTAATGTTCTTTAGCTTCTCGGCTGCCTTTGTCACTGTGTGATGAAATAAACAGATTATTTATAAATTCAATAGAAATTATAATTTGTGCAACTTACTGGTGAGCACACGTTTGGCACGTCCCAAAAGACCACGGACGGTCAGTTTGCGATACTGCATATCATGACTCTCCAGCAGCTTGAGCGTCTCCAACGCCTTCTCCATGTCCTTGAAGCCAAATTTCGATTCGCCCTCCGACATAATTTCTGCTCAAAAAATATTAATACGTATTTAGACAACGACAAAACAAAATCGAATCGACTGCAATCAAGCAACGACAAACTGCGACTGACTGCTGCTTTTTCGTTTTCAGAACCATTCAGGCAAAGTAGCATTTAGCAAATATGGCACGGAACACGCTGAAAGAGAACATGCGAGCGTCGTTGAGATTCGCTGAGCAATTCCTTGAGCAATCAATTAGATAAGCGTAGCCAAAATAACCAAGTGACTTTATCAGTGTTCAATAGAGAAACCGGTTTGTTTTCGTACTGCCGTAGCAAAACAAAAGCGAGAAGAGGCCCCGCCATGACGTCATGGCTAACAGATAGCATTTACTTGAACACACACACACACACCCAACACATACACACACACACACACACAATATACACACATTCGTTGGAATGTCTCAAATAAAATGCTAAGAACAAATTTCAGTTTGATATTGGTAATTATGGTGGTCAACAGGAATAACACAACCCAACCCTATTTCAAGAAAATAGGAGCAGCTCATAGGAAAATGGGGTCGATGACTTTGTTTGTGGTTTCTGTATTCAATCAATCGCCATAGGAACGAGATTCCTTGCTTATCCAGGCAAATAAATAAAAAGTTCACCCTTATTCAGACTGGGTCTATTAAATCTTCAATTAAAGCATTGAATATTTTTTATATATTTTGTATATATTTTTCACACATATGTACATTTTTTATGGTGTATTCCTAAATAACTTAAGTCTACGTTTGATCAATGAATGTTTACACAAAATTGTACATCTAATCAAAAAGTAAATCAACTATTTTAAGCGTTTGCGGATTTTTGGTTTAGTTTTGAAAACGGCTAGTTTCAGTTTTACTAATGGAAGTTTTTTTTTGCATTAAATTCAGTAAGCTCGATTATTGCCGTAGATACGTAAGTATTTCCAGATGCATCTGATTCTTATGACGACAAATACAGATTTGTATCCAATTTTATATTCTTATAAATATGCTTAGCCCAAGGCTTAAAAACATCTTGCCTCGGTTTTTATGCCATAGCAGTGGTATGATGTAATGACTTTGAAACCTAATAGAAGTTAATCTTTAGCATAGGACAAATAAAGACAAGCTGACTCGATATAGTCTATCTGTCCACTCTTGATTTTCAGTATGCATATGTTCGTCGGTATCGGCCGAATCATATTACTATAACATATAACTGCTATAGGAACGACCGGTCGAAAATGTAGTTATTTGTAGTCAGATCAGCTATGTACAATAAAGACTAGGTTAGCATCCAAATAACACCTATCTTACAAGATTTGTGAACTAGATATATATAGACAACTATATCGAATCGCTGTCATAGGAGCGATTTTCTCAATATGTTTAAGAAGTCAATTTTTTCTTGTTGATAGCCAAATAAATGGTTTTCAATTCAGGCATTAGATTTGCAGCGCGACAAGCGATTCCTTAGAACTTCTCTGCAAAAGAGAACTCACTTCATAAATGGTTACAATTTGTTTAAAGATTTTTCTCTTACATTTCATATCTAGTCTGGTTCTTTTCTCGAGGATATCCAATTGCATCAGTTCGATCCGTAGTTTGCCCTCCTTAACCTCCTGCTCCAGTTTCAGTTTCTCTTTGACGATTTCCTGGTCATGTTTCTCCTGTGCTCGCTGGTTCTCGCCTTTATAAAATTCTTGCTGTAGCAGCACCAACTTAATCTTCTCTTCGTGCAGGCTGCGCAGAGTTCTTGGATTCAAACTGGACCACTCGGAACTGGTTTTTTTGTGTGTCATCAAACCGTCGACCTATAATTTAAAAGATGTCACGGAGTCCCAGCATATCTAACTATCTGCACTTACATCGTGCTCATCCGTCGAACTCTCGAACATATCATCTTCTCCGTCGTAGCCCGTCTCATTTGGCAAAATGACTATAAAATTAATTTAGATTTACTTTTAATAAGATTTCTGCGTTAATCTAACTTACAGTTATCGCTGCCAAATTGAGGGCTTAAGCCTGTTGCTGAATCGCCTGTCGCAGCGAAAAATTTGCGCTTCCTCCTGCGAATGCTGTACGCCTGCTCCTCCCCAATTTCCATTTTGGCTCTGCGTTTCATATTTATGAATTTGTCCCTCAGCGCCTTCCATTCGCGTCGTACTCCAGTCCTTGTGTAAAAAGAGTGCGCCATTTCTTCCCAGGCCTGCACTTTCTGTTTCCAGGTGGCCGCGTCTGACTTCTTGTTTTCGAGGACACTTCGCCTCTTCTCGAGCAGCTCCACGAGCACTAGTTCTTCCGCTTCCGAGAAGTTTCTGCCCCGCTTTTTCTTTTCCTCGCTCGACATATTGCGATTGTTATCCGCCCAAAATAAACAAATACGATCAGCTGTAATCATAATAACAGTAAACAGTGTGGCCACCTTTTGCAACTCAATTAACAGAACTGACAACTTGTCGTTATAAAAGCGCGAAAAATTTAAAACGATTTTAAAATGTCTTTTATGTTTACAAAATATTTATTTTGGTCAAATGAAATATTTAGTTTACATTGATAAGCAAGCCTATATTGTGTTGATCTGCAAACTACTAAGATAAGCTAGAATTAGAATTAAAATGTTATATATAACAGATATTCATTATTTCAGTTATTTCATGTGGATTTTAGGCTGACTTTTCCAATAAACCCTCTTAAAAAAGTTAAAGTCTGATTAAAGAGGATGAGATGTTTATTCATATTAATGTGTTGTTCTCATTACATATCGAAATCTCGATAAATGCGTCATATTGCAATATGCAATATATTCTTATTTTAACTTTATGCTGACGACGGTTTGGATTTAAATTTAAAATTAATGTTAGTTGCAGCTGCGCTCTATTTCCAGCACATCGTCCAACATGAAGTTACGCAAATGGCACAGCGCCTGCACCACATTCTCCTGATCACGAAGATTGGGCCCCAGCCAGTGCTCGGGCAGCTGTGTCTTGCCCACCTGCGAGGGATTCAGGTGGGTAAGCGATCGACGCCAATTGTTGTTGCACACACTGACATTCAAATGGCTGCCTGTCTGCAGACTCTCAATGTACTTGATGTAGGCCTCGGAGTGGATGACACGATTGGCACGTGGCGGCACAGTAACAAACATCGGCTCCTGCGGCAATCCGGTGACAACGTTCGCCAGCTGTTGTTGTTGTGCCTGCTGCTGCTGAAGCTGCAACTGTTGCTGCTGCTGGCCCGCATCTGCGATGAGCGGTGCTCGAGGTGACACGGCATTGCTGGATGGATGAATCGATAGTGCGCTGGAGGCCATCTGTGGCAGCAGCTTCTGCTTACGCGGTACAAAGTTTTTGCTGCGCTCGGTGAGTGCCAGCGGCTTGCCGCACTTGCTCAGATGCACCTCGCGCACATGCTTGATGAGGCGCAGCACATTGGGAAATGCCTGGACGGACTTGCGGATGCGCGGACAGGCGCGCCATAGACACACGTACTCCATCTCGACGCCCGCCTGCGGATGGCGCTGTATGTGACCGGTGGCATCTGCCAGGCAATGCTCCGTGCAGTCGGCCATCTCCTCGAACTGAAAGTCGCACTTGTCCCACAGACACTCGAAGGTGAGCGGCGGACCCGTCTCCTGGCTGTTTGCGTTTTGTGGCAGCGGACTGCCGCAATTTTGGCTGTCGTCGTTTTCACGACGCAAGGCGGCAGCCTCCTCGTTAAGCTTGTTGGCGCGATCTTCCCAGCTTTGCTTAACGCTCGATGGCAGGCTTTTCCACTCGTTGCCCACCAGGCGTGAGATGTCGCCGAACGAGGCATCTGGATTGCTTTGACTTATACCTGTCGAAAGATATGCATGAGTGAATCTGACTGGAATCACATCAGTATCATGGACTTACCCTTGCGCACATCGCTGGAGTAGAGTATGTAGCCGGTGAGGCTCTTCTTGGTCGTCTTGGCCTTGGCCTTGAAGGTAAGCGGCGTCGAGTTGACAGACGGCGCTGGCGAGGATATGGCGACTATATCCGAGCTAAGCGATGGCGTATCCCCATCCATCGAATCCTCGAGCATGGCCAGTTCGTTCGTTTCGCTCTTTACATCCTTGGCCGGTTTGATGGGCGTTTTGAAGTAAAAGATCTCATCCTCGGTGACAGCGGCGCTATGTTGGAATTTGCGCAGATTGCCAACGACAAGATTGCGCAATGCCTTCTTCAGTTCATCATAGACGGACTCGCATATGTACACATCACTCTCGGCGATTTCCGTTGGCCGGGAACTGATGAACTCGGCGTATTCAAGCACGGCGCAACGGCCCACAATGCCGATGACTGGACTAATGTCCTCGACGGTGCTAAGGAGCAGCTCTTGGCGATAGAATTGCTTGCCCAGTGCTGGCGTTGTCTCGCTGGGCGCCAGCAACCAGGGTCCCTTGAAATAGGATTTACCATTAAGTTCCCAGATTTGCTGGACTTGGGCAACGGACTGTTTGCCCGTCTGGGTGGCCACGTACACGAAATCTCCCGTTTTGATGACGCCACTGCAAATGGTGTTGTACTGCTGATAGTAGACGCTGGCGTCCTCGGCATTTGGTGGCGCATCGCAGGTCACATTGGGTTTCTCCTTTTCGATGAGGGCCTCCTGCAGCTTGAGCTCCTCCAGTTCACCCTTGTGCTTCTCGATGCGCTCCTTGAACACGGACATCACACGCTTCAGTTCCAGCGGCGTCTCGCGCGCCACAAATCTTACCGAGCCCTCGCGTGACGTTGGCCAATTTTTGAGCTTCTTAAAGCAACGTCCTTGCAGATTGTAGCGAGATTCGCAGACGAAGACATCCTTTTCGGGCAGTCCGTCCGGCCGGAGCTTGATGTAGTCCCGGATGTGCATCACATAGCACATGCCGAGCACCTTGTCCATGGAAATCGTTTGCGAGATGCTGCTCTTGAACACCTCCTTCTCGAGGAACTTGCGCGTCGTCACGTGATACGTCTCGTGCGGACGCAGAAAGATCGAGGCCTGCATCAGCTTCTCGTTGCTTGGCGTCGTCCATAGTCGCTCGATGCACACAATGCTGGGTATTTTGTTCTCCGGCATCTGCACGTAGACATAATCCCCGGGTGAATACACTTGCTGATTGATTGTCATGCTTTCGCCCTTGGTGGTTGCGTTGAACTCATCCTTGTCCTTGTCCTGCTCCTGGTCCTGCTCCTCTTGCGCCACCTTCTGCAGCCGCATAACCTCCACGTCGGCCAGCAGCTGATCCAGCGTAAAGCTGAGCGCCGGCGAGCTCAACGTGTCCTTGCAGAGCTCATCGCGCTTGCGTATGAAATACGTTTGCAGCTCGATGGCGTCCTGAAATATGTCCGAATCGGTGCGGGAAAATTTGCGTGCTCGCTCCATGCAGGCAAAGATGTCCTCCTGGTAGACATCCAGACGCTTGTAGGCGCCTTTATCCAGACGCCGCTTGACCAGATCCAGCGAAATACCCCGCACCTTGGCACCCTCACCCAACTCATCGTACTCGGGCAGCTCGGCGAGGGAGTCAGAGTAACAGCGTCCCTCCTCATCCTGATGATTGTACACCGAGGTGAACAGGGTTAAAAACAGCTCCTGCACAGCCAACGGCACATCCGGCAACGAATCTCGTTCGGTGCGCAACTGTTGCTTTAGCTGCAAAGTCAACTGTTGCAGCACCAAAGCATCCTTGTAGATCTGCGAGTCGGGCTCATTGTACTTGCAGGCGTTCTCCAGCATCAACAGCAAGTCAGCGGCTAGTTCGTCCACGCTGTCGTAGGTGGCCTGCTTGAGCTTCTGGGCAATGCGTTCCATATCCATTGGCTCCTTAATGATGTCATAATACTCGGGGTAATCACTCTTCGACGGCAACTTGGTGAAGATCAGCGACAATTGGCGCTTGCCCTTCGGCTCCTGATAGTCGCGCAGCGTCTCATAGAATTGCCACAGACGTTCTCTGTCCGCCAGCAGAGCCGCTTTTGGTTTGCGTCCCAGTTTGTTGTATTTTTGTAGTGGTCGCTTTACCTCCACCAGGCCGGGAAACTCTTTGAGCTTCTCGGTTAGGGCACGCTCGAGAGCATTGGCATCCTCATAGATGTTGGAGCCCTCCTCATTGTACTGACGACAATTGGAGAACATCAGCCGATAGTCGGCGACGACATCCTCGACGGTGGCATACCGATCGCTGCGTATATTGTGCTCAATGGTGTTCATATCGATGGGATTCTGGATGATGTCATAGTAGTCGGGATACACTTTGCGCGGCGGCTTCTCCATGAACATCTCGATGGGTCGACGATTGCCCACCGCATAGTCAACCAGATATTTCTGGATGCTGAGTATTTTCTTCTTGATGGTTGCGTTGATCGCAATCCGATTCGATTTGGGTGAATTCGAGGACACATTGGACACGTGCGTCGTGCTCGAATTCGAGTTGGAATTGATGCGTGGCCGGCCCGGTTTTCGTCGCTCCTGCTGCACACTTGTGATGAATGTTTCATCTGTGTCGTCCTCGTCCAAGTCGCTGGTCTCCTCCAGGGACTCCTCCACCAGTTTGGCATTCATCAGCTTAAGCATTTTCAGCGCATCTTTGTTCGTGCGATGCGTTGCCGGAAATGCCTTTTTGGCATTGTCCAGCATCAAATAGAGATCGCCAGTGAGATCGCTTATATTGGCATAGTCGCCTTTCTTCAACTTCGTATTTATTTGGCTCATCGAAATGGGACGCTTGATTAGCTCAAAGTATTCGGGATGAAAGCGACGCACTGGCAACTTCCACAACGAGTTGCCCAGCGGTGGACCAGTGACACCCGGGTGCTCTGAGGTACCGGGCGCATTGTACAAGTGATCGAAAAGCGCCCACATTGGTCCCTCGCCCTTCTTGCTCGTCTCCTCATCGTCGGAGCTATCCACTTCCTCTTTGAGCGCTAAAATATATACATATGAGATTAAATTTGATTTCTCCTTGAGCTCAACCCACCTGCTATGGTCGCGCTGGACAAATTCTTTAGGCGCCGTGCTGGTTTGCCCTTGCCGGTCTCCAGTTCGATGCGTCGTTGTGTGAAGATGCGCTTCAGCGCCTTGGCATCCTTGTATATCTGCGAGCCGGGCTCATTGAAGAGGCAGGCATTCTTCGTCATCTGCAGCAGATCCCGTTCCATTTCCACCAGCGACGAGTAGGCGTTCATTTGAATCTTGGTAGCAATCAGACGCAGGTCTATCGGATGCTCGATGACATCATAGTAGTCGGGATAGATCTTTTTCGAGGGCAGCAGCTGGAACATGCGATGCATTGATCGCTCCCCAATGGGATCCGTCGCCGTCATAATGGAAGCAAAGAGCTCCTCATACTGAGAGCAATCATCGTCGAGATCACCGCCGCCTGGCTCAGCGCTGCTCGTCAACCGACGTGGATTGCGCGGCACACGCTTGGCACGTGGCTCCTCCTCGGCGAATCCATTCGCCTCCATAATGCGTTGACGCTGCGTTTGGATGTGCTGCCACAAAGCAATGGCGTCCTGAAACTCCGTCGAGTCTGGCTTGTAGAACGCCTTTGCATTGCTTATCAACAGCTCGAGGTCGTTCATCATGTCATACAGATCGTCGTAGGAGTCTGTCTTCAGCTTCTGCTGAACCTTGAGCAAATCGATGGGATTGACCACCACGTCATAGTAGGAGGGCTCTTGACGGCGCTTGGGCGCCCGTATAAATGTATCGCACAGCATCGAGCCATCCTCCTTCTTGATGTTGCGAATGGAGTCGTACAACTGTTGGCACAGCTCCGTCGGATCCAAGCGCCGCTTTTTTCGCGCCGATTGTGTTTGCTGCACCGGTGACTGCTCGGGCGTTGAGTCATCTAACAGCAGGGGATCTTCGTCTTGACGGCTCGATATGGAGCTGGCGCGACGTTTGCGACTTAGCATATTTTCTGGTAATTTGTGTAAAGATTTATAAATAAAATTCTAACTTTACAACGACGCCACTATAAAAATTAGTGATGCACAAGTCAATTAGAAGTTGAAAGCATTTTTCTTATGCACGCAGTCGATATATCGATAACAAAATGTGCTGTGAACATGCCGGCCTAGTTGAGAAAAGCATACGGCCACCCTAATTACAGTTACTATGATAACTTTTCAATCAACAGTAACAAAAAAATAAACCACATTTAGATATTTAATTAAAACAAATATATTATTTTAATTTAACATCATTAATTTTATTACAACATCACAGTAATTTAATTGCTTACATCAGTCTGCAGTTTGCCTTTGCTCGAGTGTGAAGACATCTAAAATAGCGCCGTCAAGCTGTAAATAAAAGAAACTTGAGGTCAATTCTGAATCACAGAAATCAAGCTGTGAATGCGCAATGAAAGCAGTTTTTTTATACCTTTAACCCATTGAAAATGGATAAAAATCATATAATAGCTTAGTGCAAATGTATGTAACAGCAGAAGGAAGCATAGAGCATAATTTTGACTAGAGAAATTCAATGATACACTGTCTCAAAGAGAGCGTAGGGAAAATGAAGAAGAAAACGAATAGAGAAAAACGATAAAAACCCGCTACTCGGCGAACTGACTTTGAGAGAAGAATTTTAGAACGATACTAATCACAGGTCTAAGTCGCTGAAAATAGGAGAAATGCGACCCTTCATGGAAAGCAACGTACGAACACCTTTCTAGAGAATAGAGCAAGTCAAGCGATAAACACTAATTTCGGTGTTTCGAAGTACTTCAAATTTCTGGGGAAATAATAGAATGCAAATGTATGTACTAAAGAAATTAGTTTTCCGATTTTCCTTTCCTGCAACAATAAGTAAAGTTTTGCAGCAGGAGCATAAAATTAGGCAAGAAACCAAAGGTTTCTGTAACAAATGACCTAGATTTTCCAGATTGCTCAAAGGGTGTAACGCCCCCAAGGGAACGGGGTATTTCCCCACGCTTTCCTTTTATAATAAGACCTGATTTTTGAGACTTTTTAAAGTTACCACAACTTGGCATAGGATTTGTATTAGTACTGAGGATATTGGAAATTAACATTGATTGTAAAATACCTGTGATTAGGATGCATGAATGCATATATTTATATAAAGAAATATTATGTTTGTATATTTTAAAGTCCTTAACCTTAGTAAAAATGAACATAATTAATATTTAATTATATCATGTATTTTTTCTTCAGTACCAGTGCCATATGAAATAAGAGCACTGCACACCTTTCTACATTTGGGTGTGCAAATCGTTTTACAAGAATATTTGGAAATAAAACTATAATATATTTAACAGCTGGGTTCAGGGTAAATCGTAGTCGAACTCACTCGACTACAAAATTCTTACTTGTTTTAATTTATTTTTAACGATTTTTGTTTATATATTTTTATCACATAACTTTTAGATGCATTTATATGTATGTTTTGTGGTGTTATTGTTTTTTGTTTAGTAGGCAAAAGAAATGATGAAAGGCGCCTTGGTTTCTCCGCCATTTTAAGGAACATTGTTGAAATACAAATGTTTAAAAATATATGTATATATGCTAAAATAAGTTATTTGTGTATGGTTAATGTAATGACAATGGGACACAAAATTAAAAATACATTAATGTGATATAAATATGTATGTATGAATTGTTGAAGATCGACATTAACACATCGACTTTGACTATAGACTCAGACTAATAAATTTTCAAAAACACCTACATTTAAAACTATACTTATATTGTTGACAGCAGCTTATGTTGTATACAAAATAAATTTGATAGACGTTTGTCCATCTACATTTATGTGAAATTCTAATATGAGCATTATCAAACTACAACAATTAAGCAGTACAACAATAACAGCGCAACATTTTACTAGCAATATCAGTTCTGTATAAAATGTATTTTGTTGTTTCTTTTCTTTTTTTCGTATCATATCATATTGGAAGGTGAACCTTCCTCCTCAACAGTCCATCTGGCTTGGTGCCTGGCGACTAGCGGTGGTGGTATTGCGACTACTCTTGCGGCTAAGATCGTAGTACTTGGCATATAAACTAGCTAGACTCTTAAGGGGCGACTCGACAAAATGTGTTAGCAGTTTGTCAGCGCAACGCTGACTTTGTAGTGTTTGCAAGAGTTTGTCGCGACGCCGTATTAAATATCAGTTGATGAAGCTCATGTAGTTAGTAAAGAGCACATAGTTTTCCACTAACCGTGCGCGCAGCTCGCGCCGCACCGTCGCCGTAAACTTATTGGCCAGGCACAGAGCAGTCGTTGTGCCAAAAATGAGATTATACAGCAGCACAATCTGAAAATTGCCGAGCCACTCGATGGCGCCAAAATCACCCAGCAGATCAAAGTTGGTAATGCCTGTTAAAGGGTACAACATTAAAAACAATTAGAAAATAGCACTCGATATTTGACTCAATTGACGCACCTATAATTCTGCTTAGCAGTGGCAGAGCCGAGGACAATACCAACATGAAAGCGCAGTTTAACATCAGTTGTGGCAGCGAAGTCTGGCGCCGCTTCGGACGCACATTGCTCATGAACGGCATGCTGTAGAAGCCCACCACGGATGTGGCGCCCAGATAGAAGATGAGGCACACCTCCAAGCCAGCGCCAACAGGTCCCAACTTCGATAGCGATGAAATGCCCAAAGTAAATTGCTAAAAATATAAATTATTAAATTCACGTGCGAAAACAGTTTGAATAGTTAACTTACCCTTGTGCTCAGCGGCAGCGCCTTGATGCCAATGAGCAGTTCAAGCGTGTTTTGCACAACGAGCAGCGTGGTGACGGCTGTGCAGAAGAGCAACAGCAGCATGGCGAGCGGATAGACAAAGGTACGCTGAAAGGTGCTCGATTTGCGCAGCTTATCTAGCTCCTTGCGCTCCCTGTACAATTCTCTCAGTCTTTCATTCAGCATCTGCTGCTGTTCGTCCACATTGCCGGCGGCAAGCGTTTTGCGCTGATACAAATGCGCCAGCGAATGTTGCAGCAGCGGCTGTGGCAGATAGCTGTGTGCGATGCCATTGCCATTGATCAGGCGATTGGTGGCGTTGGTGGCATCCGAGATGCTCACATTGTGCAGTTCAATGTGGGCCAATTTGCGTTTAACGCTCGCCTCCTCCATGTAGAAGACGCTGAACTCCTCGTTGACGTCTCGCAGCAGCAGGGGCCGCACCAGCACCTGGTTGACAACGCCAAACAATCGAACGAAACCAACAGGCGTACAAACTGTGAGAAAAACAAAGTAAACAGGGTTAGTTCGTTTCCAAGGTTTCTCTCTCGAAACTAAACAAAACAAAAAAAATTACAGCCGGCAAACGCTTTGTGGAATTAGGATAGGATAGGCATATTATCAAATAAATAACAGCTTCAACATGGAAAAGGAACCTCTAGAAGACTTTGATGAATTTGAAGCGACTTTGCAAAAGATTGACGACATTCTAAAAGGTGGTCCCGAAGCAGATGCTGCTGCTGAGACCAAAGCGAAAACCGCTGAGGATTTCGAACGACTTGATGTGGACAAGGTGCGTCTAAGAGTGCGTGAGAATCGCACTGTAATCAATAAGCGGGAGCCACAAAGCCAGATGACAGATACCCAGGATCAGCAGGGCTTCATGAGAGAGGTCGAACGGGATGCCAATGAACGTGCCCAGGCGCGTGCCAAAAGTGAATACGAGGCGGAGCTGCAACGCAGGTTAGTATTAGTATTGATACCTATAATCCATATTAAATGATGCATTCGCAGTCAAGGCAACGAGGCCTTTCGCAAGGGCAAATTTGAGAAGGCTATCTTACACTATGGCAAGGCAATCGAGCGCGTTAAGAATAGCGCTACTACCTACAACAATCGCGCCTTGTGCTACATCAGGTGGGTGAGCCCCTAAAGCAATATTAATTAGCTTATCAGCCATAACCATTGTTTAATCTGTTTTGCAGGCTACGCAACTACAGACGTGCCGTGGAAGATTGCCAGTATGTGCTGGACAAGTTGCAGGAGACAAATCTGCGCGCCTGGCTGTATAAGGCCACTGCCTTTAAGCGCTTGAAGGATGAGGAACGCTTTGAGCAGAGTGTGGCCAAGGCCCGTGAGCATAATCCACTACAGCTCGCCTATATAGAAAAGTATATCGGCCAGATTGAAGAGGAAGCGTAAAAAGCTATATATATATATATATATATATATAAATATTATTTTGCATTGTATTGTATTTTACTTACTCAGCATTAACATTACGCCCAGAAATGAGACACATGAATAAAGGAACGGCAGGTGAACACTGCCCAAATCTGTGAAGCGTAAACAGCCGGAAATTAGCAATGCAATTTGATATTGATCTATAATGTTGTTGTAGAGAGGGAAACGGTTCTGGGTGCAGTCCCTGTCTGTCATGCGACTGGGTGGAGAACTGCTTCCGTTTCAATTTAAAATACTCACTTAGAAACCAAAAGAATTGAAACTTTTCAATGCCAAACATCGCGCTAAGCACTGCAGTCAAAACCAAAACAATAATGGCCATCAATATAAATACTGTAAAGGTTTCATAGACGCGCGCCAGGATGCCCTTCTTGTGGCCGACAAAACCCGTCGATTCCGAGAAGAGATAGACAAACGGCAGAAAAATGAACAGCGACAGATTGGAGAAGAGGAATACGTGATTCCACAGCCCTGAAATGGATAAAGGCAGTCAGACAAATGTTAATAATTGCATTTAAGCGAGTTTTCCCCACTTGCCTTGAATGAGTGAGCTGTTCAACCACTTAACGTAGTAGCTATTTGGGTACAGCAGCAGCACCTCATTGCTCGCTATGGATACAGGGAGCAGCATAGCTGCGCCCTCGGCCACAGCCAGTGTGAAGGTGCAGAGCCAGAAGCTGCAAAAAATAAAAATAAAAGAGTTCATCATTGATCATTCAGTGCACGTTGATGACTTTGTAATTAGCGTGACGGGTTATTCAACTGTATAGCCAGTAAAACAACAACAACAGCAGCAAGTTACCTTATGCGATAGACAAGCACCTCGTCCTCGTCATTTGAGTAGAGATCGTCGCGATCACGACGACGGAAACGCGAGACGACCACATACGAGCTGAAGTACAGCAATATAATCAGCAGCAGAAAGATCTACAAAAGAAGAAAGACAGATATGATTACGATTATATTATTATATTATGTCTTCGATTTATAAAGATTCACAAAAGTTCGAAAAATTTCAATATTTTTCTATATTTATTTCATTCTGATTTCGTCTTTGTGGTTTATGTTTATTTTTGGTCGCTTTCTAGTTTATCATAATTTAATAAAATGCCGGCTCGTGTCAAGGTCTTCACTGGAATCTACCTGATAATGCAAAACAAATTGCATTCAGTAGCTGGGGTTTGTAAGGCGATCTAATCTGCTTGAAATTAAACATTTACGATGTATGTGTGAGTGTGTGATTAGAGCCTTGGATACTCAATTATCAGCATAAACAAACAGTGAATCAGTAAAAAAAATAACACTTTAACTGACGTGCAAAGGTCGAAAGTTTGTAGTTTGGTACGTTTGTTATCAGCAGCTGACGAAACAATAGCGACAAATGGACTGATAAGCATAAATTGATTGTGAACCTGATAGTCAATTAAATGTCATTATTCTGTAATGTAACCAGGGGGTATGTGGGTAACTATTGATTGACACTCATATATACTCTTGATATTATTAATGTTTTTTCTTTTTTTTATTTATTCATTTCTTTTTTTTAGTCTAAATATAAACCGCAACCGTGACGCAATTCTTTGGAAGATAATTAATTTAGACTATAAATATTTTAAAGTATAAACTCATTAGCCATGTCCAAAGCGTGTCCCGCGGCAGTATTTTGATTACAGAACGAAAGAGGAACCAGAAAACAATTTTAGCTAGAGACTGGAGAGATTGGCAGATATTATATGCAGTTAAATATTGTTCAAAAGTTGGCAGTCATCTAAACATTTGACACATGTTTATTTAAGGTTTCCATGCCAAATATGATATAATATTTCGATTTTCAAATATGTGTATTTTTGTACTCTGAGAGAATTGTTTAAATTATATTTTCCGGAAATCAACAAAAGCCCACGCAAATAAACTTGAAATGCGATATGCCTAAAATATTATTAATACTTTGTGGGCTCGCACAACAGTAAAGTAAATTGGACAATTCAAACTAAACAACTCGTCAAATTAAGCAATTCTCAGTACACGCTTTTAAAATACATTAATTATCTTAAAAACAATACAGTTGCGGATGAAAAAATACTATCAAATTGGCAAACATTATTTTTTAGATGATTTTATTTGAATAAGCCAATTAATTTATATATATTTTTGACTAGTTCCAGGTGAAAATAAAAAAACCTAATCAAAATGAAGAAATATAAGTTTACATATCCCAGAACAAAAGTGTCACTTGCCATAAAATATGGAATTGAGCTCTGCAACTCAAATATTTGTAAAAAAGATTGAGAAAACTGTAACTAAAATGTTTATTAATAAAGATGTAGAATCGTTTTCCCCTTGGAAGATCCCCATTAAAGATATTTCACTATATGCATAAATCTATATTGCAGTTTCCCATATTTCAACGTAAATATCTTTATTAATGACAATTTTTTAAATTTGCCAATCGTTAAAGTTCAGCCAACTAAGACAGAAGTAATTTTGTAAGTTCTGGATTCGAACTGACGCTATTTGTTTTGCTATCACTGTGTCATTGACGACAAAAATCTATTTAAATCATCGTTAGATGCCAATTGAAAATGATTAAAATATATATATATATATATATAATCACATAAGAATATATAAACAAAGATAACAAGAAGTACGAAAAATAAAAATAATAAATAAGTATGGAAATCAGACAGAGGCAGGTATTTAAAGCACACGTCATTGCTTTTTTGCGTTGCGAAAAAATACAAAACAAATTACGTTTGTGTGTATGTACATACGTTAACTAAAGTATCCATGTATCATTAATGAAAAGACTTTTCATGTTCTGCAAAAAAAAAGAAGAAAAACAACAAAAGAATATCTTGAAAACAAAACACATGTGTCGAATGCTGTCGCTGTTTTTTTTTCTGCTGATGCCAGAGCATAAATACTACAACTACTTAAATGATGAATGTGTGTGTGTAGATATACATATGTATAGTATATATATATACATATATGTTTTTGTAGTGTTTAGTTGGCGTATTGAATGTCAGCTTCTAATTAATGTATTGCCCATTGAGACGCATCATGTTGATTGAGTTTGATTAAAAGCATCGAATTATTGTTGATTCGCATAGTACATAGAAATTATTTCCTATATACATATGCATTTTATATAATATATTTACTTATACTTTAATATTGTACATAGTTTATTTATAAAACCAAACGTATAAACCGAGTATAGAATTTGTTTATGTATTTAAATTATTAATTAAATTTCGTGACGCTTTGCGGCGCTGATGAACTTGGATCGCGTGGCCCAAAACCAACAACCCACAACACAGACAGATAAGAGGCGCTGGAAAACTCAAAGCTATTCAAGTTTCAGTGTGACACGAATGCTGAATGAATAAAATTTGTTGCGATTGCGATACGAATACATGTGTTGGTATGCATGTGTGTGTGTGTGAAAGAGAACAGACCGCACAGCTGTGTCCAGTTCCATTGAAATCTGTAAGTGGCCACAGCGAACAACCGAAAATACAAATGTGTATGTAAAACTATAAACAAAACAGTTATTGCTGGCAGAGGGAAGCTAATCAATTAGCTGCTGGGAGACCCGATAGTTTCAGCTAGTTCTATGCAAACTAGTTGTTGCATTGGCCATAAACAGCAGCAGCAGAGAGTCAATGACTTGACGTGAACTCGAGATGAAAAACGCCCAAAACAACGACACGAAATGCAATGCGACGCGAAACTTGCCTATAAATAGCAATGCACATTGGGCCAGCCAAAGGGGGCAGGCAACGTGGGCAGTAGGAGGCACCGACAAAAATATATAAAAATGCTGTTTGTGCGGCATAATGTTGCTGTTGTTGTTGTTGCTGTGGTTATTGTTGCGGTTTATGTTGTTTGTAAAACAACTCAGCCCGGTGAATGGTGGAGGCGCCTGCCTTGCACATTAAGTGAAAGATGTTTTCGAAGTGGCCAAAGAGCTATTATTTATCTTTCGATCCAGACCATCTATGATTAACAGGGGAGAGTTTTTTTTTATTTTTTATTTTATGTATTGAATTAATTAACAATTAAAGCTGCGTGCAAAAGCATTGGGATCAGAGTTTGCAAAGAAGCTTGTAGCAAAAGCAACGGTCAAAGAACACGACTTGCATGTTCACATAGAAATATGCATGCGAGGGTAGACCGAAAAGTACCCAATGGGTAAGAGAATGAACTTGAATTTATGTGGTAGAACTTTTTTTATTCGAACTTTGAGAAAGTAGAATATCAAATTGTATTACATTTTGATTTTTTAATATTTTCTTTGTGTTGATTATTATTACTATTATTGTTATGTTTTCTAACATCTATAATTATGAATTTTATCATAAATTTAAGAATTCTTTTTTGAGATATCAGTTTTTGAAAAAAATGTAAATACATATATGTTTATAAGTTAGAAGCCTCTCTGTGAACGTCGCTTTTTAATACTCGACCGAGACACACAAAAGAAGTATTTGAGGAATTAATCAAGAGTATATAAACTCACTGCTGAAAGCAATAATTACTTCCAGTCATAAAAATCATTAATTTCATAAATTTGCTGTATATCTAAACAATACAACAATTTATAAAATTGTTTATATTTTAGACATTTAATTCACAAATATTATAAAATTGTTGTATTTTGTAGACATTAATGATTAATGATTTTGATTACTTAAAATATGCTGAAAAGCAGCTAATCGACATGGAAGCATGGTTAAAAAAAAATAACTATGTTCATATTATTATTCTTAAAATGGTTGGTTTCTCGGCTACTTTTAGAATTACCCTTTTTCTGTGCACCCCTTTCCCATAGCAAGAATTTTGCATTGCTGATGATGAATTGAGTTTTGGTTCCTGCATAATTTATGAGTGCTTTGACCAGGTTTTTGGAAATCATTGCTAATGCGAAGCACGTACTTTAATTATTGACCCAGTTTCAGAGTGACATTATTCAATTTTCGTTAATTTACTTGCATATGTATTTGTAAAAGAACAATGCTACAGGTAGCTCATTTCCTGACTCAATTTCAGCTGTTGGATATAAAATATATGCATGAATATAATATGTATATTTAGGCAATTGTATAGCCTAAACAAATGAATAGTTTATTTATAGCTGGGTAAACAAACAACACTATTTCGCAATAACAAATTGTGTTGACTGTGTCACGCCCCCGAAAAAATGCAAAAAATAAAGAAATTTATATATATACACATATAGACATATATATTCCTGTATTCATTGCAAGTTGCTTAAACAAAATGTCACAGCTGCTGCTGCCACACTTTGTCTTCAAGATTGGGCACGAATTGTGACTATTTATTTGTTAGTGCACTTGAAACTGTTTGTAAGAGCAACAATTTTTCAAATTGATTTCTTTTGTTTGTTCTTCTTGTCTTGTTTCGTGTTCATTGTTTGCGCAATAACCTTTTACATACTTGTACATGTTTCATTACAAGCCCAAATGTTTATTAATAAATCGCGTAGCACTTTCACTTGTTGCTGCAGCCGCTGCTGCTGTGGTTGGGGGATTTCGTGAAAATTAAACAGTAAACATTAGCGACAGTTTTGTTGGCAATTTAATCGCACCGTCTACATTTAGATACTTTTCTTAACCGGAAACCGTCAAGTTGTTTGCTGTGCAAGTAGAAACTTTTGCTATCAGTTTTCTTCTGTTTCTCTTTTGCCGCCGCTTGGCTCGTAAATCGAAAGCGTTCGCTTGATAAGAACCATAAACAAAAACGCACAAGCACAAATACAAACACATGTAAACAGCGTGCTGATTTGGCTGATTTGTTGTTTATCGTCGCCTAATCAGCCACAATTTGACAACTGCTGTACACGACTACGTTTAACGGTTAACAATAAGCAGCTGCCCAGTGGCAACAAAAAGTAGGCAGGCAGCTGCATCCTAGGGGTGTTGTAATGTGACGTCACAACGATAATGGCCAGTGTTGACTTACGATGTGCTCGCGTACTGTGTTGTGGAACAATTGTAGCTTTAGGTCCGTCACCTCCTCCTCCTCTTCCTCTTCCTGCATGTTCTTCAGGAAGAAACTTAGCTTGTCGTTTTGAGCCAGTTTCGTGTTTGTTTAAAAACGCCCAGTTGAAAATAATTTCACTTTTCACTCTTGCTCGCGCACTCCCTTGGAGTATTGTTGTTATTACTTCTGAAAGGAGTTTGTAATAGCTTGCATGTCCTTTTATCTAAGAATTTGTATTGTTAAAAAATTAAAACTTTTAAGCTGCAGTGCATTTTATTAAATTCTTATATTTCATTCGTTCGTGCCGAAACGACTGCCGCACAACAACCAACCGACGTAGAAATTTTTTGCAACTGAGCTGGCGATGCCGAAAACAAATGATTATCAAGCTATTGACGATATGTATTCATCGATAGTTGAACAATAAGCAGCTCTGTGCACTTTGCCAGGGTTGCCCATCACTGTCAAAATAAACAGCTGATAGCTGGTTAATGACGTAAAAATAATGTCCCAATCGTTAAGGCGCCAGGCAAGTTATTAAAATCATACTTTAATTTAACTAATATACATTGATTTGACAACGACAGGTGCTGAGTGCATTTAAAAAGCTACATCGCACTCGTGAGTATGTGTTTGACGGTGACGAGAGGGCGCTTTTGGCCGGCCGACATAAGATCAACGAATCTTTTCAGCAAAATCGAAATGAAACCAATGAGGGAGAAATTCAAAAGGTTGCTTCTTAGAGTTAGTACAATTGTGTGAATGAATAAAATAAGTACATTATTTGCAGATGATTAAATTAGCGGAGGAAGTGGACTACGAGTTGCGAACGAATGTAATACAGGCCAAACAGACAAAAGATAACGTCTACGGTTGGTATAAATTACATAAATAGTTTCCCATTTGCCAAATCCAAAGTAACAATTTTACAGAGCTTCGCATAACGCCGGAAACAACTCGCATGGACAATGTGGTCTTCAATCCCGATGCAGTTATTCAAGCACCACGCAAACGACAAGGTGATAAGTCTACAGGTTGTTGTGGTGGGGCAGCGATGGCTGCTCTGGAGGCCGAGTTGGATTCGCGTAGTAAGAAGTAAAAAATACACATTGTGAATAACTTAGCGAATTAATCTAAATTATATGTATATAATATTATTTCTTGTGCTTTTTCTTTGACTTGTGTTTGCTCTTTGTCTTGGTCTTCTTATGCTTCGACTTGCTACTCTTCTTGCGCTTGCTACGCTCATCTGAGGATGTGGAGGAGGAGCTATCCTCCGAACTGTCAGATGACGATTCAGTGTCATCGGAGGAATCGCTAGATTCCGTACTGCTGCTCTTGGCACGTTTAGATTTCTTCTTAAATTTACTCTCCCTCTCCACAGCTAAACGTTTTCGATCGTTTTGGGTGTTTTCCGAGCGTTCCTCCTTCGATTTTCTTTCAATGTTTCGTCGTTCGCTTTGTGAGTTTTCCTGTACTCGAAACGCGGATCTGCAAGCGAAAATATTAATGCACAAGATTCAATTTCAATTTTAGTCATTTAAAACTTAATACCTTTGCTGTCGATCTCTACTACTGCGATTATGACGATCTTCTTGACGTCTTCGCTCCGGCGAATAACGATTGCCTCGGTAAGGAGACGTTGCCCTTCTTCGCTCGTTTCTGTCCCTCGATCGGGAGCGTCGCCGATCGCTTCGTTCCCTGTGGCGTTCAGTGGGTTCTCTTGATTTTGAACGTTGTCGATTATGGTTACGGGAGCGATCCTCACGGCCCTCTTGCTCTTGATGTCGTAATTCGCGAGCCCTTCTGCGTTCAGCAGAGCCCATTCGGCTCCGTTGCTCTTCAGGTTTTCGTACATCCCTTCGTCCTTCATTGCGACCCCTTTTGTTGGTTCTACTCTCATTTTTCCGTCCATTGTTATTGGCACCATTGTCTCGTAGATTGTTAAAGTCCAATTTGCCATCGGCACCAATAACGCCTCGGCCTTTGCCCCGCCAAGTCACCCGGGCCACCGACTGCGAGAAGTCCACGTGGATGCGTCGATCGTCGATGAGCACATTGTCCATTTTGAAATAGGCCGCTTCGCAGGACTTCTGATCCTCGAACTCGACAAAAGCGTACTGCAAGGAGTCGCCTGTCTTCCGGTCGCGTATCACTTCGCAGCCCTTCACAACGCCAAAGCGACTAAAAATGATCTCCAAGTCGTCGTCGGTTGTTACAGGATTGAGCTTGCACACGAATAGCACGTTTTCCGGTGGCGCCATGTCCGCATCCGGCAGATCGCCCACAATTTCCAAGATTGTAGCACGTGCTATGGCCTCCCGTTCTGCGAGCATCTCTTGCATCTCCTCCATGGTCTTGCCGTTGGTGTCGTCAATGTCCTCGTCGGCAGCGATGCGACCATTTTGAAGCCTTTCCACGCTGGGAGACGGTGAACGGGCGGGTATCTGAAAGCCACGAGGATTGGGAAACGGATCTTCCAGAACGACTGTGTGCGTTATGCGAATATCTTGATAGGGACGAAAGCTCTCGTCCACAATGGCATCGTTCAGCTTCCGCAGCAGTTCGTGTCCCTCCACCACTTCACCAATGACACAATGGGTGCCGTCCAAGGAAGTCAAATTCTCGCCGAGCGTAAAGAAAAACTGGGAGCCAACGAGGTTTTTGCCGACACTCACCAAAGAGAGCATACCGGCACTCGAATGGTGGATTTTCGGTATGTATTCGGCCTCAAAGAAACGCTTCTGGGAGCCCTCCACAACGCCCCACACGGATGAGCCGCCATCACCGGCGCCACTAGGATCCCCAGTCTGGGCAATGAATCCCTGCTGAACCGTGTGGAATAGATTGAAGTTGTAGTATTTCAACTGGCAGAGCTTGATGAAGTTAAGGCACGCAATCGGTCGCTCGTCCATAAATAGATCAACAGTCAAGTCACCCAGCGTGGTCTCAATAACCACAGCCATTCTAAGCCGGTACAAACGCAAACGATTATTTACGAAAATCAAGTAGGCAAGGAATGTGTACGCAAACAGTGAGACCGCTTACGATTAATTCCGCAATACCAAAAACTCTAATTTTGTTTTTGTAATGCATACCTCTGCATGTCTAATTTATTATGTGCGAAACAGATATGAAAGACTGGTATGTTGATTAAAAATAATGAATAAAAATAAAATATATTTTTGTTTTGGCAATTCGAAATCTTTAACAAATTGTATTGGAATAATACTTAAAATATTCAATCTTAACGATACTGATTTATCGTAACACATTGAAATTAACCAATTTGTTGCAGCCCTCGACTATCGATGATTATCGGCTAGCAGGGCTAGGTATTTATCAAGTCGCCATTTTGATTTTTGGAAAAATTGTAAAAGGTTCTCAGTTGGCATACGGAATCTTACACACGTTGTGAAAACAGCAAAGATCAGAATATTTTTTCTTTTTTTTTTGTTGCTGTTGAGATTTAAGTGTGTTCTATTATTTCGTACGACAATTTGTGTGCGCCCTGTGATTAAGTGTAATAAGAATACAAAATGCCCGAGATTGGCAAGAAAGTCGGCGAGTTGCGGGTCAGCGACTTGAAAGAAGAGCTGGAGAAGCGCAAATTGGAGACAGTGGGTCCAAAGTCTGTGTTAATCGAACGTCTCGAGAGGGTAGGTATTTGGAGAGGGTTTACACAACAGCAGAAGAAGTACGATTGTGCAATGATTTTAGGCTTTGAAGGAGGAGGGCGTCGACCCCAGCATACATTTAATAGAGTCGTCAGCCAAGGCCAAGAAGCCAATTCCGGTTCCAATGAAAGAGCCTGAATCCTCCGAGGTGCTCATCAAAGAGGAGCCCATTGATCCCGATGAGGCAAATCAAGATTCCAAAGAAGAGGCAGAAGATGGTGCTCACCATGCCGATGGAGATGGCCACGAAATAGATCAGGTCGGCGATGTCGATGATGTCTGCGTCATTTTGGATGACGATGATGATGACGAAGAAGAAGAGGAAAGTGCCGCACAAAACAGTGAGCAGCGCAATGGCGAAGTCGAGGCTAGCGAAGGTGCTGATGCCGCCGAAGGAGGCGAAGCCGAACTAGCGGCCGAAGATGAAATGCAGGAGGAGAACACCGGCGACACTGTGAACATGGACAATGACGAGTCCATCAACCTAACAATTGGTGAAGACGAACAAAAACTTTTACACGATGAGGTAAGTATTTTATGCAATAAACTAAATCTACAAACGCATGCTAATTTGGAAAATGCCCTTTTACAGGCGCCTGATGACAAGTCCATCAAGTCGGGTAAGCAAGTGCTATGCTGCAATTTACACAAATACCTAAACATATATATACATTGACTTAAACTGTATTAACTGGGTTACTGGTTCTTCCAGTTAGTCGTATCGCATCGCTTCACCAAAGCGTGTCTGACAAGCTTTCTATGCGAGCAAACTCGTTTCGTAATAGTCGCAAATGTTGAAATGCATTTTTAGCTGACACTTCTAATTTCTACAAATGCCATAGTTGAGACTGATCTTATCGAATCTAATATAAACTTCTAGTTACCCGCATAATTACGACGATTTCTTTAGCTTTAAGAGTAACCAAGTTAGTTATTATCATTCAGAGAAATAAACAAACTGACACTATGAGCCAGTTATATAAATTATATACAGAAACTTAAGATGTACTTCTTAACTCGATCTCTTTCTATTTATATATATATATACCTAACATATTAAATGGTCAATTTATAGTGAAACCGGCAATTAAAACTGAAAAATCAAGTGCCGTCTCTAAGGATGGTGATAAAAAGACTCACAAGGAGGATGACAACACTCGCTCAAAGAAGAAGGATGACAAGTCCACTGATAAGAAGGACTCTAGGTTAGTTATCGCAAAAATTTGCAATACTTTTTGCTCTTCTAAAGCTCACTATATTAATATTATCAAATTATCTCTATCTATATACTTACAGCGATCAAAAGGCTTCAAAATCGTCGAATCAAAAAGACGATAAAGGTAAATTAAGTTGCTATTGCGCCAGGAAGTTAAGTGTGCCTCTAAAAAGGCAATACTTATAAGTTGGTTAGGCCATGCTTAAGAGAAGTAAACACTTGCGCGACAAGCCCAATGTGCGGAGACTGTGAATTTGGTTGGGTCATGGATTGGATAAGACTGGCGACTGGAAGAAACTTGCAACAAATCGAAGCCAGCAGCGATAACGAACACTTCGGTAAATCTAGGATAACCTGATTATAAAGCGCTCCCTTAATTTTCAGAAGGACATACAGCTAATCACAATCATAGACTTTTAGCAAAGATTTTCTAAAGTGGAGAAAAGGAACTCGACTGATAACTGTATTGTTTTGAAGGAAGAATAATTTTGTGCCGCTGAAGATGCTGTCATGCTGGCAAACGGCTGACAAACCTGTGTGAAAATTCAGGTCGATACATCGATATCGGTTGATTCTTGTGGATAAGCTCTGAGCTTATAATTATAAATTTAAGTGTTGGCTATAGTCAAAAAATAAAGCAAGCGCAGCATTAACTTGATGGTTCGACATAAAATACTACGCGGAGCAACAGCGAGATCGAATATAACACTGATGACGAGGATGACGATGGCGATGATGACAACTATCTCAGCTACAACATCTACGGCAACAGAGGCTACGACATTGACTTGAGGACGGCGTTCCACGCATGGCAACTGGCGGTTTCTTCACATGTGCGACAATGGAAAGAGCTAACCTTGACAACTTATACCTCTTCCTGTGGTGAAGCAGACACAGCAGCAACAACACCAGCAGAAGCATCATCAACATCATCAGCATCATCACCAGCATCAGCATCAGCAGCAGCAAACCCAATCAAATTCACACTCTCTTAGCCCGCTTAGTGCGCAGATCAATAATGATAATAATCATAATATATATACTTATATTGTAGCATCTAGAGTTAGGTTCGTTTTGTCGATAATTTACGATACAACAGCAAGCAGCAGCCAGCTACAAAAGTGTTCGTTTAAAGTGCTTCCCTTAATGATCAAATCAATCAATCAATACAAAAAAAAAAAAAAAAAAAAATTACCAAAAAAAAACAGTTAACCAGCCTCACAGCCTCTGACCATAACTCTCTTCCAATATTGTTATTATTTACATGGAAATTGCAGAGAAAACATCGTCAACAGCAGCAGCAGCAACAGGTGCAGCATCATCGGCATCCTCGGGTGCCGCTGCCAACAAGTTGGGATCGGGTGGAGGCTCCGGCTCCGGCTCCACTGGTGCATCGTCGTCAAATGCGGCTGGCAAGCAAGCGTTGCTCTCACGCAATCTCTGGGTGTCCGGCCTGTCGACATTGACACGCGCCAGTGACTTGAAGGCCATTTTCTCCAAGTTTGGCAAGGTGATTGGTGCCAAGGTGGTCACCAACACACGCACCCCAGGTACACGCTGCTACGGATATGTCACGATGTCCTCGTCGGGGGATGCATCACGTTGCATTGAGAATCTACATCGGACTGAATTGCACGGCCGTATCATATCGGTGGAGCGCACCAAGAACGAAATTGGCGGCAGTGCCAGCTCATCGAAGGACTCGGGCAGCAAGGCGAACAGCAAGACGAGCAGCAAGTCCAGCAACGATTCGAAGAAGAAGGAAGACGATAAGAAGTCCGGTGCCAAGGATGATAAAAAGGCTGGCGATGCTGACGCTGAGGGCAAGAACTGTTCTAGCGGCGAATTGGGTAACAAGCGGGATGGCAAGGACAAGGAGCGCAACAACAAGTCAGCACGAGACGACAAGGAGAAGGCATCCACGGTCGGCGGTGGTGACAAGCGTCACGAGCGAGATCACCGCTCGGGTGGCCATAAGTCGCAGCAACGTGAGGTATCCAACGATCGTCGTCCGGCTCCTCCTCGTCTGCCGCGCGACGTTGACCGTGAGATACAGCAGCGTCAGCGTGAGCGCGAGCGCAGACAGCGTGAGATGTTGTCCTATCAGAAGATTCGTGAGGAGCGCGAGCGCCAGCGCCTGCGTGAAAGGGAGCGTGAGCTGCGCGAGGAGGAGCGCAGGCGTCGCGAAGCGCGCGAACGGCAGCGCGTCGAGGAGGAACGTCTGGCCGAGGAGCGTCGCAAACTAGTCATCGAGCGGGAGCGCCTCGAGCGCGAGAAGGCCGAACTGCTGCGCATGGAACGCGAGCGCCAGAAACTGGAGCGTGAAAAAATCGAGCTGGAGCGCCTCGAATTGAAGCGTCAACAGATGAAGTATGATAAACGTAAACGCGTTGCACACACAACGCTAAAAAAAATACAACACCAACATATTTATTTTTACATATTCTCTCAAAAAAAAAAATGGCATTTAGCCGTGTAAATTAGTGTGTTAAGTTGCAGCCGCCCACGTTGTCTCTTCAACCCAATATATATTGTTGCCGGACACAGCTGAGTCTAGGCAAATGCTTTTGCATTTATGTAATGTTTATGTTTATGCAACTGCAAATGTACTGCATCGTAGTCTCTAAACTAAACTAAACTATATCTACATACATATATATGTACCTGCGAAACTTAAAATTTTGACTACTCGACTATCTTGAAATTGTCAATGCTTATGTTGTCAACTTTACTCTTTTCATCTTTCCCCCAACTGCCACACAGGATTATGGAGTCACGCGACGATCCCGTTAAGCGTTCACTGAGCAAGCGCACCGATGATCGCTACAGCGATGTCACTGAACGCAAACGCTCCAATGTCTTTGATGTTCCGCCACCGCCGCGCTTTGATGCCTCCTTGGTTAGCTCACGCACGTAAGTTTATTATGCATTGATTAGTCATGATGAGCACTTTGACAACATTTATTGACTCTCTCGAACAGCAGCAGCAGTTATGACAAGAAACACGATGATTATGTTACTTCATCGGGCTCGAAACGTGTCCTTGAGGATTACTCCAGTTCAAAGTACTCAAATAAACGTGGCGAATATGGCAGCACCGCGGGCACCAAGCGCAGCGCCATCGAGGATTACGCCGCTGTGCCCAGCAAGCGCTCTGGCGGCAATGAGTATGCCACAAGCTCCAAGCATGATTACACCTCAACTACTACCAGTAAACGTGATGATTACAAGCGCGAGGTTGAGGTGCGTCACTTGCCAGTTTCGTCGAGTGGAGTCGGTGCTGGCGGATCGACCAGCTCCTATGTGCACAAGAGCAACGCTGGAGGCGGTGTTGGCTCCTATGTGCACAAAAATAATACGGGCAATGTGGCCGGTTCGTATGGCCACAAGAATAACACAAGTGGTGGCGCTGCCGGTGGTGGTGGTCGCTATAATGATACCGATCGCAGCAACACCTCCAATTACAGACGTGGTGCCGTCGACGATACCCACAGCATGTCACAGTAAGCCACATTTTCCATGTTTAACTAAAGAACACCTCAGCATCCGCCTACCCTGCTCTCAATTATTTTTAGTGGCAACAAACGCTATGATACTTCAACAAACAGCGGAGCCGCCGGCGGCTATGGCAGCAACTCGAACGTTAACATTTGGGCACCATCCGGCGGCGGCAGTGCTAGCGCTCATCTGGGCGGTGGTGGCGGCCAATTGAAGTCGTCATACAGCAACAATGGTATGTCCTCAAATATGCATGGCAACAACTCGTGGCAAAAGTCGGCCACCATCGAGGACAACAGCTGGCGTCCGATGCAGGGACAGAGTCAAAGTCGTTTTGACCGCAACTACAACGAACGCTCCGGTGGTGGCTACCAGGGCAACAGCGGTGCCGGCGGCATGTACGGTGGCAGTCGTCCGGCCCAGGATCGCTATGGTGGGCAGGTGACGCGTTATTAGAAGTGCGCCCACACAATTAATGAGGCAATTGACAGCACACAACAAGAACATTACTAGATAACTTTTCCTTAAACGCTTTCGGCGTTTATGTTAATTTCTTTTAGTTGTATTATCTTAGCATCTACAAACTATATTAAATATCATTAGATGTATCATTAAAATCCAGTTTTTTATATTATCTTATGGGACGATATGGGAAATTGCAATTAAAACTCCAGTAGCTGGAATTTTATGTACAACTCGGGATATCTGTATTTACGTATTTGTAAAATGTGCTTGTATTGAAAATAAATTACTAAAAATAAATATAAATAAAAACCATTTAAATGTAAACACTTGCTGGAATACTTGGGCAAAATTTGTTTGGGTCTATTATTATTTAAGCATGTGTGAAAGAAATATGCACATATTGAATATTGAGAAAAGTCTACATCTGTTTATTGTTAGATGACGTGCAGATTTTGATTAAAATAATTCAATGATTTTGTGTACTCGAAGCGTTTATTGAACAAAAAAAGAAGAGAAATAATGAAATGCGTGCATCAGAAATTTTAAACACAATTAAGTATCAAAGTATATTCTTGTTATGGACGTTAAGCTAATTGAATATAGTGCTTTCCGCTTGTTTTTCTCGGGTAATAACAGAACTAAGGATTAAAGATGTGTTATGATCGTATTTATTTTAGATTTACGATATTAGTTTCTGTATCCAGCCATTGCTAGGTTGTATATCAGACATTTTAATTTTAGCGTCTTGTATAGGGTAATAAACCTCAATGTTTTCTAGCATTGTAGGAGGGCTTTAGAATTTTGTCGTGAAATTTGTAACGCTTTAAAGGAGACGTCTCCAACCCCATAAGTTGCATATATTTTAGCACTGCTAACCAAGTTGATATAGCTATATTCGTCTTTCTGTCTTTTTCATTGCGAACAAGTTCCTCAGTTTTAAAGTTATCTTATCTATATCGGAGCCGGCTAGATCGGATTGCCACGTCGTCTAGCTGTCATTAGAACGATCGGTCAAAAGATGAGCTCTTTTATAAACATATTTTTTGTATATACGGTTTTCCAACCCAAACTAATATAATATACGTATTATTTGGTTTTTAATATCTACGCAGAAAATCATCGAGATTGGAATGCTATATCAAAGAGTAAAGATCATGTGTAAAAAAGTTCTCTTATATTCTAACTAAGCACACAACTTATGCGTCTTTTTATGCTGCCGAAATTTGGATAAATACTACTAATAGCATGCTACAAAATCACATAGCATTAATAGGAATGATCCGTCGGTTTTTTTTTTAATTTATGGTCAAATCTAGATATTTGACTCCAGGATCGAGGAGTATTATTTATTTATATATACTTAGTGGCCCAGAATATTTGAAATTGTAATTGAAACACATTGCTGTTGGCCATTAGGAAATACTTATATTATTGTAAAGATTCAAATCACTTTTGACTTAATGTTAAATAATTGGTATTTAAACAGAATTAAATACGAAGGTCCATTCTAACTCAATGAGCATTCTTAATCGGTTTGTGTCACTCTAAGCATGTTAAGGCGTTATTCTGTTTAGTAGCTAACATAAATTAACTAACACACTAACGCTAAATTAAATTAATTGGTATTTGAAAAGATGCCTGAATACAAAAGTACGTCTAAATACTAAACGCCAGTTCAACTTCCAGTTGTGGCATCCTCAGAATTGATGGTGGAACTTTTCACTGGATCGCTGCCAGCAAGTAAATCGGCGCTGGAATTATTTGATGTCAGTGGTGGCGGTGCATTTGATCCCACAGCTACCGTCACCGGCACAACAGGCACCAGCGGCACAGTTCCAGAGGCATCCACGCCCGGCGCCGTGCTGATGGTGCGCGCCAAGTTTATCTGTTGGCGCATCAGTTTCTCCTTTTCACGGGCGGCCTTTAACTTATCGAAGTCATCGTTGGTATCTGGCACCGGCTCGGCAGCTGTGCTGGGTGCCAGCGCATCGCTTGATGTCTTAATGTCCAAGTTTTCGACTGTAAGTACAGAGATTTAGATTAGTTTGATTTTTGCTCCATGCTTCAATGAGATTTGAACAGGTTGAATAGAATAACGTGCAACGGCTAGAAGAAGAAGGATTACGGCTACGCAAAGTTTTTAAATAAATTTGCCATTACGGGCGCATTTAATTAGTTTAAATTAACCCACAACAAATTGGGTCTAGGACAATACAAGCTACAAATTCGAATATTCGCTAAGCTCTGGTTAGTAATTAATACAAAATTCAATAAATATTTTTTTAATAAAAATAAATTAATTTTCATTCCAATTATGAAGAGTACGAGTACTAAATATAAAAATAATAATATAAGACAACACGTACAAATAACAATTGCTTAAGGGATCGCAACATTTAAATGGATCTAAGCTAAGGAACGAATTAGATTATTTTGGCCATTGCTTGATTGAACTTTACCGGGCGTTAAGAACCACCTAAACAGCTGCTGTGCATCAGGTCTCTCAAGGGCTTTACGTATTAACCATTATATTTTTAACGCGCATTCGACGAATGTGTTGTTTGAATGTTGAATGTTTTTGAGTGTGTGATATATGAAGATAAATGTTAATTGTGGGTGTCAAAAGCTGGGGAAGAGGATGTTCCACACTCCCCCGTACGGATGCCAACAACTTACCCGTGTCACGGCTAGCGGCCTTCGGTTGGTCAAACAACGACTTGGTGCTGTCACCCACCGGCGATGAGGGAGCCGTTGCAGCCGACAGTAGCGAGGTACTATCAGCCGGTGCCGAGGTGCTCAACAAAGCCTCAACACCACCGGGCGGGAATAGCGATGGGTGTGGATCATGCTGTGAATGGGCACGCTCATATGGTGGCGTACGCTGCGGTATATCCATGGGTTGGGAGCGACCTGGTGCTGTTGCTCCTGCTGCCCCTGCTGCTGCAGTTGCTCCTGTTGGTGGCGGTGGCTGTAGTGGCACTGACTGCGGCTGTCCAAATATGTCCTTCACATTGGGCCGCGGATCGTTGGCTCGCGTCGATGTGATGGTCACCTGTTCGTCCACCTCCTCAATGACCTGATCAGTAATGCGCATACTTCCAGCTGGTTTCACAGCAGTTGCGCTGGCGACGGCGCCACTCAAGCTGGCCGAACTGGCGCTAGTGGGGAAACGATATTTGCCAGGATCATCGATTGGCGTGGCAGAGTTTGGTCGACTGTCATCGCGACTTAGCAAACGCTTCAGGGCGGATGCCACAGTGTTCACCCGAGACAAGGTACCCGACACGTTACCCAAACTGGGCGACGAGCCGAGACCCAAACGCGATTTGCCATTGCCAGCTGAGAAATGAATACCACTGGCGTCGTCGGCCTGCGTGTTGCATCATGGTGGAAAAAAAGCGGAATATATTAGTCAAAATAAGCACAAATAATACTCTATGGAAAGTTTAAAGTGCGCATAAGTTACTTGAAACCGAAAGGTGCAATTTGGTGCAATAAAGCAACCGAAAGCCGTGCAGTGTGTAGTGCAGTTAGAGGCTGTAGGCAAACAGATTATTGTTAGAATCAAAAGTTAGTATGCAGTCTTATACAATAGATACACAGACACAAACACCATTTAAAACTATAATTATGTTAGTGATATTTTCCAGTGGATTCTATATGAATATATTATAATTACTTTGAATTTTTCCATTATCACTATAAATTGTATCATAAAAATTTTAATTTATTGGCTATTTATAAGATTGTAGGTGTTATCTCATTTAATAATGATTATTTTTGAGTTTTACTAAAGAACGCAGGCTAAACAATTTTCTAAACTCAAAAATAATTATTATTTTGTAGATTTTATTTATGAAATTTTCAAAGAGAGCTGTCGTTGTCCGAAAAATTAATTTTAAAAGAAAACTTAAAATATGATTGTTAAATTTACGTCTTGTTTCATTTTTTAAGGATATGTGTAAATCTTGCAACAGCTTAATTTGAAAAAGTCATATTATATTAAAAATTAAACTTTATTTACGGCCCCTGAGTTTCTCTGCTGTAATTAGGCATAATTTTCATTTTTTTATCAAACCACTTCAAGTTCAATTGTTTAAATGTTCATATACCAGTCATAAGGATAGTTAATCTAGATACATAATAAAATCCACTGTCATTCACATTTTTCAGCTCTTAAACATATAAAAGACGTAGTTATAACAACCAAGCACCGTTGTGATTTGAAATGCCAATGATAGATCTGAATCCCATTTGGAATTCCATTTCAGTTAAGAAGAGATAAGAAGGTTAGAAAAATCAGTTCGATTGATTTGTTTTCCGCCAATAGTACGTGAGTGATGTTCATGGATGGACGAGTAGTAGTAGATTTAGTTCAGGTAGCCGATTATTATTTGGTGCCAATACATCGTAGTAAATGCTGCCAACGTTTTGATTCTAACCTCCTCATCTGGCGCAGCCTTGGAAAGGTCATAAGTAACTGTCTGCATGGGTGCGCTTTGCGCCTGCTCAGCGGCAGACTGCTTCGACCCTGGGGGCCCTGGTCCGTTATTATTACCAACCATTTCATCAATTCGTACGGACGACAATGTTGAGGGCATTGCCGCACTCTTGGGTACTTCGATTTTGGCAGTGGAAGGCTCCGGATGATTCTCTCGAAACCGTTCTGCAGCTATTGTGTAGGGTAGTTCATTGGGGAACACCTCGTCCCAATATTGATCCTTCAGCAACTCCGGATGATCGTGATGCATTTCATCTACAATTAGATAGGATACTTGCAGATTGCGATCCACCATCCAGTTAACCTAGGGAGCAACACTTAACAAGTTACACAATTTTTATTTGCACTATTTCTTTCTATTGAACACACACCTCAAAATCATCATCGTCCTCGCCAAAGGGATTGATCAGAGACTCGGCCACCTTGAGCCAGCCCATATAGAAAAAGAACTGCAGCGTGGTAAATACGGGAAAATATAAATCCACTTTGTTCAGATAGCTACTGGTGCCGACGACCTTCCCATCCACCCACTGCTGACCCATGCAACAGGTCAAGAAATAGGAATAGACAGCCAAGGTGACCACCTGTGTGTAGACCAGGGGAATACTGATCGTGTCATAACTTATAAGTAGTCCACATTGTCCTCGAAACTTATTTAGTTCATCAATTATGGTTTTCACTGCGAAGTCATCCCTGATGCGACCCTGTAAATGTATAAAACACAATTCAAATATATATCACTTGTTGGAGTTTATGATATAGTTATCATTGGGAAAAACTGAGAAAGATAATACTGGAAATTAGGAAAGCTTTTAGATAAATATGCAGGTATAACCATTATTGGGAATAGCTGAAAAAGAAAGGTTTGCTCTATTTCTACTTTTTGTAGTTCGATTGAATTCCAAATTTATATGAAACCCTTATTTTGAAAAACATTCATTTTATAGTTTATTGAACGCGTTGGTCGGTAGAAAAAAGTTTGCCTTTCCAATTTTCATCGCATCGATAGAAATGAGTTGAGCTGCCCTTCAAGAGAATGTTATGCCAAATTTGTTAAAATCAAGTGTGATTTTTTTTTGGTGTAGATAGATAGCTATTATTTTTAGTTTTTAAGTTGTGATTTTATTATTTCAATACCTCCTTTCTGGCCCGCGTTATGATGCTGGCTGCCCAGACAATGGGAAGCCAGTGCTTGGAGGGGCGTGGAAACGATTTGTTCATTGCCTCAATGATTGTACGTTCATTCTCGTTGAGCAGGCCCGCCTCAACCAGATTGTTAAGGCCCGGGAAGCGTTTCTTAACGCGCGGCGATACATTTGACAACACCATTGTGAGGCACAAGCACACATAGCGCATAATTGTGCGACGCATGACGCGACCACGCTCATCCTGTCCATGCACATTAGAGCTAACGAAGACGGCAATCGGATCCGGCCAGGGTATTGAAGTGTACTGATTCCACCACCTTGTCATCACAATCGACACATAGAAACCCAACACGAAGGACAGCGGTATGAGATCACGATAACTGTTGCAATAAGCCACAATGGCCTCAAATGTTCTGGTTGAAGAAAATGAAGAAATGTTAGAATTATATTTAGTATAGGGAAACTACGATTGCAACTTACTCTTTCTGTGCTGGATTGAGCGCAAAGCGATAGACCAGATTGAGCAGATAATATAATGAAAGAAAGGCCAACAGATCCAGCCAAACTAATTTGTAAATACTGCCGCGCCATCTGCAAGGGTACATAATAAGTGTAATTATTATTGTGTTGGCGACTAGTCACAGTTATAAATAGAGCGTAAGCTTATTACCACAATATAGTTGGTACAAAAACATTTCAACGTTTATTGGCTACACCCATCGGTGAGGAGGAGGGGAACAATATATATTAATGCGCGGCATAAAGTCTGACATGTGTTTACAATAATTCCTATAACTGGCTACGTCATCAGGAGTCATCAATACAAAGCCATACCGCCCTGATATGGGGCGATATTGATGCCACCGTCCACTTATTACTGACAAAACGTCATAAAAATGAGCATGTGCCAGTTGAGTATATTTGTAAATCGCCTCACCATCATTTCAAACGAAAGTCGACCAATTATAAACACAAAATTCTTATCACCATAAAAGTTGATAACAACAAAAAACGTATTCATTTAACGCAGACAGGCAAACAAATTTTGAGTTTTATCAGTTGGCAGCAAGATTTCAAGGCTTGTCGGCGTTGATAATTTTAATTAAACTTTCATATGCAAAGATAACCTCGTCTGGAATTGCAATTTTTTTAAAGGGTATATAGTAGCTCGTCTTTTTTTTCAATCTCACTCAAAAGACTTTTACTGCTATGAAATCTAATTAGCTTGAAGGTGATAAAAAGGCTTTAAGAAGGCAATATAATATATTTTTGTTGTTGTTTAAGACTGAAAAACTAAATGTGCGCAGTTTTAGTTTAAAAAGGAGATTACAAACAACAATCTTTTAAGATCCAGCTAAAGCTTATTACCACCTCTGAAATCGAAATTACTCACTATTTACAGCTCTCAACTTAAAATCATTGTCTGTTTTCCATAATTTATTATCTGCAATTTTGTTGGGAATAGAGTATTATGCAGTCGGTTACGTGAGACTGCATCAGTTTTAGCTGATTTTCAATTATTTTGACGTGCTAAATCACATTTCTAAATTAGCACATTATCTACAGGTTCAGTTTGATTATCAAATCTAGGGTAACCTGTTTGTTGATTAGCCACAACAAATAATGCAACTCACCTTATCAGCTGATCATTTATATAGATGTGAACTACTTTTACATATTTACACACTACAGATACTATCTCATATTTATGTAAATATATACATATAGATATCGAAGCAAACCCTGACTAGCCATTATTAAATTATAATTCAAATTACATGCGTGACAGATGTCAAACACATGACGGCTCAGGCAGTCTATATTACATTGCATTTCAAGTGGATGGGTGGCTGGTAGGGTTGTGTTGATATTAGTATCATGTGTGGGTGGAGTTGCTGCTATCAGCGGCACTGCAAACCTCGTTGGTGGTTGAAGGGAAGCGTTGAACTTCTTCTATTATTTGCATTACATGCAATTGTGCGCTGTTTGACGACTATCAACTGAATGTATATAAATGTATATATTTGAGTATAGCTCAATTTGTGGTTTGTGTTCAACTGTGTCAGTTCTTGAATTAGCACTGGACTATCAATTTATACACACTTTACATTCACATGCAGTTTGCACTGCAATTCAAAATTGAGCAAAAAAAATAATAATAATAAGAAAGACGGATAACCTTAGGCATGCCGAATGTAATAGACCCTTGTAGACAGGAGTCAATCTGCTGATTAATCTTTTGTACGTTTCAAATAAATTTTATTTATAGGAGTTTTGTTTAAAGTTTAAAGTTTCAACATTTTTGTTCAAACAAATAAACAGTTTGACATTTATTTTTTAACTGACACATAAGTCAAAAGATTCGGACAGATGGTCTTCATCAATGCGGTTAGTGTTGCTGTTCAACAATATATATTCTTTTGTGAGATAAAAGACGTCTCAATACGTCTATAATACCTTCTACCAATGTATAAAGACAATTTATATATTAAATAAATATTTATATATAATTTAATTTATATGTACTTAGAAATTTGTTAGTAACATCTTGCTTACCTGAGTAATAGTTTGAGAAAACAGCCAAAGCCCCGACAAGTGGCCACTTCTCCTGTATATGTTATTGTCATTTTTGCTACGCTTATTCAAGTTTACACTTGATTATTTGCAGTTGAGATTTGTGATTAAACTAATATTGGTATTGCTTTGTAGCTTCAGTTTTTGTTTGATTCTTATCACGATTCGCCGTTTTGATAAATGTACATTTTGCTGTGTTTTCTTTTAGTTTAGCGCAGCCAATGTCTTTAGGTTCTAAGAAAAAGAAAATCAAAAATATATACATTAAGTGTTAGTCCAAAATCTTTCAATATCATGTAACTGTGCTATATTGTGTCATTTCTAATAGTTTTATTTGGTGTTTATAGTCACGCATATGTAGTTAAGCTTGGTCAAACGCTACATCAAAATTGCATTTGAAATTCAAAAATCGATATTTCCAACTAGAGGTCAATTAAACAGAAAACATGAGACATTAAAACGCGGAACACAATTGAATTGCACATTCAGTTAAACATTTTCAAAAATGCAACAGTGACGTGTGGATTACATTAATTGCAGCAATTAAACAAATTGTGGGGAATAACAGAGAAGCTCTGACTTCCAGCTAACTACTCAAAAACGTACAGATATGGCCATACAATCAGCACAAAAACTATCAATTCAGTGGGACCTGATAAAAAAAAAACAATAAGTTAATTTCCGGGCCAAAATGCCAAGCATATAATCCGAGCTACACAAAATTGAGCAAGTAGCAGACAAAAAATTATTGTTTCCCGGCATGGAATGCAAAACTTATGTTTATATATTTTTTTAAACATTTTTAAGACCAAAATATAATTATATACTTTGCATAATATGCCTCGGATCCTTGACGCATAGAAGATTCGAACTTAAACAAAAAATATATATATATATATATATATATATTTATTACTATTCCTCAAAGTTTTCCATCAATGGATTCCTCAACATTTCATGCAGAAATTGTTGGTCTGTTATCTGAAACTTTATTTTGCGCCACTATGCCTTTCAATATCTTTACTACTTTTGCTATCATCGTTTGTTTTACTTTATAAGCTGTAATTTTAAGTGATCACACAAATAGCACATGTTGCTTAAGCCTAATGTTATATGAGGAAATAATAATTTTTTTTTGTGGAAATGCCATTAATTTTGGGTAAATCCCATTTGAGTTGAGTTAATCGTGTTGTTGCAGAGTTAATAAACATAACCATATTTACAAGCTCAGCGAATATTATTTAGATGTCCACAGCTGTACATATAGTGGTCACAAAAAAAAAAAAAAAAAAACGTTTGAAAAGCGTTGGCAGATCACTTGTGGGCGATATCATTGATGTTATAATGGGTATTTTTGTTCTAATCGGAGGTGTCACTGAGGGTCAGCTGCTTTTGAAAGCTATGATTGCACATTAATTGGTCCAATATATATATATTTCATATTGGAACCTAAAGTTTCGTAACTAAGTTATTCTACTTTTGTAAAAAAGTACTTATGTACTTAGTATTATGTACTTAATGATGACTAAAGATGAGCTCACACTTCTCCGATTTCAAGTGAGAAAAATTTGTTTTCAATGAACACACAAATGCTGACGAATTTTCGTATGTAAGAGAGTAACCAAAAGCCAAAGGTTTTCTGTGAACCGGTGAGCTAATGATCAGAATCCATAAAACGAATACAGCACTCAAATAAAATGGTTGTCTGTGTATTGTCTGGTATGTGAATGTGAGAGAGACTTTTGGGTCTGGATCATGACATCATTTGTTGGTATATTTTACAGATTGAAAAGGTAAGCATGTGTATAAAATGGATACCGATAAATAAATTTGTTTAACTGTACCAATACAAGCTTATTTTTTAGTATATAAACTCGTAAATCACATAAAAGCCAGCACTTGACATAGTCAGCTGATTATATATATGATACATTTTGGTGGATGTTTATAAGATTATTAAGTATAGCTGGAGCAAAATGTGCTCGTGATCAACTAAATGTAATTGCGTGAGTATTATGAGTACTTTGTTGGACATAAGCTGAGAGTATTATGAATATTTGATAAGCAAATGAGTCATTGGGGCCTTATGTAGCTAGGCCCCTTCGTTAAAAGTAAACAACGCAGAGTCGTTCATAAAGAGTTGCGATACAAGATTGACTGCTATGCGATTGTAAAATTCAAATAGAATTTAAGTTGCTTGATTGATGGACTTAAAACATTTAACTAATGCATGAAGCAGAAAAGTTTGCGGGGTATTTAAATGTTCAGCATCCGTATTTTTTTTTTTTATTAATATATAATAATTATTCTCGGAATCACTGTATGACTGCGCTTTATCCACAAACAAAGAAATGTTCTATTTTTTTAATAATTATCGCTTCTGCACTTAATGTGCTAACTGACCTGATTCATATTCGCATTAACTTATTTAGCACTTGCAATCGAGCACTCAAAGCACTTCATTGCCAACTGATTGAAAACAGTCAACTCAAAATTCACAAAACAGCCGTTGGAGAACTATGTCAACACTTACAAACATGCGTACATCAATACATATATTTATGTATATACTATGTATGTAACTGACCTCTGGCAATGTATGAATGCTTGAGGCTTATGCAATAGTGCACATTCTTATCACTGAGTAACCCATTTGAAGTGATTTATGGATAGCTCTTTGCAATTCAAACCAATGACACCTAATAATAAATTAAGTCAATATCAAGAACCAAGTTATTATTAGAATAATAAGGGTTTACGGTAAATCAAACTGAACAACAACATTCGAACTCAACTCGTCGAGGTTAATGACATTTAATGCAAAAAATTGGCAACGGCTGCCAGATCGACGGGTTTCTAAATATATATAGTATATGCATATATATTTACAAAACATGACACACACACACACACTTGTTTCTGAATAATTCGTCTAATACACGAAATGCGAATTTACATAAGTGCTTGAGTATTTTATGTTATTTTATTGGCAGTTCATTTTGATGAACTTGATGACAATTAAGCGGACCCGAACAGCATTTTAATTAAACATTTAATTTTCTTATTATTCAGATTTGATTGTTGTTAGTACTCAAAGCTTCAGCGCACTTTGAAAATATTACGAGTGTCGGGTTGTCAAAAATTTGCATGCGACGCAAATTTTGAGTGTGCCGAGGGTTAAAAATAAATATTTATATATGTATTGAAGTAATGTGTGCTGAGCTTGCACTTTAGCCAATGCGGACTCTGTGATGACTCACAGCGGCGTTCCACTGACAAAGAGACACAACTTATGTTCATATATACATATATATGAAATATATACGCATATAGAAATTATCGATGGCATAACAAAAAAGCTGCCCACTATTGCGGACAGTTCATTTATTCTGCACTTTTTATTTATGATTCGAAATATTCAATCGATTTGCTTCAAATTGAGCATCAACCGGATTCTTGAATTTGAGCGTCACGCGGTTTCTATAAATTTGTATGTAGCGTTAGCATATAATGTTTGTTTAGCGTGGTTAGTTTTACTGATTACACTGTGATTAAATCGCGCCATGGTCACTTACAATTGCTAACTAATATTAGTGCAGTTTGTAACTGGGGTTTGCAGTGCGAACGAAACACGCGAGTACAGTAAACAAAACTGCTCCAGGTACACGAGGTTCACCAACTATAGAAAAAACAACATAGAACAACTCCACCTCGCGTCCAAACAGAGACGACGACGACAACAACAACAACAACAATAAGACGCTGACGCTGCTTCTTTGTTGTTATGTATTTTGGGCTCTTATTTCTTTTCTTGGCCTTTAAGTTTCACTATTTTGACGTCGTTGGTGCCGTTGCCACTGTTATTCTATCACACACACACACATACACACACATACACATAGACACATACACATACATTTATAAAATCGTAGACGCAGATGTATATGTTGCCATGCCCTTCGTGCCAGCCATTCAAACAAATCGCGCTCTGTGCGACGTATTCTCTCGCATTTGGCACTTCCACGCTCAACGACCGCCAATTTCAGACTGAAACTGCTGTGCAAAAATACTAACAGAACTGGGAACACTATTCGTATACCGGCAGCTGTGTAGAAACCTCAAATCCATGCCTGTTCCAATTGCTGCGAGCGTGTGAGAGAGAGCAACACAACACAACTGGTTGTGAGCGGCGAATGGCGATAAGCCAAGCACAGGGTTGGAGTTGACACTGCTGAGGGTAGGCGCCGAGTTTTGCTCACTTGTTTTATGCATTCAAATTATTGTTAATTTATAAGATACACGTATGGACGAATTCAGAATGTGAATTAATATCCAATTGCATCGATCTCTAAAATATTGTACTAAACTTACTGCAAATACTATTAAACATTTTATAAACGCCTTTCGAGTATTAGAGTGAAACATCCCAAGCTTATCAAATTATAAATAATTACTTGCCCATATGACTGGAAGGCCAAAATAAATTATTTATAATATATAAAAACAAATTTACAAGATAAGCAAATTATGCATAATAACTGAGATCATAATGTTAATCATTTTAAGGTGTAGCAGAGCCTGGTATAGTTTGGAATTATGTAATATTTTTTCAAGAAAGAAAAGCACACCAGCAGTTCCAAGTTCTAGTCGTACATCGTACATTGATTGTACAGGTTATTTTCAATCAATAAATAAATATTGCATACTTTCAGGGATACGCATATAAAAATATTAACCTACAGGTTGTAGATCATTTAATGGATCTATTGTCAGCGGTATTTAGTCGACAAATATAGTTGTCTAGTCAGGAATAGTATAAATGATGAATTAATCTGAAACTCAAATATAGAAGTTTACTCTGTAACAGTTGAATCCTAGATAAGCCAAATCTTTGCTTTTAACATTATACAGATAAAGTTCCATTTTTTGATAAACAGGCTGAACAGTTTATACTTATAAAAAGTTATGCCACATATGATCTTAGCAGTGCAAAATAAATTGGAGTCCTTGATAGCAAAGTAAAGCGTATCAGTAAATAAAATTAAACAATGTGTTTTCTTTTATCTTTTGTTACTTTATTATCTCATTCAATAAAATGATTTTGTTTTTACATTTATTTTATGTTGTTTTAAATTAATTACAAATCGTAAGATTGACGTTTAACGCATTTCCAAATGATTGCTTAGTTTTGTTTTTAGACTAAATAGTTTTTGCATTTCGAATTAGTGATATTGTTTCTTGCTTTTTACATTTAGTTTGAACATTTCACTAATTCTCGTACACATTCGATCGTACTTATGGTAAACTAATGACTTATGTTTAGTTGTTATTTTAATTATATTATTAGGCAAATTTCAATGAAATTTTATGTATTTGTTTTCATTTAGTATTTTACAGCGACATCATTTCATTAGCTTATTTGCATCAAAGAATTTAGAAAAGAATTAACAGAATGCTTTTTTAGTTATATACATTTGAGACTTATTTGAATTGGGGGAAAACGTAACTAAACTATGCTAAACATAAAAAACTGTCACATTTCGACTTATGAATTATGGTTTGTATTATATATTACTGGGCGGTCCGCGATGTGCACGCTGTCCATGCAACGTGGAGGAATGTCTAGAGCCGGGTCGTGAATGTACAATTGCATAATCGTTATCAATTGGTATAGACCTTCGAAGTAGTACGTTGGATAAGTTGGTTGATAAGTTTAATACAAAATCAATGGTAAATTATTATGTATATAATATATGTTTCAATAGAAAACTTGACAGCAGTAGTTAGCAACTCTTTCAAATGGACGGTTAGTGTTTTTTTTCGGGTATGGGCAAAAGAAAATTATACGTTGAATACGTTTAGTTTAGTTTTTAAAGTTAGTCATCATTTTAAATGAATGCAAATAATCAATGGTTAATTACAGTTGCAATACAAGGCACGAAATAAATTCATTATATTTATTTTTTTTTTTTTGTTTGTTTTGTTTTTGTTTTGTGAACACATGTTGTGTTGCATTGTTGTAGTTGTTGTCCAGCAGGGCGGGCACTTCAGTAGAGTTAACAAAAGATACGAGTACAACAAAATACGATACATAGATACGATCCAAGGCTTTTGTAGGCATGCTTTAGATATAGTTTATGTGTGTGTATGTGTGTGTGTGTGTGTCTGTATTTGTGTGTTTGTCTGTGTTGGCTCCACAGCTACCAGAAAAAAATATTGTGAGAGCAGATCAGATGCATATCAAGTGTATAGTAGAACTTCAGTGTATAAGAGTGTGTTTGTCTGTGTGTGTTTTTTAGATCAGCTTAATATCTATCAGACCTATTTGAGTGTATCGTTGAACCGCCGCTGGTATAACCCTTGTGCGCATCTCTACCATGCAGCGAATAACGTGAACCATACTGGCTGCCATGCCAACTGCGATAGGGATCGTATTCCTCGATGATGGAGGGCTCCTTCTCAATGATCTGCAAGAAAGGGCCACGCATGTTTAAAATATCAATATTTTATAGGAATTACGACTGGCAGACTTACCTCTGTGTTGGCACAACTACAGCTCATGGCAGTGCAAAGGAAAATATTCATCAGCAACATGATGAGGAACAGAACGCCCAGAGTTATGGCAAGCCACAAAAGCCAGCCAGGCCGTATACGATCATCGCAGTTCGGTGAGATTACTGCAAGAGATAAAATATATTTTATTGTTGGGCTTAGTTTTGATTTCATTTTTATGCCCTCATACCTATTAATTATTATGTGTAAAATGAGTATCAAGAGGTATGTTATTAATTTGCGTGTCTCTGTATATGCACATATATATTGCCCATATTCTACTAAAGAGGCAAAATACTCAGGAAATGCAATAGAAATATTATGAAGAATATATTCTATATTTAATAAAAATATGAATAAAAATATATTACAATTGTAAAAGTTTGATTTTAATGTAGAAAATACATCAAATTTAGTTGCATTAAACATAATTATATAAAACCTTTAAATAAAATATTTATTAAAGCTTTAACAAGTAAGCGCGAAAACATACATTTTTAGTAGACAGTGTGCAATATTTATATACAAGTAATTGAGAAAATTCAGTACTGGAAGGGATTTTAAGTTTCACTTACGTCGCGCCTCGGCAGGATCTAAGACGAAGACGGTTGTGCCCGCTATGCTAGAACCTTCCTCGTTGGGTCCAATTTTGCGGGGTCCATTGCCATTGCCCTTTGTAAAGCCAGCCAGGGAAAGTTCAGTGCAATCATCAATTTCCACACAGCGACCATAGCACTGGATGACGTCACACTGCACATGAACTTCGGATCCTGAAATGGCAATTAAATTAGTTAGTATCTTGCATGTTTTGTGATTGGTCGGGCTACCCACCCTCGGGAAACTTGAACATGGAGGCGAGCGTAGCTTCAGCTGCCCGCCCATCGGAAGTAGGTACAAAGCGACTCATAATTCTTGCGTCATAGGGGCAGCTATGCATGAAAAGAAACCGTTAAGTTCGTTGGTTGCAACATGTCAGGAGCTGATTGAAGAGTCAGTTGTACTTACCCGCGATCATCTGTGAGCTTGAGGGTAAGGTTTTTCTTGTCAAAGGCAAAGCAATTGCCCACGCGTAGTCCATATGTATCTGGATGGAATTAATGGAGTGAGTCTTAATTAGTGCATTCAACAGGGAACAAGGTGCTGTGCTGATTACTAACCGTTTGGTTTGGAGAACTCCGCGCGTATCTTATACTCATGTCCATAGACCGTTTCGCGTACGCGATGATCGTTTTCCAGAAACTTGAGCACAACATGGGCATTGTCATCGCTGTCAATTTGAATGGAAATGAAAATGGAAATGGTCGTTACACATTATTAGCCAACAGTTGACTTTAGTTAGACTTCCCACAATTACGAGCTGATCGCATGCAGTCGCCAATTAAAAGCGCAGCTCATAGGCCCAAAAGTGCGGCCCACTGCAATTCGCTTGCAGTTTCAATGTGGACGGCAGCATTATGCAATTGCCGGTCATTACGTTATAGACAGTTGCGTTTTTATGCCTTATAGGCACAACAACAAACATATGTATACATTTGTATATATAATTTGTATAGTTTTTAATTTTCGCTACCTAGTTTGTTGTTTTGAACATTTTTGTGCATTTATTTTGTATTTGTTGTATTTTTTTCAATTTCCTTTTGGCTTACTGGTTATTTAACAGAGCGCAACAATTTGCAAAAATCACTAATTTGAGCATACCTATGTTTTTCTAAATTGTTTAACTATTTGCTTGCGCTTTTCTTTCACTCAACACGAAAGACTTAGGCAGCGAACTTGCGTAATTAATGTTAAGGCAAAGTCATTGGCATTATGTAAATGCGGCAGGTGGAAATTAAATTGTTTGTGTACAAGACCAGATTGTAATCGTTAAGAGGTGCCATAAATAACTTTACCGTTAATTGAACACAACATTTGAGCTCGGAGTTCGTGCGAAATGAGTTAGAATGTCCAGCAATGGCGAAAAGGCCGAAAAGAATTTCATTGTATCAAACGCCAATGGCCTTGAGTTCTATTTAGCGCTGTCTTTTATATATAGATAATCAATAAAAGGTGCTATAGAAAGGCAACACCTACGGGTACATACAAATAAATATATATATGTATATATACTGGAGCGATTCTCCAGTCAGCATAATTTGATCTTTGATTTCATTTGTTGTGCGCCGACATACATATAGGAAAAAAAACAAGTTTTCGGAAATTATCTGAAATTGGCAAAATACTGGCCAAAACAACTAGCACTCGAAGCACTTTTGGCCTGACGGAAGCTAAACCAAATTACAACGCAAACTCAGCCAGCCACATGCGAGAGTACGCCGAAGTGCAATTGTCTAGACAGCTACAGCTTTGGGCAGTCAAACTTACCGAGCGAAGCCCGATTTGCCACAGGTAATCACATAAAATTTATCATCTGCCAGTTCAAGAGTTTTGTGCACACGCACTGCCAGCTGAATGGACCGCTCCTCCGTACGCTAAGGGGAAACAGAGAGAGGTGTAGACAGTTAAATATTTGTTCAATAAAAGTGCAAAGCGCATAGATGTTGATTGGTTTTAAAAAGGCATGTTAAGAAACTAAGCTGCAGTCGTTGGGAGCGTCTCATAAGTGATCATATTTATGTTCGGCATTTGGCCCTTTAATAAACGCTGCTCTTATGGTGCTTATTGGCTATCGCAAGAATAGATCGCAATGATTGCAGCAGTTTGCGGCAGTCTGGTGTGGTACGTTAATTGTCACTGTGATGTAATTGCAGAACCAGCAACAACAAGGAAATGCAAAATGCTGCCAACTGTGACGCTGACTACCAACAAGCCATTCAGTCATCCAGTCAGCCAGGTGGCCCACACTAGACACACACACACACATGCATTTTCCAGGTGTTTGTTTATCTTATTTAACAATTTCCTTGGTCATGTATAGCTTTCGTCTGAACTTCATTGAATCTTATGCTTTACAGCCACTTTAATAGCTGCACTTTCAAGTTAATGAGTTGGCTGCCAGACATTTCGGTAATAACATGTTTGCATTTCATTTCGAATGCGACTTCACTGTGGCATTTAATATAATTTAGCGTTTTAATTGTGCAGCCACATGTAACATGTAACGAGACGAGCACCAAAATGAAAGACTTAAGCGAACAACTTGCTAGAATGCTCGCTCTTCACTCTTATAATTGTTTCTCGTGATTATGCAACTGTGCGAGTTGAGTTATTGAAATTGTTGAGCTGCCAGTTACCAGTTGTTTCTGTCTGTGGATATCAGTAAATTGAATAAGGCAGTTAAGCAACTGATTTTTATCTGTGGAATACTTGAGTGAATATCTTTAATGCATGATTTTCACTTGAAGAGTTGACGAGTCAGTTAGCCTTGACCCGCAATTGACAGCAATTAAGTAATACACCAACTTCTATAAAAAGACGCAGCTACAGCTGACTCAGCAAGTACATATATATATATAAATAAATATAAATATATATGTATAAATATGTATATACATATATGCAAATATTCAGCATCCGCAGTTTTTGCTTGTATAGTTTACAATTGTTACTTGTAGCACTGAGCAGCTGCAACTCGCTCGACCGGTTTTATTTTCCATACGTACACATACATATAAACATACATATATATATAATAAAAAATAATATTTATTGGTATAATATTTATTGGATTTATCTGGTTGACGTCCCACGTCTGAAGTGTATGTATTAAAAATTGTCAGCGTTTTATGAATGAACTCAAGCTTTTAGGTTTCAGTTTGATCAGTGCTCTTTTAGTATATGACTCAACAAACTAGATAAGTATTGTATATATGTAAGTAGTTATAACATTAGTGCAAGCTGTTAACAAATAAACACTACATAAGTGTACATAAATACCTCGGGCACAGCTGCAAGAGAATATCAATTGACTTAGAGATAGAGTGGCAGGCAGGCAGGCAGGGAGGCAGGCAGGTAACTTGGCAAATTGTGTCACAATTTGTTGGCCAGCTCATGCATCAGGATCGAGCACAGACAAGCCGACTCGAATGGAGCAATCAAATGACGAGCTCAACTCAAAGTTGAACCGAAGCAAAGTGGTGAGTGGAGTGGAGATACAATATACAGAGAGCATAAGCTGTAGAAGCCAGCGGATGGGCTCATTATCAAGTTATTATCAAACCAAGCTGAAGTTGAGAAAATTACTGCGACGATTTTCCATATGTGCACAGTTCTTTTCTCTATACTGTGGTAATTTTGTTTTTTTAAATTACTTAATGACAAATTGGCAGACAATTTTTTTTGTTATTCGTTTTGTTTGCTTGTTTGTGCAATGCAATTAACATTTAAATGATTATAATGGAGCTGCACAAAGAACACACCATAACACCCATCATAAAATAATGGCAAACAATTTGAAGCCGAGTGCGGCGAACTGGCAAAGCGACCCACTCGCAACATGAAATAGGTTCAAGTACACCAAAACTCAACCCACAAAGCCAACAATACTACTTGTGGAAACATCAACAATAATAACAACTTGAACTTTATGTTAAATTTTGTTGGCGGCTTGGGCGTCTCTGCCATTGTCAGCGCCAATTTCATGCTTTGCCAAGTACGGCAATGTGAGGGCTTAGCCATAAAAAAAACCCAAGTAAGAATAAGTATTCTGGGCACACCGAAGATTACATACTCTTGCAGACCCCTATTTATCTAATCTCATCTACATTTTATAGATAGAGTATTCCGCTGTAATTGATTTTTTGCCCAAATATGAGGAGCATTACAAATGCTAAACAAACAAATTCCTTATACAAAATGTCGTTTATCGTGAGCTTTATGATATGTTATTCTAATCTCCCAGATTTTGTTTCTAAATTTTGAAAAACGAACAAATTCGCATATTGAGTAAGTTTGGTTCGGATATCTTGGTTAAAGAAAACTAGACAAACTTACTATTTCAGGAAAAATGAGGACATTTTTCAAGTTTCTGGTTTATAGACTGACAGACGGACGTGACTAAGTCGACTAAGTCAAAAATATTTATGTTTTATGGCCAGTTACATACCTTTGTAGAACTTCATTATGCTCCATTCACCCATTTTCAATGCGTTCAGGGTATAAAATACCAAATCAAAGAGATTACGGCGCTACAAAGAGGTTGCTAGTTGTAGCCTGAGCTCTAGCTTAGGCTGCTCCCTATCTCAGTTTTTGTTCCTGTCTGGGTCTCTGCATGCAGTGCATCTGGAGTGCATGGCCAAGGTCAGACAAAGTCGAAGGCATTTCTGAAGCAATTAATGCCCCACGAAAATATTTGCCAAGAAATAGAATCAAAATTGCTCAAGAGCTTTGGAGTACATACATATAAAAATTCTTTTGACACAAATACCGCGCACACGCCGAACAACAATAAGAACAACGAGCTTAACGACAACAGCAACAACAACTTGGAATGCTGTCAAAGTCGAAGCGTGGAAAGCCTTGTCTGAGCATGTGAACTGTCTGAAAAGGCGGCCTGGGTTTCCAGCTAGACGCCGGCGCGCTGTCGACAGTCCCAACCCAAACAGTTGTTGCCCTCACCCTTTACACTCGTCGACCTCCAGCTATAACACTCCGCTCCCTCAGACGTTTCGCAGTCTGCCATTCGGAGCTAGATCTCTGCATAAAACTCAAGCTGCCGTCGCGATAAGCGTGATTTAATTTTATGGGGGACCTCCCTTTTTGGCCGGCAAACGGAAGGTGGGCCAAGAGAGCTGAAATAAATATGCTACACCTATGCATGCTGGTAAGTGAGGCAGTTCGACTTACCTGTGCCCTGGCCTATTCCCAGTCATAGTTTATTTATAAAATTGGGATACAGGGTGCAGCCTGACTGATTTGACATTGCAATTAATAATGCCGTACTTGTTGGATGTGCTTAAACTTATAACATGACGCGTTATGCTGATAATTTGCATTTCAACGTTATGCGTTATGCGCACACTTGCATACACTAAACAAAATCTGGCATACAATTTAGAAAATCGCAATATTGATTATTACTGTTTTGCATTCTTTTTCAGAGAGGAAGCCTCTCTTCAAAATACCAAGGCTATCTAACATCTTAGATTTGCTACACATATATGAAAATTTATAAATTTTCGAAATAAGTTTTTAATTTTTGTGTTCTAATAATCCATAAAATATAACGTACTTTTAAAAGGCAGAAGTAAACTAAAACTTTTGGCATTGAAGGGTTTTTTCCGATGGGGAATTTTGTGTTTTGTAAATTATGTAAATTTGCCATATCTTTACGACCTTTGAGGTACATTTTGGCATAAATGTTATAAATAATATTAAATAAAGTAAATTAAAAAATGATGACTGGTTTTCAGGACGATAATATTTGCAATTTTCTAAATGCACGGTCTTCTTTTTTTTCTAAAGTGTATTAATAACTGACTTATCTACTTACATATGGCGCTGGCTAATGCTAATGCCTCTTGCCTATATAGGCCCTCACTGCCTTTGTCTGCCATTGTTCAACTTGGGGGCTGCTTACCCACACACAACCGCCGCCTGTCAACGCCCGTGATGCACGTAGGATTAAACTTGATTTTTATTGCCATCGTTACTATATAGACTGACGACTAGTCGTCGCCATCGTCATCGTCGTCGTCGTCGTCGTCGTCGTCGTTTGCATTGCAGCTGTTGCTGATTTGCCTTGATTTGGGGCCAAGACTCAAGTACTTGTACACCAGATACGAGGCTCTCTTTAATTTATGGGCATGCGTGCCCTTTTGGTGCTGCCTGCGACACAGACCGTAGACAAGGTCTTAGTGTTAGCATGTGGAAACACACGCACCTAAGACAAACAGACGCCCGACTGCAAGATACCCCTGCCTTCTTATCTTGCCATTTGGTTTGATTTGTGTCGCTGCACATATATATAAAATTGTTTGCTTAACAAGTTTCTCGCAACCTTTTTAAATATATTAAGCCTTTAGAATTAAGTTGATTTATAAGTTCTGTATTATAAGCGAAGTGTGTATATATTGATATATGATATATTGAGATGCAATACTATTATATTATAGTCTCTGATAGGAGCTTGTTTAATTTTGGCGGTATAAGATATCCAAGTTGCAAACTATTTGCTAAAATGTTGAAAACCAAGTTTTTGATGCTTTCATAAGTGGATTCACTCTTGACACCCAGCAGGACTACTTTCTAATATATTTTATCAGTAGCATAAAATAAAGAAGAAAGTATGTTCATGCCCGTCCTGAAAATGTTTATCTCAGCTGTCATTTCTTATTATATACAGCCCAAACCACTATTAAATCGTACATCGAGCATTTTTCGCTATCTGTATGAAACCTGTTCTGATTAAGTATAATATGAAAGGTAATTAAGTTACCTTTCCAAAAAGTATAAACTTGATTGTGCAATAACAGTTAAAGAAAAATACTCCATGTACGAATAAGCAGTGGGATGAGTTCTTGTATATACTTGTATATATGATTCAGTCCAATATTTCTAATGAATAGTGATAGGTCAATATAATAAAAATCAGAAATGTATCTGAAGCAAGTGCAATGCTCAGAACGCTTAGTAAATCTTAGTGGTTAATATTGTTAAGGAAGCGTTGAATGGGTGATGCTTACATTGCTTCCACTCACGTTGCTGACCAATATTCCGCAGTAGTCTGGCGCTCCTTGCTTGGCCCACAGGTTGAGGCTGAATGCAACCGAATCGCTGCCATCGCCCATGGCCATACAGGGCTGTGTGCGATGATCTCGCGCATGAACAGCGCCTGTGTAGCCGGAACTGAACTTCACCTTGATGTTCATCGTGCCCGCTTTGCACGTGGCTGCGACATGGGGCGCAAACTCGCCGGGTGCCGCCGGCGGTTCCTGTGCCGAGGCTATCTGTGAAAGAAAAACAGAGTGGTATTAGTTTTTATTTATTTTTATTTTTTTTGCTAATAACTATGACCTATTTTAGGGACCCTGGGAACGCACTACATACTACATACACAGCTGTAAGATAGATGGGTAAACATTTTTGGCCAAGTCATTGGGTAAGCATGGGAAGCCATAAGAACACGAGAATTCTAATTAATTTTAATGGCCAGCCAAAGAGTCAGCAAAAGTCGCAATTAATTGCAAGAGGCAACAGCAATAAGCTCGACTCGAATGCTTGGAACTTAGAACTTTGCCATCGAATCTGCGTTTTTGTGTATTTTTGTGTATTGTTTTCAAGTTCTTTGGCGGCCACGCTGCACGTTTTGGGCCAGTTTGAGGTCCAGCTAGAGCCACAACTCCAGCTTCAGCCGCGCACTATCAAAGGCATTTGGCTTGAAGATAATTTATTGGCATGCTCTCGACTTGGGTTTCCGTCGCGTCGTCGTGATAATTGAATTTGTTCTCCAGCTTCAGCTTTCGGCCACAGCCAAAATGTTAAACTGAAACTAGACTTTCAGACCGTAGGCGATAGATAAGCGGCACAAAAGTTAAGTAAGTCATGTCATGACAATCGCACTGATGCCGCTTGCCATTTTACCCCGCTTTTTTATTTTTTATTTTTTATTTGTTGACCAGCTCACGTTCTCACCCTGCGGGCTGGGCCCAACAATTCGGAGCGCCTGTCCAACGAAAGCCGCCTAAATTCCCTACGCTTGACGTGCCCCATTGATTTATGTTTATTTACTTTCGAAAGCTGTCTTGTGATATCCATTCTAGATGCATTCATTCAATGCTGATCTGCAGCGAATTCGGCAAACAGCCCAGTCATTATATAAATATATGGCTTCTTATTTTCGCCGATTCTGATTCTGGAATCTGTTTCTGCAGTGGCTACTGTGGAGGTAGCCAAGTTGGATAGGTAATGTCAATGACTAAATTGCATTGGGTGTATCTACGTGTATACAGAGAAAACTAATTTGGTAAATAGAAATATACGATTTCTTAACCGATCTTATGTTGTTATTCAATATAAGATCAAGCACGGAGCGAATCTGTATAATTATGGCTATATTGCTATAAATAAATAAAATAAAAATAAATAAGAATGATCTGGGTCTAGTATTCAAGTTAAGTCTCTAGCATCACATAATCTCTGAGATGGGTGCTTTCATGCAGACGAACAGACAAAGAGGCATATTTAAATCGATTTGACCTTTGATGTTGTTATATAGTATATCTATCTAAGTTATGGGGTCAGAGTTGCATTTGCTTGTTATATATATTTGCACAAATTTATTATACCCTTTGTTACTTATTTAGAATGGATTCTGGGTATAAGCAAAATATGTTGGCCAGTGTGCCACTTTCTAAGCGTGACTAGAACGTCCACTTTGCATCGCATAAGGATTTTATTGGCTTGTAGCTGCACCACTTAAATAAAACACCAATATCTGTAATAAATGTGGATGTCGCTTCCTTTGTTTGCTCATGCCAGCAATTACAGCCAACATCTTTTGGCGGCGCAGTTCAATGCGCGTTGCCAACGCTCGAGGGTCACATAGTACATGCATGCATATGTGGCGCGTTGTTGCAAACACAATTCCAATTCCAATTCCATATCCAATTTTAACTTCAGCTCCAGCCGCAACTCCCATGACAATTTGTCGCTTGGCAAAATGCAATTGTTTTGTATGAGTTTTGCATTTTACATTCAGTTACCAGAATCCGCGACAGTGGCTCAGAGGCTCAGCTACAGCCAGAGTCACAGTCAGAGCTGGAGTCAGTCAATTAAAATTGTTTTTGTTTTTTTGCATGCTCGTTTCGCTATCGTTCGGCTTGTTAAAATCGCAACAAAAATTGTTGCCAGCTGTTGGCCTTTGTATTATGCAACACGCTCTGATTGTTGTTGACTTTCCATATAAACAAAAACTAAAAAAATAACAACTACAAAATACAAAGTAGAAGCACAAAAAAAAAAAGCGAAAATCTAAAACACAATTAGACACTTGCGCTGCCAGTCACGCCACAGAAATTGCTGCAGCAACTGAAGCCCAGCGCCCATTAAATCCAATGAGGCGGAGCTTTGATTTTGATGGATTTGAACTGGCTCATGTGCTCAGTCATTAGTTGCTGCCACAGTTGCTATTGCAGCCGCAGGACACTCGGGTGATTTTTCACAAAATTCCTTTCTGCCGGCGATTAGGGGCGAAACAAAAGACTTGCAACAAAAAACTTGTTTGCCGCACTGCATGTAAATCGTATCAAAAATCACAGCCAGACTCAGACTTGCACAGCTGGAACTTCATCCAACTGGACAAGTTTGCTGGCTGCTTGGATTCTTGGCTTGTTGCCGGGTTAAACCATTAAGCGCAACCAACTGCTAATTTATATAGCTGCAAGGGGTCAAGCGCTGTTTGCCATAAACCATAAGTCTACAGACATTGCCCTAAGTATTAACTATTAGAAACAGAAATATGCGTCATTAGCTCTACAAAGTTACAGAAGAGGAAGCAATTAGTTGATGTTGAAAATGACAAATCTAAAAGAACCAATGTGAAATATAAAATCTATCACCTCTTAAGCATTGACACTTTTAAAAGTATTATCAATTTATTGAATAGTCATTTTTTATATTCTTTTAAAGTGGGCTAAAAAAAACTTGAAACATCTCATCGGCATAGTACAAATTTACCAATGTTTGTTACCAAAAAAATAACTCCTTCCTTGTAATTGACATTAAAGTGTAAAATCATTAAACATTTATTTAACAATTAATTTTTTAATTCTATCTAATTTGGTAATAATCACAAGCAAATCATCGTCACGGAAAATTTTAATGTTGTGGCAGACGTAAATACTATTTGTTAACAAAGAAAAACTTGTCTGAAATTGATAGTTAAAGTTTTCAACCGCCTGCTGCCAATTATTAACTTAGCGTTGCCAAAATTTAAATACTTAGAAACAATGATGAGAGCAAGAAATGCTAATTATATATCAGTTTATTTGAACGACAACAGCTGAGAACTTTAACACAGATAGAAGAAAGTTTTTTTAATTGGAGATTAAGGTATTTGAAAAGATTTTGCTTAATGTAAAATTTGGGAGCGTTAATCAACCTATTGAAAAGGCTATAAATCATTTAAATTGTGAATACATAATTTATAGTATTGGGAGATATGAGAAATTTGAAAGCTGTAGAAGCATTTACAAATATATTATTTGCATTACGTAGAAGTATAATTGAGCATCATATAAATATAAAAATAAAATATATATATATAAAGATGTAAATAAATATTGTATAGCATTCCATTATTTTCTTTTGAATTGTTTAGTTTTTTTTTTAAATACATAATTGCAGATCATCGAAAGCTCAGTTCTTAAGAACAATATGTTTTTCTAATTAGTTAATCACCAGGTCTAATGTTGATGAAGCAAAAAATGAGTTAGCGTGAAATCGTGGCGATGCTTATAACAACTAAGGTAGAAGTGTTACAATTTGTACTACATAGTTGCAATGCTCATTTGAAAGTAAAGTATAACAATATGCTTGTAATTTACGTGCTCAACTAATTATAATTAAATTGTGGACAGAGCTCTTATATACAGACACATATTTGTTATCCGGTTGGGTGTGTTTCCTATTGCTGACTTTTTAGAAAACATAAATATTGCGCAACAGTTGTTTTGCGATACGATCACCCAGAGCCTGAACTGCGACTAGGCGACTTAGGCGAAGTGCAGCTGTGCATATTTTCAACTGATTGCCAAATAAATTTGCTAATGCTAAAAAGCAACAACAACAGAAACAACTGCAACTTATGTGTTAGAAGCAAAACGAAACTCGTGCACAACAAAAGGCGGCCTCAAGCATGTTGGCCAGGGGATTGGTGGAGGCGGCTGAGGTGATCGGACTATGCGCCTAAACTTATTTTGTGTGCATTTGAATTTCCGCTATGTGCGGCTGAGCAGTAATAAAGCTTGCCAACTAAATTATAACATAAAGCCCCAGACCCACCGACCGACCGACCGACCAGTCGCGGCCAACTTGTATATATACACTCAGAAAAAAAAACGAATTGAAATTTACAAAATGGCCGGCAATCTTAAGCATAGAATTTTAGAGTGCATAATATTTTTACTGAATTTTAGATAGTATGTTTTTAAGTAGAAGGGTTTGTATTTCTACTTTTCATAATTATATTTCTGAAAAATACTGATCAAAATAATGTTTTGCATATTGATTAAATTTTTCATAAATATTTTATATATTTATGGATTATACTTTTGTCGATTTAGGACAAACATCTTCTATTTTACGCATTTTTTTTTTTAAATATTTAGAATTAATTGTAGAAAACGTAATACTTTTATGTCCGATTTTGTAATTTCATTGCTCTTCTTTCTTTTGAGTGTATAGCTCAGGCAGCAAGTTGGAGCCTCCAGTTTGAGTCGCTGCTTGCCGAGTTGTTGCTGCTGCTGATCGCAAATTGTCACGGTATTTTCGCAAGCAGCGCATAAATTGCCGCTTAAGCGGTCGCAGATCGCATTACAGACGTCGCAGTCGTTGCAGCAGTCGCATATTGTTGGCCGTATTTATAGCTAGTGTCGAGTTTTTGGGGCTCGGCCAAAAGCTTAATGAAGCTACAGGCTGCACAGGCGACAGGCGACAGGCGGCAGGCGGCACGCAGCAGGCCGTATGCTTAACAGAAACTCGTTGGATGAGAGCTGACTGTCAAAATGATTTTGGTTTGGTTAGCCAGCATTTTCACAGAGGCAATGCTAGTGTTTTCATTGATGGCCTTATGCACTAAATATAAGATCTGCAATTAATGTCGCTGTCGCTATAATTAAATTTCAATTGCTGGCGCGCTGCTCCATTGATGTTCTGACGCTGACGCGCTAATTTCATGGCACGTACCCAACTGCACGTACCCAATCGACCCAGACTCATACCCAGACTGAGACCTAGACCCAAGCCCGGACTTGGTGCTGCCGTTGTCCCCTTTCGACGCAACACTGGGGTCAATTGTGTGGCTCTTAATACAATAATAAGCACTTATATATGGCCTTTTGTTGCTGCACTTTTTGCTTCTGAACAGCAATCAATAGATGGCAAAAAATATGTTCAAACTATTTACTACTGTTAACTATTTCATAAAAAGAAAACATCTCAAAGAACATGGCTACGAGCATTTCCAGCTTATTTATGTGTTTTACTAATTGCTAGTTGTTGAGTAGTTTTCTCTTTTACTCAGAGCCAGCCAGACTCAGTTGGCGTTCTTTACTTCCAACAGTAGCTGAAGAAAGGTTTCGTTTTAATGGTTTTCCCATAAACTGTAGCCACTTACGAGCATGGCAAGTACTTTCTTCTCTGATGTTTTTATCTTAGGGCATCATGCTGCTTTATTGTGGAGTTGAAGTTAAAGTTGAAATGGGCTTAAAATGTTTTGAAAGCTGCCTTTAATTGAATTTATCTTGGACATAACCCTCTTAACCCAATAACAATGCTGGAAAATTACCGAAAATTCTTTCATTATAATTATTATACATTTGTTGCTCATTGAATTGTCATTAATCACGATTTGAGTGCTTCAATTATGAACCTTTGCGAGTCATAGTTACTTTGGTTGCTAATGTGAAACCTGTCAGAAAGTGCCACATTCTCTTTACCCATTGGATGAAGTTAACATCTAAGTATTCACCTGTCGTGATTTCTAGTCAGGCTAAATGTCGCGACACTTTCTTCATCTATTGCCTTAATTACCTAAAATTGTTTACTCAACACTTTAATGCACGAAAAACCCATCGTTAAGCCCCTGGGCAACTACACAATATTTTTCCCAAATACCCTCAAGCGCTGAGCAATTTTCATAAACGCCACTTTCCATGCGCATCATTTGCCAAAACAGAATCTGAAAGCAACTCAGTCGCAGGGCATAACAAATAGTAGTTAGCTAGCCTGTCGCTTCTTTTTAGTTTTTCTTTTTTTCTTTTTGGGTTTTTTGGAGGCACAACTTTGGGAGCATAAGCCCCAATGACGAGCCAATAGAAGACACTGTGGAAATTTCATGAGACACCGGACAAAAATGCAACAAAAGCAGAACTGGCAAATGGTTTTTCCCATTAGCTTCAAATAAAACCTACTTTTACTCCAGCTAACAAAAACAACAACAACAACAAAAAAACAATTGCTAAAATTGCTGCTGTTGTTGTTTGTTGTTGACTGCGTTGAGTGACAGGCACCAAAAAGAGTGGCAGAAGTGGAAGCAGAAGCTAAAGCAGAAGCAGAGCAAAGCGCACTCTGCACGTGAACAATGCAAGTTAATCAAATAATGAAGTGTACTAACCGACAAAAAAATACAAAAAACAAAAGAAAGAAAGAACTTTCTCCATTGGCGCACTGCTGAGAACCAAATGCCACTGATGATGACCCAATATGCCAAACACTTTTGCATAGATTTTAATGAATTTTACGCTAGACTGGAAACTGGGCAACTGCAAAATGCTAACTGGCAACTGACAACTGTTGGCCAGTAAACAAAATAATTTGCACTCGAAATCAACTCGGCGTTAAATTGCGTCAACTCTAGAATGCTACAGGCCAATAGTAGATTCTGTGGTCAGTTTGGTGGCATGACATAAACTCGCTTTTTTTTGTGTTTATTTGTTTTTTGTAACGCTTTGAGAATTATGGCCAGCATCGGAAAACTAACTGCGCAACACATATCTAATGGCAATAGCAATAGCATAACTTCCTGACACACATTATCTACACTACACTCAGAAAAAGAACCCAAAAATGTTGTAAATAATCTGAGAAATCACGAAGGTTTTCTGTCTCATGGAAATATTTTCCATGCTTATCAAATAAGTTTTCTAAATTTAAGACACTTAGCTTATAAAATATTGCTTCTAAAATGTTGAGAAAAAAATGATAAAATCAAATTTTCCAACTGTGGCTATTGTAAATTATAATCCATATAAATCTTTTAAATATTTAAAATGTCTTATGGAATTGTAAAGTATTTTGTATATCTATTAAATAAAAACGCAGAAAGAGCAAGTTAGTCTAAGATCTCTGTGTACACTGTTAATGATTGAAATTAAATCTGATTTTTAAAAAGATACAATTTTCCAATATATAAATATATCTTATGAAAATAAAGGTAAGTCTATCGGTATGTATGCGCTTTTTTTTTTTTTGTAGTGTAGCAATTCAAGTCGCATCAAGTCGTCTCCAGACGCAGACACACTACTAACCCAGTGGCGGTTGCGTGTGGCTAACAAACTGGTTGCTCTTCTAATTGCCCCAGTCCAGCGTTGGTTACCAGCGGATATCTACTACTATTGACTATGACAATCCAGCACCAGTTGCACCTCGGGCAGTTCACTTCATTGCACTGTCGGCTTTGTGGTCGATGGTGATTGGAGTTGAGTCGAAGAAAACAAAAACTGGCTGCCCGACTGTTAATTAGAGCATAATGGCGTGCATCATAAGAAATATTCCATTTGCATTCTGTGGTTGGGTGTGCTATTATCAAAATTCATAAACATAAAAAGAATAGAGGAGGGAAAATCGACGCAGCTACGATCTAGTTAAACTGTTTGAATACATATAATGCCGGGTAGCTGTACAATTTCTTTACCGTTAACGTGAGCACAAAGCACAAAGACAGACACACATCCTAAGAAGCGAAGATTTAAGAACTTCAATCAAGTAGCCATAACAATCAGCCAGTTTGTTGTCTAAGTCTTTTGTTTAGGTTGCTTAGCAATCGCTGCCCGCTGTCGTTGATGCCTCAGCGGTAATTCTAAGAAAACATTTTTGAGTATAATAAACAATGAATCATATTTCGGGTATATTCTCGCTGCTGTTCTACATGGCATATATAGTACAACGATTCACTTCAAAATCTTCAATTGAGTTTTGTAAGACACGTGCTTGTAAATTCCGCGAAAGACTTGAAGCATTATAAAGAGCAAGCAAAAATATGCACATACTTGATGCGAAACCCCCATGGCTTAACCGCAGGCCAACGTGCTATTTGCGGTTAAAATCAACGCGTCATTTCTGGCCAAATACGCAAGATTTTAAATCGGTGTTAGGTTGCGTTTTGTTACCAATTTTTTGGCTTTTTTACTTTTACGGCCAGCAATCCAACGGCATGACGACATGGCCAAAACTTATATAGCCATATACATATGAATATCATCATACAATGTGTGTGCCTCGGAAATTAGCATATTTTGTTTGCTGTGACATTGAAATGGATTTTAATGGCCCGTAACAATTATAATAACAACAACAACTTAACAAATGTGCAAGTCAATATTTTTATTTACATTGAGCATTGACAAAAGGTGACAATTATTTTTAATAACATGTTCGATAGTTGTCGAAATGCGTTGCGCATTTTAAATACTATTCAAAGCCTGGACTTGGACTCTGTGTGTGTGTGTGTGTGAACAACCTTATGAAACTTAAAACAGAAAACGCAAGTTCATTTCTTGGCTAATGAGTGTAAAGAGCAGAGCAGAGTTAAAGCAAAGACAACAACAAAAACAACAACAACGAGAAGAACATCAAATGTACCGTAAGGTAGCTAAATTTCAATTTTAACAGATATTTAACACGCACCCATATGCATAGGTTGTGTGTGTGCTTGTGTGTGCTGTCCAGACAAACGTCGGTAAACTTATATCTTAATTATCATTAACTCTCATGATCATCATAATGTGTCCGTGTTCCCTTCAACATCATCTTCATTATCATGTTGATAATCATGATTATTCACAGAAATTTAAAGCGGCTTCGCTGCGTTTGTTTGCCGTTGTTTCTGCTTCAAGGTTCTGTGAGTTTTGCATTAGCCAAAGCTAACTAAAAGACTAAATAGCCTTTGCTGTCTTTGCTCTCGCTGTTGACGTTGTTCTTATTTTGCATGCATGAAGTTGTAGGCAGTGCTCTCAGTGCTCCGCCTGCCAAGCCCAAAACGCCTTTATTCGACGCCTCACGTGGGCGCTGAGCTGTGTATTTTATTACTTTTTTTTATGATGTCATTTTTGCGCGACCGCTGGCATCAATAAATACATAGTTCAATATACCCGTTATGCATAAAATGCCGCTGCATACATCAAGAAACTGAAAGTTTTTGTATTTTTAGCTGTCAATCAACGAAATACTCTTGCTAAATTGCGGCCTGCGGCGAAAATAAATAGCTGTTTCTTTTATTTATTTATTTTATTTCTCTAAACAGCTTGGAGCTCCCATTGCGGCTAGAAACTAACTAAAACATCGCTCATACGCGTGAATGCAGCTGCTCAAAGAGACCGGCTTGGACCAATTCCAATCGATGCAAAGCCTTTGCAGCTGTCGTTTTAATACAATTGTGCCATTTCATAAGCCAAAAAATGAAATCAAAACATTCCTCGACAAACAATTGAAAATTGGGCTACAATTGAGAAGGGCCAGCGAGTAGAAGTAGTGCTGGGTAAAAGTTAAGATATCGGTCAGTGGCACATTTGAGAAATGAAAAATATACTTGTAAGCAGCACAAGCCCACAAGACACCATTCTATTGATAAATGGATAAGCTGACTAACTGAGCACTGAATCGGGCGCAGCTGCGGCAACAACACAGTTCATTAATTTGTCTTGCTTTGGAAAATTGCCGTGGAAAATTCACGTGCCCGCAGCGAATGTTGTTTGTACGAGTTCGAGTTTACGAGTACGCCATGAAAATGGTCAGGTAATGTCAGAGCTCGCGGTTAACCTCGTTTTTATGCCAGCTCAGAACATTATTGTATGCAAATGAAAAGTGAAATGGATGAAAGAAACTGTGTGATCTACAACTAGTTATAATTGTCTAATTTTTTACCACTCTCACACCCCAGGGGGCGACGAATGATTTGAATAGTGGTGTGTGTTAACTTACCTGTGTGACGAGCAGCGCACTGAGCAGCAGCCAAAGCGTCGTCATTCTCCAACTGGAGCCCTGAGCTTCCTTTGTGTGGTGTGTCATACTGGCGCACGTTCGTTGCCTAAGACTTTTGTTATGTGGCGTCACTTATCCTTATGGAATAACTGTAAAAGTCATTGATCAAGCATTTTGCAGTGGGCAATTGTGCAAATTGGTATTGTAAATTATTATGGCAAATTTCATGCGCATCACGCAGTTGGCAACTAAACAACTGATTCCAGCTGCAACTCATAACAAATTACTCATTCACCTTGCTGGTTTTGTTGTTTTTGTCGCTGCTATTTTCAAATGCTGAACAGACGATGATGAGTCAATGCGAGAACAATGCGAGCTTTTAACAATTGCTTTACTCGAAATAGATAGCTCTCTGATTTGCTGCGGTTTATTGCGCTTTCGGTTGCGCAGCTGCAGTTCAGATCATTTAAAGATTTCTGTGGTTTTCTAGCTTACAACTTTCTAGGAATTTTGAAGTGCGCAAACGTGACACAAGTACACGGTGTATACGGTGTCCGCCTTAATAATTTCTAATCTTTTAATATGCTTTTTTATCTATGAATGTCGGCGACGAGCATCGCATCTGTTTCTCACGTACACGATTTCATTTTCTATTTTACACCATCAAAATTAAGAGCGACCCCGAGCTGATTGATCTGTGAAACGCATTCAACTTTGAAATGAAGCTGCTTTTTCTGTCGAAAAAAGGTTTCGCAAATTGTTTCCAATGAAACAACGAGAATGAGTGAACAAAACAAGTTTTTTTTCAACGAGAAATGATTTTATGGCACACCAATTGTAGGTATCGAAAAAAATACAAAAATATAAAAATAAAATCCAATAATAAATTGGCGCGCATTATAATAAGAGGCGGTCAAAAAAGAGCAAAGAGCTGAGAGCGCGCTTACGTCATTAGATCGCATTGTCACATTGTGAAAATGTTCGTTAAACACAATAATATATCATGCAAAAATATATCAAACAAAAATTAGAATCGAATTTAGTATGCGTTCATACAACTTCCATGTTTTCTGTGGTTGAAATTAATAATAATAATTCAAAGAGCAGCGTCTGGCGGAAATGGGAGCACACCCACACGTCTGTAATCACATCTACACACGCTCGCACATCAAGGGGAGTATAAAGTACATATTTGATATAGCAAGCTGAGCTTAGCACTAACGAAATCATTTTTTTGTAATTTATTCAGTGTGAGCACACTTTATGCAATAACTTAAAAACCTAACGCAAACAGTTGTTAACATTTGAGCTAAGCACATGAGCCAGCAACTAAGAGACCAGATTTGGCTAAAGACAAGTTAAGAGCGCATCTCTGTGCGAGAGAAGATCTGCTCATAAATTCACAAAAGTTTCAAACATTTTAATTTAAAACATTACAGATTTTATGGGGTTTTTTTTTATCATTTCCTTAAAGTTTTCGCATGAAATTTGCCATTTCTTACACGGATGATTGTTGTTTATTTATTTATGCAAAGTAACTTTTTATTTTGTGTCCATTACTTTATATTCACTTCGTTGCTGCGCTCTTTAGCAATTTTTGTAAGCGAGCGTGCACGTGAAAACAAGTTTTATGCAACAAGTCGAGGCGTATTTATTGTTTGTTAACAGTTAAATTAATTAACAGTTAAATTTATTACTGTTTTTTTTTTGTTGAATCAGATGCGTTATTTAAATTGTATTAGATGCACTCACACAATATGCGTTAGTTATTGCAAGGGCTGTTCTGAAACGCGCTTAACTGAAACGCAACTGGCAATAAAAACTTTCCGCTTGACACGTTTGCAACAACTTTACGGCTCGAGAGATTGGTTGCGACTGAAACTGGCAGCGTGGGGCCGTTGCTTGGATGCTCGTGCTCCAAGTTGGCTTAGCATTGGCTTAGTTGCCGCTCCGTTGCTGCTAGTCGACATCGTCATCGTCGTTGTCGTTGTTGTTGCTGTTGTTGCTGTGTTCTCTTTGCTTTTGCTTTAGCCTTCTGCTGTTGTTGTTTTGTGTTTACACACAGACATACTTTTCACGTTTCGCTTTTTGGCCACATCTTTCGTTTGTTTAATGCCTCATCCGCATCGGTGGCTGGCCATCGTGCTTGAATCGTCGTGCTGCCAGATCGTTGAAAAATGAATGTGGATTGGACTCCCATTTGGCCTGTTATCATTCATACCATTACCGTTAAGCTTTTCAGTAGTAAAAATAAAGCAGCACGTGTATATATGTTTTGTGTGTGTGTCTGTATGTGTGTGTATGTGTGTGAGTGTGTGTGTGTGTGTGTGACGGTGGTTGCTATTTGCACGCTTTTGAAGACTTGAATGAATCGATACACCCGCAGGCTTACTATCAGACACATGCGCAGTGGCTTCGAGAGTGTTTCAAGGCACTGAGAGTTTTCAAGCAGTGTTGCTAAATGCATTAGAAATAACGGAATATTTTTACTTGTTGGGCCTTTAGTAAAGAAATATTTAGTTATTTGACATTTTAAAGTAGATTTATGTACTTTTACTTTTTGATTTGCTTAAATGAAATGAATATGCAAATTTTGGAACGTTCTTATATTTTAAGATTCTCAACACCCACTGAGTACTCTCTGGCCCTATCTCTCTCCAACTGGCGCTCTCAGTCTCTCTTTTCGGTGGCATGCTCTCATGCCGTTACACAAAACATTTTGGTGGGAAATTAATATATAACAAGTCGACCCGACGCTCAGTGAAAATTTCATCACCGTCGTTGACAGTTCAGCTATTTTTTGCATTGTGCGCTCGAAATTTAACAATCAAATTTAAATTTAAAAAGAAAACCATTTTTGTGTTCATTTTTGATCATTAAAGTCATTTCAAAATTAACTCGGTTATTTCATTACAAAATTAATCACTTAACTGCAAAAACAAAAGTGTGAAAATTGCTCTGCTCAGTTTGGCGAAGAAAAAGTTGCAACTCAAACCCGAAAGGAATTTGGAACTGCCAAAAAAAATCGAAACACGGTAAAAATTCTGTATCACTAAGTCAGTCAGACAGGCACCGTTGTGTGTGCAGTGTGTGCGTGTAAAGTATCTATGTGTGTGTGTGTGTGTGCCATTGTGTGTGTACGTGATAAGCGTAGATAGACGCCGTAACAACAAACCCCAGGCAAAGGCAAACGCAGAGACAGAAACAAAAGCTGAGAAAACAGGCAGAAGCGTTTTATTGAATTAAACGCAAAACAAAAAGCGCTGAACGATTAAAGAGTTTGCTAACCCATTAACCCACTAACACCAGCACTCTAGCCGGGGTAAGTGGGGGGTGTGGACGGTGTGGGTGGTGTGTGTGGTGTGGGTGTTGTGAGGTTGGGGGCGTAACTTGCATTTCTAATTGGAAAGTAAGCAAATATTAATTAGTAAGCAGTAAGCAAATAAATACGAGTATTTATTTATAGCACCCACCCAAAAACTATGCAACGAGCAGAGTTTTGCAATTTAGCTAATGAGAAGATACAAAAACACACACACAAACGCACTGCACGTGGGCGGGTAGACGTAAGTGTGCCAATTAATGTGTCAGCTAAAAGTGAGGCAACAATGTGTTGCAAGGATATTTTGTTGTTGTTGCTGTTGCTGTTGTTTGCGTGCGAGTCTTTGACCTCTGCCACGAGCCGTGTCACATTTATGCCACAGTTTTGTCAGCATCGTGATTGCTCCCTTTTTTTATTGTCGCTGATTTTTTGCTTTAATTACCATTGAAAGGACGTTAAACGTTCAGAAACTGTCAAGCAGCTGAATATGCCTGCTTAACTGGCAGCAAAGGAAATGCGGCCTGGAAAATGGGTTAGATGTGGCTGCAGGTGTTTGTGGATTTCCTTTTGCGTTTTGTGCGGCAACAAAATAATGAGTGCACTGCCTCTGCCTCTGCCTCTACACATCGCTCTCCGTTTATGCAACCAGTCGAGAATAGTTTATGAGGTACCAAAAGAAAAACTTTCGTAGAAGCCAACGGTGAGTGTAAAATGCAACCTAGATGGCGAAGATGATGGATTGTCGTGTCCACCGAGCTGCAATCTACTCTCATCAAAGGGCTTAATGCTGTTATGGAGTTTGAAGCCCAGATTTCAGCTCGCTACCGAACACAAAAAAGTTGTTACAAACAATGCCAAAAGTTGTACACCAACACGTTACCCTGGTTATTAATTCAAAAAGTTTTCACACAACGGATACCACACACTGCCACACGAAATGGCAACAGAAACTCCGATTTTTGGATTTATAACTGGTTAATCTTACATTCTATAAATGAGATTTACGTTTGGTATACCCAAAAATTAAACTAACTAAATGTTGTTGTTTTATACATATTGTGTTATGTAAGCAATCAAAACATAAATATTTGGATTAATCATTGTTATATACATATAGATTGCGTGCAGTAAGCAATTTGTGTCACTGCATGAAATAATAAACACACTTGCCACCAAGTATTTCATTTCCGATTCCGATATTTGGCAGAGTCATCTGTCAACTTTGACATTTACAGGCGAATATGGGTTGGGTTGTTGGAATGGCAGGGAAACGTACGCTACCGGCGAAATGGCAAATGTCATCAACTCAACCAGTAACTAACCGGGAAATAAAAAAATCACTTTATTGCTTATTTTTTTTGTAGAAAATATATTTAAAAATGTAGCAGCAAAATCTTTATTCCAGGATGTTTTATATATGCATCATAGTTGCCAGAATATAATTATACACTTTTTCTGAAAAAAAAAAAGAAATTGCATATCTTTTCTCTGAGTGTAGAGAGGAACAGACCCGAAACTTTCACAGCTTCAATGTGTGGAAACCGTACATTTGGCCTGTGAGCGGCGACCCACGCGAATGTGTCACAAAGTGTAAGGAGTAGACAAAGTGACGCCATTGGCGAACTTCGTGGCGTATGTGTAACGTCTCAAGCTTTAAGTAGGCCATATAATGAAAGCTTATGTATATCGCAAATGCAATTTCTACATTGTCCAAATCCACGCTTTATGCATTTTTTTATGACACTGTAATTTTTGGTATTTGCAATTCCAAGTCCCATTTGCTTACTAACGAATTTCAATTTATGCGCATATCATTAGAGTCTGCCAAGGACATGCTACATAAGAGACCAATTTGTGCCTCACGGCTGCCGTTGTTATGTCAATTTGTAACACGCATGCCTTAAGTCAGCCAAATTAAGTAGGCTACGAATAGTTGCCTGAGTGTCAACTTTAATTCTAAACTGCATTTAATTTTTGTTTTTGTTCAACAACTTTTAATCCTTATTGCTGAAGCCAACAAGTAAAAGTCGACTTGAAATTAATTAATTGTTAACATTCAAACTATGTTAAAGGACTTATTTTAATGACTAACTAGTATAAAATTGATGTAAACAAATTTTTTGCTGAAAAAACAGATTATGCCTTTTAAAAATATACTCTATAGAGTCAAAAATGATTCCTTCTACCTGTTATATACTTTTGAACAAAACACTATTTATTGTAAAGATTTGGATTTCTCATTCAACCAAGTACAAAAATTTCACAAAGTGTATATATTTTAATTTAAACAAGTTTTAAGAGCTAGCATATACAAAGTTTCTCGTACTGTGTTTTATGGCTGGTGACAGTTAGGTCATCAATATATAGGAACAATTTAAAATGACGACATATGGTAATCGCAGGAGCAGTAAGTGCCATTGTTGATTGGTAAAAATGTAGTTTTCTATTTGACTTTATTTTGATAAACGTCAATAAATATATATATAGATATTGACCAAGCTTGTAGTCACTTTCTCTCTCTCTCTAGAGAGAGCTTCAGACGAGAAATAACACAAGTCGCGTTTTTTTGTTGTTTTTTTGTGAATAGAGTAAAAACAGAATAAACTACTTTAATTTATGCATTTATTCCAAAGCTTGAACTTAGCTTTGCCATTATCAAATTGTAATGCTGCATTGCAACCAAAAATGTATATAATCGTATTTTCTTTAATTTTTCTATGAAAATATGTATGTACAGTAAAATACGGCAAGGAGTCAGTTATTGTGTTCGACTTTTCCCATGTTGGTCTGCAATAACTTTTTACTCTCAGTTGTGAACATAGTACATATACTTTTGTTTGTATACACATACTAACTTTGTCCTATTTTGCGGCTGGCGAGTACATTGAACCAGCAACAATCATCGTTCGAGTTGGCAGCAAATACAGCTCACAGCAAAAGAAACAGTGAAAATAACAACAAAAGACAGTCAAAGGGACAATCAGAGAGGCAGCCAGGATAGTCATTGAATCAGGACTGAACCAAGTCAGTGCTCGGGCAACCAGAGAATTCTCTGCTTTGTTCTCTATGTGCACTTTGACTGACAATTGAATTTTTGCTTGTTTGCTGAGCAAATTAATTTGTAGTACAACTTTTAATGTAAACTTATTTGTTTCTTTTTTCTGTAATTGCAGCATTTAGCGGCATCTTAGTTGAATCAGTTGAACAGGCATCTTAACGGAAACTGTGCGCCAGCAAGACTGAACAGCGGCCAACTGTTCTGGAACATCCTTGTCCACGGTCAATATTAGCGCCATTGCAACTGCTGGGTGTGGGCGAATCTGCGCCCCGCCATTGGTAAGGCGGTGCCAATAACTCATATGCATTCAACCACCTTGCAAAACCTTGTTAAACTGCTAATAACTCACAACTCACAACTCACTGCTATCACCTATTCACAATAACTCATGCCACGTCTTGCTTTGGCCTATACAAACATTCATTTAAATTTTTCGGTTTTGCATTTTTAGTTGCCTTTAAAACTCGGTTGAGCCTTTAATTTAGAGCAGCTTGCTACCTTGGATTGTACACACGTCTCGAACATAAACTCAAATGGCCCACAACTGTGGGGATGTTTGTTTGTTGTGCGTGCTGCGAGTGTTGGCCCATAATGTCAGCTTCAAAAGTTTCAAGTGCCTGGGGCTAAAGGGCCGCCGCCCAATACAGCAACCACTTACATGCAACAACACGAGAAGGCCGTGCAACGTTTTGGCTACAAGTGTTTGACATACTTGTCAGGCAAACACGGCTCCCCATTCGACTTATGGGCTACTGAAATTCAGCATTGATTTTTTTTTTAAGTCGAAAGACGCACAAAGCCCATGGATTCGATGAATGTGGCTGCTTAGCATTTGTTGTTAACCATTGTGTTCGGTTGGACTTGGCAGCAGCTAAGGGCAGCTGCTGCACTGTTTGCACCTGTTGCCAGTCCATTTGCCATTTGCAATAAAGTTTAATCGCCTTTTTTAATGCACTTAGTTTTTATGTTCAGTATGCATAAGAGTTCTTTTCGTTTTTAATTAAAGTTCAGCTTTTGCTTTGATTTGCAAAATGATTACTGATTTTATTATTTTTTCGTTTTCTCCATTTAACTCGACTAACTCTGTCCGTTCGACCATTCCAAGCTCAATCTAAATCACTTATTCTATTAGCAATTTCATGCTCTATTTAAACACATGTCCACCAGTTGGCAATTTTGTAAGTGACCAGTTCGTATCGCAACGAATTATTTATATATACATTTACTAATCGTTCTCTCAACAAGATATGACATATGAAATTTGAAATTGGGATTCCTTTCTATACGAAGCTGACAGCAAATACATATGTGAATTGCCAAGCTCGTTTATATTTTTTTTACGATTCTTACCATCTTTCACTGTGTGAATTTTCATTCGAAGTGGCCGTCAAGTATAACGACTAGTTTAACAATAATTTAATTTAATGCCCAACCAGCCCGGGTGACCAATTAGACACAACAGCCGTAAGGTGTCTCAGGGGTACATTTTTGTTGGTGGGCAAGTGCCTTACCGATAGTTACAGATTGAATGATTAAGTATTTTATTGCATTTTATGTTTATGTAACGCTTTCGACGTTTTGCCTTGAATATATATAAAAATACTCATAGTGCTTACACATATGTATGTATGTATTAATGTCTATGCACTAATACAATAATTCGTTTAATGAATGCCCAAAATTTCAAGCACTTATTTAATAAGTTGATCTGACAACTTTAAATTCTCTATTCTCTATTTTGTATGCGTGCCGCACAGGAACAAAAAAGCAGCACCCTGAATTTCTCATCGTTCAAATCAAGCTTCACTTCCAATGTTAATTTCCTGAAGAGAAGGTAAAGACCTTAAAAAGAAACGCACCCTTTTTCCAGCGGGAAGGGGTGTATTAGTTGGATGAGACTAATTTGAGATTTCATATGTTTGTCTTTTTTCTCTTTCTCCCCACCTCCCACAAAATGGTGTTATCTCTTTCGCCCTTTCTATCTCTTATATATCTCTTGCTCTATCACTAAACTGCGCTGCACTTTTCACTTGTCAACGGTTCGCATTTGAAAAAACGACTAAACGAAAACCACACACAACACACACAAAACAACACCCACGCTAACCCGAACACTAACAACTAATCCACATCCACGGAAACACACGTGCAGATTCAGCTCGGGAGACTTGTCTTCCGAGGTCGATGATGTTGATCCCAATAGCTTGCCGCCAGCGGCGCGTCCTATACAGGACCAACCAACCAAGCCGCATGTTGCCGGCGGTCCACCAAATATGCCGCCACCGCCGGCACCCGGTCAGGTGCCGCCGCAGCCCACCGGCGCCGCACCGGAGCTATCACTAAGCTTTGGCGCTGGCAAGGCTCCGGTCTCGGCGGCTCCTGCGCCGCCTCGTGGTGTCAGTGCACCAACCAGTCCGGCCAAGTCGCGGGAGAGTCTCTTGCAACGAGTGCAGAGCTTGACGGGCGCAGCTCGAGATCAGGGCGCCTCCATATTGGGTATGCTATAGTCCATTGAGGCAGATTCTCAGATCCAATTTCATCCAAGTTTCGTGAAACACATTATCAGCCATGTTCTCGATTCCATAAAGTTTCCGCTTTTCCTTTCTCGATTGCATTAGTTACACGTAGTTAGAGAATAATATCTTTACTATATTTTTAGATTTTCAGGTAAATTTGAAATTACTAGCAATATTTTCAATATATTTTTAAATATTTAATCAGATTTTGGCTAAATATTTTCAGAAAAATCTATAGATTTTTGAACGGGGTAAAATGGCAGTGAGCGAAACTTGGCGAAATTGTAGAGAAAATGCATTTCAGAATGCTCCTTCACTGCTCGAATTGGAAATTAAACCATTAATAAAATGCATACACTAAATTAAAAAAAAAAAAACCATTTTGCCACTCGCAGGAGCTGCAGTTCAGAGCGCTACTCAACGTGCGCCTGCCTTTAACAAGGACAGATATTTCACGCTGCTGGTGTTGGATGATCAGAATACGGACTGGTCCAAATATTTCCGTGGCCGGCGCTTGCATGGCGATTTCGATATACGCGTGGAGCAAGCTGAATTTCGGGTAAGTTGAACATACTAACAACAATTGTGAACCGTCTGTATTTTTGTTTATCGTCTGCTGTGCATCCGCAGGACATTACGGTGGTCTCCAGCGCCGATACCGGACCGGTCGTCACAATGGCCGCCTATCGTAGCGGCACCCGGGTGAGTTATTCCTCCACCAGGCAACTTCGTGTTTGCTCTTAATTAGTGCAATGCGCACAGACGATAGACGCCAATCTTTCAGGAGCCCGTCCCAACACCCAGTTCCCTTTAGTTGTCTGTTTATTTGTAGTTTTGCTATTTGTGTTTTATATTGCCAGGACAATCCAACTTAATTCGCATTGGAGTGGCTTAAGTGCTACGCCAGTGTTCAACACTGGCACGCATTTATTTTATTTGTAGTACAATGGATACTCAAGCGTTACGTTTGGCACTCCGTTTGCATAACATTTACAAACAGTCGTGTTTGTCTTAGCTTATACAGGATATGTGTAACTTACTACAACTCTTAACTGCAATTACTGCTTAAGTAGTATCAAAGTATTTCATACCGGGGTACTAATAGTCATCTCTTGTTGTATTCTCTTTTGCAATGCTTTCGAAGAACGTAACTAAATTTAATAGAATTTTAAGCGAGTGTGTTAGTAATTAACATCAAAATTGGATGTTTTACCATCGCCACAGTACTGTGTACAACTTATTAAAATGCTATCTTTCCTCTGTAAGCTGAATGGATATCTTTGAGAGTCTAATATAAAAATGTTGCCCCACATTGCAATGAAGCATCAAAGCAATATCTAAATACAAAGCAATTTCTGCTTCACAATTTAATTATACATGTAAATTGCCAATTTAGAAACTGTAGACTAATACATAAATATTAAACAAACTTTCCTTTTATACTATCTTAAATATGCTATACAAATTAAAAATCGCTCTAAGATTTGCTAAGCTCTTCCAATTAGTTTTTATTGCTCAGTGCCAAGCCAAGTTTCGCACCTTTCGAGCATTTTCCAATTTGTTATCCGAACCATTCAATATCCAAAAAACCACCACTATTTGCTGGTTCAGCCTAAAAGTATGCTGTGAAACGTTTAAATTGTCAGTTCTTGATTGCTGCATAGCATGGGGCACGTGATAAAATTATCTCTGGGTTTACCCGAGCGTGCGACTGTGTGGAAGATGTAAATGTGTGTGTGTGTAAAATGTAGACGTCTGCATTTTTGTGCCTGAGTTGTCGTGTGTCATATATAATTATGAAGCATATGTTGATTATACACAACTACGTTATGCATGGTTAGATTACGCTGGTGCAATTAAGTGGCGCCTTTGAGGGCAGTTTACTGTGAAAACCTGCCAAGATAAGCGAGTTAAATGCGTGATAATTTCTGGTTTTTCATTATTTATTTTCTCACATTTGCATCTTATAAGTTCAGAGTCAACTAAATTTACAAAATTAAATTCTGCTTTTGATATATATGATTCTAATGTAATTTTTGGAATATCACACACCAAATCAAAAATACAAACAAACCAATAAACAGGTTGCCCGTTCTTTTCGTCCGGATTTCGTATTGATACGGCAACCGCCGCGTGATGGCTCTAGCGATTTCCGGTCGACCATACTGGGCCTTAAGTACGGCGGAGTGCCCAGCATCAATTCGTTGCATTCCATTTACCAGTTTCAGGTGAGTTGAGCGCAAATATTTGTTAACAAACGACATATTAAATGGTGCAATCCTTGTGGATAGGACAAACCGTGGGTCTTCTCTCATCTGCTGCAACTGCAGCGTCGCCTGGGACGCGACGGTTTCCCGCTGATCGAGCAGACATTCTTCCCGAATCCGCGTGATTTGGTAAGTGTATTAAACATTAAAAGCTAATCACTAATTAAGTAGCTACATAGTACATCATACATTATTGAATTGTGGTCGCATCTAAAAAGCCATCCATTAATAAATAACACATTAAGCATAACATACGTATTAAAGCTCTACACAAAAATCAAGTATTAAATTATAAAAAAATAGAGAAACTGTAGCATAACAAAAGCCACTCCGGCCAATCCATTCTACTCGAGACTACAACGCCATTGCTCTGCCAATGGCTTACGGGTAGCTCAGGCACTTTTTGTAGAGCTGCGTGCGCCTCCAGCGGCAGCGCTGAATATCACCGTTACGTGTGCGGATATTGTGCGGCACGCAGGCAGAGAAATCGCGTTCGCATTTGCCGTACGGCGACCACTTGCAACCGTCGGCATATTCACGCTGCTTCAGGCACTGCATTCCAAAGCATGGCTTGATCTGTGAAAGTAAATTGGATTCCAATTCAAAATTCTACATTTGGGGGAGAGGATTACCACTTACGGTGCAGTTACAGGCCAGGCCGTAGGCGCCACTGAAACCGTGGCGTTCGCTAATTGTCATCTTCGTGTATTCCTTGTAGTAGCCGCACAGATTTAGCTGTGGCATGCGTCCGGCTATGATATAGACCTTGCCAATGTCCAGCTGAATGCCGCACATGGAGTCAGTACTGGGCGTGGCCAGACGCCCATCGCGCAGCATCTTGCGCGCCTCCGGAGTGGCCTAAGAACAAATTTAATGACGTGAGCTTGGCTATAAAAATGCACTCAGCAAGATTCGCTCTAAAATTTGGCAATAAAATTATCCTGAGACCAGAAAGATATTCTAGTTTCTACAAATAATAGCAGTTGCACGGTTTTAATAATAGAAGTATCCAGGATTTTGTGCACGAATCGCAGTCAATTCTTAAGTTTTTTAAGTAAATTATTACTGCCTAAATTTGAATTAGCAGACCAACGAGAATTATGTGTAAAGAATCCATAATAGATGAATCTATCTCGAATTAACATATAAAAACTCTGGTTTAAAAATGTAGAAAGTGAAAAAAAAGTTCAGCTGAACTTGGCGTCAAAAGTGATTCGGATTGCAAAATTTTCAGGTGATTCTTCTTCTGAGTGTATTTACTGACATGGATTTTGTGAAAGCAATGCTTACCTTATAAGTGCGCTTTATGTGCACCTTGTAAATGGTTTTGCCGGGCTCGATGGTGTTCGATTTGCGGAGAACGCGTAGTTGCACAACTGTCAAGGGATGTCAATGAATGAATGCATGCGCATTTGTATTGAATTCGTCAAGGATACTGTTGCATCCTTTCACACTCGGCTGCTTCGCAGCTGTACTCACCATAATCAGCATTGCAGTAATGTGTCTGTGGATGCGAGGGCATGCACATACAGGCATCCACTGTGTGTCCATAAAACGCCAGCACTGCGAACACAGCCAGCGCCAATAAACTCAAATGTTTTGTCAACTCCATGTCACGCGAGTCAAGCGGAGCAAATCCAATCCTTAGGTGTGGACTTGTTAACCAGTCACCAAACCAATCGTAAATCGTGTGTGCGTGATGACTGTGAAAAACAAGGAAAATGTGTTTGCGTTTTATTATTATGACTATTATAATATGTAATAATAATAAAATATAGTCGTGAAATTCATTATGCATTGAAGGTCACTTCTGCCACCTCATAAAATCCATATATTCACGAGTGGCATCAGTAGCTAACTCGATACAAATCCTTTCTGTTTTTTCCTATGCGAACTTGTTAAGCTATTATTATATCATATATTTTCTATGAGACCAGTCGACCAGTAGAAAGAAGAGCTTTTGTGTAAACAACATTTTTGTTTCCATGCTCTTAGCATCAACATCGACCTACAATGTCAAATAAAACTTTTATATTAGCAATCGGTCTTTTTCTTAAATTAATAATGACATTTAGTTATCAGCAGGTTGACTCTGGTCTGCAGGATGTGTCTTCGTCATGTCGTTGTTTTTTTTTACTATTATTTCTTGATGATGATTTACTGGTTTTGCGGTAACCCAAAGCATTCAACGCTGAAGGTCAGTCAGTCAGCGTTGAGTTTAATTCTGACTTACTTAAGTCATACTAGGCTTATCAGTTAAACGTGCTGCCACCCATCACCATCACCATCTATACACGCATCCATCAAGGCACCCTCAAGTGTCATCTGTGCATATTACGCATACGGCCCAGTGTCCAAGCAGACGCATCATTATCAGTGGGTGAATTGATTGCACGTTGCATTATTGATTGTGGGTTACATTAACTTTAGCAGCCATTTACTTTATATACAAACATGTGGACGTACATATATCTATACATATATATATATATATACTTATTTGTAAACGCAACTCAATTCACAATAATAGATGTGGTTTTTTACTTCGAGAATTTCACAAACATATCTTTTATTGGTCATTTGAATTCAATTTAGTGTTTTCATGCCATCAATTTGGATGAGTTGCACGCATAAATCTTATTTGAAAAAATAAAAGAAAACTATCCGAAAAGTAGTTCAATTGCCAGCCAAATGCATGCCAGCCATTCCATTTAGCATTGTTTATGGGAAATTCATAGAAAACTTGAGGCGAAGAAGTCGAAATCCATTACAAAACTGCTGCTGCTGTGCATATATCAACGCAAAAATATTGTATAATATCGAGAGCCGGGGCAAAATAATCAGTTCAGTCAGTCGCACTCGTTGCAGTCCCATTCCCATACCCAGGTCCCAGTCATCGTGTCGAACTGATCGACAGAGATAGGCAGGCCCATATAGACAACATATGCAATGGCTATGCAAGGCAACACCAAAGGCAGCAGCTAAGGCAACTGCAGAGGCAATGGCAACCCGGCAATGTGGCAATTAAATTGAAATAAAATTGAATTAAAAGCATTTTGCGGAAAAGCCACTAGAAAAACACAGCGACGAACGAGAGCAGAGTGTATATGTGTGGCAGAGGGCGGTGCAGAGTCGATTGCCTTATTGATTGAATGCAAGCAAGAAATAATGCATCAAACTATTTATTAAGTGGCAGCCCAAAGTGGCAGACAGACAAGCAGACGCCTCGGCTAATGCACACTGTGTTTTATTTTTTTTTTGGGGGGTTAGAGGCGCTTTGTCAAATGTATATTTTCATGACGTGATATCGTAATGTTCTGAGAACTGAACATGAGCAAAGTTTCCATTTCAGCTTAGTTTGCCTCACTTCAAATTTGTTTTGTTTTCGCTTTGGTATTGTTGTGGCCTGTCTTGTCGGTCTGGATTTGACACTTTGGCTGGCAATTAACGTCGTGGATTTGTTTAACAAACAGCCAACAAGACAACAAATAAGCGAACATAAAACTGGCATACTCACAGAAAAACACACGTACACACACACACACACACACACATTGGTATCGTAGACAGCGTTTAGCAACTAAATCAACTTCAAAGTCAATAGAAAACAAGAAAATCTTTTTACGCTCGTTGCAAATTCGCACGATTTCCTTTTAGTTTTTCCATAGGCAACGTCATCATGCCGATCAGCATCGGCAGCCACAATTAGCGTTCCCATATATCACACGGGCATTTTTTTAAAGTTGGCCGCCACAGAAAGTGGGGGCATTGAGAATGTGCAGCAAACTAACAGCAGCAGGCGGTGGCAGCATGTCAACGCCAGAACCAAAACATTGACGCTTAGCGGGGGCTTTGGGGCAACGGCTATCGTTGCCAGAGGCAGCCGTGTTTTGTTGACAAGCTTTACATGTGTCAATTAAATGTTATATATCATAGCATACTTCATTCATGCTTCAGCAACAACAAAAAAAATATATGTATATATATAAACACTTATGGGCTGTTGCTTTGACGTCACTTTGAGCATCGGCTAATTGCCACACTTGTTCTTGTTGTTGTTGCTGCTGCGGCGTTTTCTATTGCTGCTCTTGTGTTGTGTGGTTGTGTCGTCATCGGCATCGAAGTTGACATTTGACACTGAAACGCTCGGCAGTCAGCTAAAATTTCTGTATGTCATTTTACTATGCGGGCCGCCAACAACAATTTCGAAATATATTTTTATATATACGCATTTACTTATGTATAAAGTCAAATATCGACATGACTTTAATTAGCATTGATTTCCACTTTGCCCTCAGGCCAGATAAAGAGCCAAAAGTACTTCAAGTCTTTTGTAGAAATCAACTGGTAGTTGTTAAACATACATATATATGACATATATATCCGATTGGTGTCATGCAGAAGAGCAACACCAAAACGATAACGATCAAAATCTAGATAAGATACTGATATCTGTAGAGTGCAGATCAATGCGGAAGGTACTTTTCTTTTGCATTTTCAGACATGCCACACGATAAAACATATCTAGGATGCTGACGGCTTTTCTTTTCAGAGAAGGTAATACAGTGCTTCAAAGAAATCTTCGCGTCGAGTATCTAATTATGATTGGTCAACTTTTTCATTTCAAGTCGCTTGTTTTTGTTAAAGAATTCAATGATTCCAGGAAATGTAATGCGTTGTATGTATGTAGTTCGGATTAGGTAACTTTAATGCATATCAGCTTAAATAACACTTGATAAGCACGTACTTTTTAATAAATTATAACGATTTTTGCCTAGCACGAGGTGTATAAATTGGAATTTAACTTATCAGCACATTTAGCTCAGATCCCTGTGTTACATGACTTTACAATTACGTTGCATTCAGAACTTATCAGATAAAATAATTTAATTTGTGGACCAACCAGTTGACATGGACTTATACCCTTAAGCTATACAAATTCATATAAATATTTATTAAAATCCTGTTGTGCTGTGAGACAAACAATGGAACTGTTTGGCTCCACATTAAATGGTCTGTGACAGTTGAATTTATATTGAATGCGCCACAAAATACAATTATGTAAATGTGTGAAAAGATTATGAAACTTGCCCAAGCAGAGCGTAGCCAGGTAAATGGTTAACTGAGCATTGAAAGGGTTCCAAAAAAGTAAACACCAAAAAAGGACAGTAAAGCGCAAAAGGCCAAAAGACTAAGCCGCAAACCAACTTCAAGCGATGCGATTGGGCTTTCGGCTTTATGGCTGTTGGGCAAAGTGGCTTACAGAAAAAAAAGCCGCATAATTAATGCGCTTTTAACCAAAATGCTGGCTGGTCTTATGCCTGTCTCTCACTCGGTAGCTGGGCGTAAAACTGGGCTGTAAATAGTACTGGAGAACTTTGTTTTATGAGCGCTTAATTGAGTCATAAAAAGCCACTAATGTCGGTATAATGCATGGAATCCAAAATATTGACATGTTGCGCCACTTGTGGCACTCGAACTCGCACACTGACTGGCCCCCTCTGCTTTTATAGCCCCATGCAGCATGAGTTAGGGGCATGTAAATAGTTTCAACAATGTGTTTTCATTTTAAGCCACACCATTTTTCGCGCCTCAATAATAAAATCAGTGCACATAAAATCGAACCACAAACGAAGCAAATAAAAAATATAAAACAAAAACCAAAAACCAAAACCCCAACAATTTTATTTGTTTGGCTTTGTCGTTGACTTTATTTTGAGTGTTGAGTGCCTTAATTCGGCGGTCATTTACTTTTCGCTTTTGCGTTTTGTGACAATTCTCAGTGTGTGTTTGACATTTATTGCTGATTGACTTTCTAAACAATTCGCTGCTCAGACCGAGACATATAAATAAATTCGATCTTAAATTGCCAGCGAGCTGGCATACCCTTACGGAGAGCACTACGATTTTGTCACACAATATGCATTCCCGATAAAGCAATGAATATATTTGTTTACCAAAAAGAAAAAAAAAAACTTGATTAGAAATTTCAGCTATTCAATTTTTGTGGTGAAATGTAATTGAAATTCCAAACGCATGACTGTGCAATTGAGATAAGGAGTACACTTCATGTTTTAAAAATAGTATTTATGTATTATTAGACAAAGTATACTCCTTATCTATATACATTTACTAGCAAATTAACTCTTTCATTTTTGTTTAATATTTTGTTTTTGAAATACGCTTCAACTAATTTTACGATTGCATTCGCATTGAAAAATCCTTTTTAAGCATTTCTAGAATTTTAAAAACGCATTAAGCTCATTGGTGATTAAACTGATTATGATATTCAGATATGTAAGTTTATTACTTAGACAAACGTGATTTCGATTTTTAAATCTTCCAAGAATCTCGTGTTGTTTATTTTTTTAAACCTTTATTAAATTAGGCTTTCTTTGAAAGTGACTTTAGATAAATATGGAATATAACGAGTATATTACGTAAAGTGTCGGAAATCAATTACTGAAATTAACGAAATGCATATTTTTCTCCAATAACTTCATTAAATTATACAACTAATTTTCCAAGTAAAAATAAAACTACCGCTGAGGAATGGACGGGGTATAAATCATCGAAACGCAAAGAAAGCTGTTTTAAAGTGATGCACTTTCTTTTATATATCGCTTATGCCAGTTTGGACTCCGACTTGTTTTCGTTGATAACTACGTGCTTGCATCATGGTTATATTATTGTGTTCCTGATT